GCATTTTGGAGGTTGACTCCCTTACCCTTTGCACCCTCCGGAGGTCCGCATCTGCTTTCCGCAGTTTGTCGCATGTTTCAGCCCATGCCATCCTGAATGGTCTGTCAGCCTCAAGAAGTTGTGCTACTGTAGGGGCAGGAAGATTTCCATGACGCTGTTGGTAATCACCCAGGCGATCTACAATTGTTTGAACTTGCAGAACATTAGCAAAGATAAATAATCAACTGTTGTATACATACTTTCAGCTTGATCATAAGATCCAATTGGCATGAACTCCTGAACCATGGCACGCAGTGCTTCATTGTTGAGTTCTGGCTTGGGCGATTGACGTTCGGGAGTTTCTGAATTAGCTTGGGAGATAACATGAATAAAAAACATGAAATGATATGAATATGCCTACAAGGTATGGGTGCCTCTGGTTCAGCCGGAGTAACCGGATGAGGTTCGGGAGTTGATTCATTCACTGGGGAAATGCCATGGAAAATGAACATGAGATGAAAAGAATAACCTCACCAGCCATAGGAAAATCGGGTACAGCTGGAGCATCATCAGACGAAATCAAGGTATCCTCCGGACCAAGATACAAGTCCGGGTCATCATACAGGGCCAGTCCATCCGCCAGCGCCGGATATAATGGATCTGGAAGTATGTCATGAATTTGCACATGTAGAATATGTACATTTGAATTGAGAAACATACCGGGAATCACATTCAACAGATCCAAACCACCGGACGACCCAGAATCAGAGTCTAACTCATCATCCGGCCCAAGGTATATATCATCTAATGGATCTAAACCATGTCAGATCAATTCACTGAAATCAGCAAAAAAAAACATACCAAGGGACATCCGGGACTTGGAGGACTCATCCACATCCATTGAGGTGGATTCAGTGACCGGAGGGTCATGAAATCTGACCCCAGGTTGAGAGCTCATGATATCTGATGAGCTGATGAACTTATGAACTGATTGATAACAGATAACGTCAAAGTTCAACACATGGCCGGCGATTGCCGAAAGTTGAACCATGACCAAACAAAGACAAACAATCAATGATTTTCAACATCATCCTTCAATTGTATTGTTTCTTTGAAACTTCATTCTAGTGATAACAGATTTCACCTTGCTTTCAACATTCTCACATCTGTCAACTCAATCCAAATGTCTACTCCAGTTCAATCTTTATTGGCCAACCTCAAGGCATCCACTGCTCAACTTGTAGGCATCATTGCTGGCGCTCGGCACATCCCGGCCGGCTCAGTGGACGTCCAACTTGCTTTGACAAAGCAGGTCACCACTCTTTTGGTAAGTTGCACTCATTAAATTAGTTTACCATTGATGTTTCTAATATCTGGGTAGGCTGACATCATCCGGGCCCATGAGAAAGGGGAATACATCCCTGGCATTGTGGTGTCCTGCTCTAAGGAGCTGATGAGGGTGTGTTCCATGACTCCCCGGGCATTGCCCAACTGGCACAGCATTGGCCATGATGACCCCCGGGTGGCTAGACACGCCTGGCGCAAGCAAGTCCATGCCTGGGAGGTGTTGGGTGACAATTCCTGTGATCTCCCTGTTGTTCCTAATCCTTCCACTGGCCCACTGACTGTCAACCTTCTGTCTCCACCTGTCCCTTCCCCCACACCTGTTCCTTCCCCTGCCCCTGTCATTCCCTCCCCTCCCATTGTCACCGGACCTTCCAGCAAGACGGGTACCGAGTTCCGGGACAAAGGAAAAGGTAAGGCCGTTTCTGTTGACCTGGAGCCGGAAGTCGGAGGGAGCAACAAGAGGAAGTCCCCAATGATTTCTGGACACTCCTCCCAACCTCCGAAGTCGGCGATGAAGGGTCACAAGCGTGTCAAGTCAACTCGACTCCCCAAGTCAAAGCCATTTGTGGAGTCAGAAGATGATGAAGACCCAATTGTTCAGGTATGTGTTCTGGCTCATTTGTGACATGCTCTCAATTTGTTGCAGCCGATTTCGGGTAGAGTGCCGGAGGTCGTTCTTCCCCAGCTCTCCACCATTGTTGTGAGGACGCCCCAGTTGCCTCGGTCACCTGGTTCCCCCAAGAAGCAATCATTTGGGCCTGCTTCGGTAAGTCTGATTTAGTCGTCCGGAGCTCATATATATGCTCATGTGTCCACAGCTGACTGCTGGCAGGCGTCCAGAGGTCATGGTGAGTCTTTCGGACAGGTCCAGAACTCGCATATATCATTTTGACTCATGCCCATTGCATTAGGAATCTCCCGTTAGTCATCCGGAGGCTCGGGTAAGTCTTACAAGCTCGCCCGGAACTCATATGCGTACTTACAATCTATCAGGCAACCTCTGGCAGTCGTCCGGAAGTTGAGGAGTCCTCTGATGATACTTCCAGCGCTTCGGATGGTGACCCCCTGGCCAATACCACATTTGATATCACCATTCCCGGCCTGGTGAGTACTCCAATTAATTCCCCTAGTCCATCTACTAACGGATACCACAGAACAACCCCTGCCATTATTGCATCAAGGAGGATTGGCCCTGCGCGACCCGTTTTGACAAGAGGACCAACCTCCCCTGCTTGTCTTGCATCCGCTGCTCCACCAAGAAGATCAAATGCAACCCAGCATCTCTGGGATCCCCGCCCAAACGGATCCGAGGGAGGTCTACCACCGGCCGGACGCGTTCCAAGACATCTGCCCCTGCTCCATCCACTGCTCCGTCTCCCTCCCTGTCAAGGGCCCGAACTCGTAGTCAATCTCGTGGCCCGTCCCGAACTCCAGCCATCCCTGCTGCAACTACACCCCAGGTGCAGTCACGTGGTCGCAGCAAGACCATCACTACCAAGAAGACACCTGCACCTGCACCTGCACCTGCGCCAGCTCGTAAGTCACCCAAACTTTTGATGACCTGCTGACCTGATTTTTTACTTAGCTGTTCGGTCTTCGAGCTTCGCAGTGCCTTGTGCAGCACTCGATGTTCCCATGCCGGATCTCCATTCCATGGCAATCGCGATTCAGGATGGTGCAGCTCACATCGCTATTCTTGAGGCTCGGGTGCAGGAGCAGGATGCTAAGATTGATACCCTGCAACACCTCCATGAGAGCCTCCGGCGCACAGTGGTCGACCGGCACCCTTCATTTTCACTTCCGGACACACCGGCCGATGCAACAATCTTGCTTGATCAATCCGGTCCCCACCCGTCTATTTTACCCCTCCCCTCCGCACTTTCCAACCTCATTGATTTGGACATTTCAGTGATGCAACCCACACCCTTGACAGTTGAGGATGGATCTGCTATGGTAGGTCTCATGGTTGAGCCCACCCAAGTTCAGCCTGAGGGTCCACAATCCTCCGGCGAAATTATGCTCCCGGATGAACCAGGCAACCTCTTGCCAGAATCCTCTGGCAATATTGTGGTCCCTAATGAACCAGGTAACCTCCTGCCAGAATATGATTCTTCTGATGAGGAGTTGGATGTTGAGGGGAAGGTTGATCTTCCTGGTGAGGAGGTTGAAATGGCTACATAATTGCTCAGTGATAGATGTACATAAATCTTTTTCAATGCATGTTACCTATGCCACAATTGAATAATTTAATGACCAGTCCTGATATCCAGAACTCGAAACTGTAAATTGAGGTAGATATCACCCTAAACCCTAACACCCGAATGTCAAATTTTCAGTGCCGAACCCCAAGTGCCAGGTGCTGGGTGCCGAGTCCTGAAACCCGGAACTCAGGATTTGCCATTTGAGACTAATGACATTTTTCAGACATGTTTATATCAACCTACGTATATCTATAAACATTTTACTAACCCCCAAACCCCGACATATATTTTTGTTGTGTCATACTGAGTTCCGAGTTCCGGGACCCCCGAACCCCGAAACCCGGCAGTCCACAATTTTGGGGTTCGGGGGTTGGTAAAATGTGTATGGATAGATGAAAGGTTGATTTAAACATTTTTGAAAAATGTCTCATATCAAATGTCAAGTCCCGAGTTTTGATTTCCGGGTTTCTGGAGTGCCGAGTCCCAAAACCTGGAGTCCCAAAACCTGGAGTCCCAAAACCCGGAGTCCCAAAACACGGAGTCCCAAAACCTGGAGTCCCAAAACCCGGAGTCCCAAAACACGGAGTCCCAAAACCTGGAGTCCCAAAACCCGGAATTCGAAACTCGGGACTTGACATTTGATATGAGACATCTTTCAAAAATGTCTAAATCAACCTTTCATTTATCCATACACATTTTACCAACCCCGACCCGAAATTGTGGACTGCTGGGTTTCAGGATTCGACCCGTATATGTAATACTTTCCACGTCGGCCCACCTGTATATGTAATACACCCCACATCAGCCCACCCATCTATGTAATATTCCCCTACCTCGGCCCACCCATATATGTAATACACCCCCGTCGGCCCGCCCGTCTATATAACAATATTTGCCTTACATCTCTCTTCAGCCCAGCTGTCTATAATATCCTACTCTACATATTACCCAGATGGGCCCACCCATCTCCATGAATGATCATAATCCCCCGGCCCATCCGTCAACATCAAGGATATATATCATTGGCATACATGGGCCCACCCGTCTCCATCGGAAATAATATGTGTCCCTGGCCCATCCGTCATCATCGAGAATATACACAACATGGGCCCATAATCCGCTGGCCCATCTCATACGGGATATTATGTAGGCCGGGTGGCCCGTATAATACGGAATTTGTCACTGAAGGGGCTCATGAACATCACTCAGTTGTGCATCTCGCTCTGTCAGGGACACTTTCCATTGGTGAATTAACTTGTTTATTTCATCCATGTGGTGCGCACAGTCTGCTTCAGTGATACCTTGTTGTTCCTGAAGCTCATTCTGAGCTTGCTAGTGCAATTGCTACAGATTAGCAGAGATACGTCCATTGAGCCTTCAGTATGTATAAATTTTCTGTCCTGGACTTTATGCCTCATTTCTTTGGCCTGTTCTTCTTGTTTATATACAGTCTTACGCAATGTGTGTGAATGGTCAACTTCTTGATAGCAACACTTTGCCAATGGCTGGATGAGCCCTTAGTATGAACTTGTCACCCACCTCAATTTGCATGATCAAACATACCACTTGATTTCCTTGCCCATCTTCTCTTTTCCTCTTGTCAACATCCATTACACTGGTTTCAGTTAGTTGACCGAGATGGGCCTCCACCAAATCCTCGCTCATATTACTGTCTGCTTCATCATCAAATAAATCTGTATCAAGGGTGGTTTGAATGTCTTCTGGCTCTCTGCATTGGTCCACCTCATTTGATGATGAATGGCGACCATTTGCAGCTTCCACATATGATACACTGATGCATGTGACTGCACATTATTGTCTTAATATTAAAGGTTAGGCCCCACTGACCCAAACAATTGACTCCCCTTTCACATTATCAATTTCCATGGGCCTTGCTATGGCTACTGGGGGCACAATTACGTAGCATTGCACAAGAAGAGTGCTCGGCAATTGCTTCATTACCAACACTTAGACCTTATAATTAGACTCGATAAAACAACGTGATTGCTCACTCAGATTTAAATTGTGGAGTTTAAAGTCATTACAAGATGAAATATTACAATGCTCATGTCTTACTCACTGAACCACCAAAACAAAAAGAGCTCTCAGTAATTGCTTCCGCACAAGTGGTGCATGCAGAATATTCTGAAGAGCATCAGTTAATTTGCATTATCTGTTTCAGTTTTAGTGAGAATGTCTTCCCCAGTGTCTTTCCCATTGGTAGAATGTGGAGTGTAATGACTTTCTCAAGACTCACTGAAGTTCTTGGTCTTTGAATAATCTCTGATGAAGCAGGTGCATCCATGGTTCTGCTGAGATATCTGTCTCAGGCTAGTGATCAAATGAGTGGCATGGCAGCCTGAGAGTCTGGCAGCAACAAATATTGTCAAAGAATGTCCATTTAGGGTAGCTTAGCCATACATATGGCTAAGTCAGAAAAGGAGGCAGAAAATTGCTATGACTAGCCTTTGGAGGATGCACAGCTCAATAGTACAGACCATTGAGCTGATGCTATTGACATGATCAACTGTGAAATTGTTTATGATTACTGCCACATGGGACTCATGATGCCATTAAAGTCTAATCCAGGCACATCAACCTGGTTCCACAGCAAGTTCCATGAACTTACCTGGTACCAATTCATAGACAATCATGACATGATAGTTTGTGTGCCCTTCTTTCCAAGCTTCCACGTTTAAGTAATTGTTGATCGGTCATCAGGCAAACTCATCAGTGACCACCAACTTCAGTCATCATTATTGGAGCACAATTGATGTGGAGATTCTTCAGTGGGATTGTGTCATATCCCGCATTCTGGACCCAGACTGTTCACACACTCATTTCTGGATGTCTGGATCTGACCCGCTTCTTTGTTCTGCTTCTTTCCCCTTTTGTATGTCCTCTTTTGTTAGCCCCTTTCTGGTCCTCCAGTTATTCACATATCCGTCTGTATTCATTATCCAGACCTTGTTTCATTTCTGACTTCATTTTATTATGTTCCATTATACTATTGATAAGCTTTCCACATGCTTCATACATAGCCTTACACTGCACTGACTGAACTTCTGTTATGTTTCCTGTAGTATATAAGCACTGGAAATTCTCTGTACATCCTCAGGAATATCATCTTATATTCTGCTCATTCCTGGCTCCATCTGACTTGAGTTTCTCCTCTCATCGTTCTCTGATAGTCTTAGGATTGATTTCTATTGACTTAACATCTCTGCCTCTACCTATGGTAGTCCTCTGCTGTTTCTTTCTAGTCCGTACTTTGTCCGGGTTAGTCTTCTCTCTTGTTTCCGAATGTCCGCTGGAATTCCTGCACATCAGACTCTGGACCTCCGGACTTTGTCCTATAGCCCTCGGAAGTTAAGGGCACATACTCAGGTAAGGGGCGCAGTGCATGAGCTGAAGCCAAGCCCTTTGATCCAACCCTTGAGCACGTTCTTAACAGATTGTGGCCCAAAGCATGTGCTACTCAGACAGATCGTAAAGACAGAAAAGCCAGCTCTGTTGCAAATTACTATAACTCTGACTCCAACTATCAAAACCTTACTATAACCTTTCACTAGTTGTAGGTGAACTTTCTGGGGCCCTATGTTCAACACTCTGAAATATGGTGTCTAATCCGCATCTATCATTGCCTTGCGCAAGAGGTGTTCAGTGTCTGCATGGGTAGAAGCATGAGATGAACAAAAGACTGCAGGTGGGCGCTCATGACTTATCACGAACTGGAAAAGAATTTTAACCTTGACGCTTGTTATCAAGCTGTGATTGTCTGAGGTTTTGATCCAAACAACATGGTGTGATTTATTGATCTCATCCAGTCCCACTATATTCCAAGGATTGTCTACAGAAGTCGACACGTCACTCAGAATTCAGTGCTGTCTAGGTGTTGACGCTGGAAAATGCTGATTTGGAATACTGAAGTGTTGTGTTGCCTTGTTGCTCCATCTACTGCGGCCTTCAAGACACCATGAAAGACTGAAGTCAGGGTTCAGAATGGTTGTCTCAAACACTGGTTGGCCCACAAGGCTTCCATTATCAGCATTGAGTGCTTTCTCAGTGTCCAATTTCAGTATTTTAGACACTGAAAATTTTCACTTCCCACCGTTCAGATAATCACACCAGGCTTGAACAGATTTGCAAGCAACACACACGTAGCAAGGTCAAGAACAGAAGAAGCTGAATTGGTGTCATCAAGCGCAACTGGAGAATGTACGTTTTCTCGTGTTTACAGATTAACGCATTAAAAAAAACTTAAAAATGTCTGTCACATCAACTCTACTTCATTCAGGCTTCAAACGGTATTTGCTACTCCAGTTTTGAGACTTCTCCCTCGCATCTGGCTACGTACTCGCCAGGTGCCATCACTCATTGGAAATGAAACTGGTAACCATCGATCAATTATTTCAAGCAAGTTTTGATAGGGCCCAGACGGAAGCCGAAAGGTAATGACATGCACGGGCCTGAATTGTTATATCTACCGACACTCACGGCTTCCATCCAAACTGATTAGTCTAATTTAGGATATTCTCCAGGTATGAATAATCTGGATCCTCCACATAACTATAAACCAGAATTAGCAGTCACCGGAATTCAAAAATGGTGTAATTACCCGAGGTTCACTGCATGATCCAGGAACAATCCCAGTGCAGCAGGTAAGGGTGGGGTGAGGTCAAATACCGGAAAGCTTCATTTCATCCACAAACACTCCGCCAAGGAAAGTCCACACCATGGAAGTGAACCTTGAGCCAAATAAATTAGCGTATACGCCAAAGATGCAATATCGTCTCGTCAACTATAGCCTGCTCAGAATAAAATCATCAGTCTGCAAAGCATGGTGATACACAGGAAACTCATGAATATGGGAATAGACATTAAGGCTCATGTATGGCAATGTACCATGGGTGCACTCACCTGATCTCAGCTTGTGTTTCCTGGTCTGGTCGTGGTAGAGCTTCGCATGACCAAAATCCACCAAATAAGGTTGCAACTTCCCATTAACCCAGAGAAGGATATCTTCAGGTTTGACATCGCAATGAATGACACCCTGGTCATGGATATCTTGGAAAAGTTTTACCTATTCCAGTCAGCCAGTGGGACTGCCAAGACAATATGCACGCTCACAAGGGCTTTCCCCAATACATAGACCTCACCAATGGGAAGAGATCCTCCGCAGGATTTCATATACTTTTTGAGGTTATGCCCAAGATGTTCTAACACAACAATCCCATGGCCACGAAAGCTGCATATATTCATCAAGAAAGCTACATTTCTGCTGATGTTCCTGTCTCTTACTGAACTGTCTGATATCAGACCTACAGGTAGTGCAGTCATGCAGCAATTGCTGAATTCAGTACCATGCCTGAAATCAGTGGTAAACAGCTCTACAGACACTCAGAGGTACTGTTTGTGTATAATTCAGGATGTCAGTTTCTAAGAGATGCGATACATCAGATATGTAGTTTAGTTTGTACAAAAGCCTCACAGCACATCACATAACATCAAAAATACAAAAATCATATTCAAAGTAACTACTACATTAGTATCTACACTACTAACTAAAAGAAAAAAAGAGACTCACTAAAATAGACAAAAATGCGAAAATATCAAGGTCAAAAGAAGGTCAAGAAAAGAAGAGACTTACTGAAAAGACCAAAAATGTGAAAATATATAGCCTAGAAATGAGCAGGGAGTCAGTCTTCAAAGGAGAGGAGAGGAGGGGAGAGAAGAGACTCACCAAAAGGACCAAAAATGCGAAAATATATAAGCTAGAGGTGAGTAGAGAGTCAGTCTTCAGAGGAGAGAAGAGGAGAGACTCACCAAAAGGATCAAAAATGCGAAAATATATAAGCTAGAGGTGAGCAGGGAGTCAGTCTTCAGAGGAGAGGAGGAGAGAAGAGAAGAGACTCACCAAAAAGACCAAAAATGCGAAAATATATAGCCTGGAAATGAGCAGGGAGTTAGTCTTCAGAGGAGAAAAGAAAAGAGAAAAGACTCACCAAAAAGACCAAAAATGCGAAAATATATAAGCTAGAAGTGAGCAGGGAGTTAGTCTTCAGAGGAGAGGAGAGGATTAGATTAGAAACTTACCATTGCACCAATCCCAAAGCCTCATCCACACCAACACATCCCAATTTGAATATCCAGGAGCCTAACCTAAGGGCAAGGAAGGAAAAAGAAAAGGATTGAAAAGGAAGAAAAAGAAGAGGGCAAGGAGACTTGAACAATGTCAAAAGACTTGAATTGTTGGACACATTTTTGATTATATAAGCTTTCCCACCTAACTTCAACCAACATCACATGACTGCTTATATTATCAAAAATGCAAAATTTCACTAAGTCCCTGCCACACTATGGTACTAGACATTAACATTAGTATAGTAGTGTAGTATATGTTGTATGTAATAAAATATTATAGAGTTTATTTTAATATATATCTCTAATGTAACTACTCAGGAATCAGTTAGTAGTAAATTGTTGTTGGATAATAGATAAACATCTGACATATTAAATGTTGAGCTCATTGTAGTGTGCAGTGAGTGGGCATTTCCTAATTAAGCAATAGGGTGCTAGTGCAGATGTCTGCACTTGCACCAGGTATAGAAAAATTGTACACACTGCAAAATTATATATCTGTACTTCTGATAATCTAGAGACTAGTAAAGCTGATATTGCTGAATGACTGCATAATTTTCTTGTAAAAGTCTGACATGCCTGAACACTCTGTGATTTTTTTGGCCTGATAATCTGATGTTGCTGAATGACTGCATAACTTATGAAAGTCTGACATATCTGAATACTCTGTGATTTTGTTGGTCTAATAATCTGATGTATCTATACAACTGATATGTGCTGATTGTTACTAATATCAGACAGTTGTCTGATATCAGTCATGCAGGTAAATCAGGACATTCAGCAGAATTGTAGGTGTCCTGATGTTGGCAGTCTGGCACCAATGCCAACTGGAGAGGCAGGTGCAGGAGGAGCTGGAGCTGGAATTGCTGGTGCAACTGGTGCATGTGCAAGAGGCTGAGGAGGCACTGGATCAGGCCCTAAGCCACCAGGTCTATCGCCAGGTGAGACATTTGGGACAGCTGGGTCAACTGCATGCTTAAGAAGCAATGTAGGAGGCACTGGATCAAAATCGTCTTTGGATGCTGGAACGAACTAGTACTAGGATGTTATTTCTGAGTCAAGTAACAAAGCAACTGAGCGCACTGTACACTCCCTGCGTGGCTGAGCACGAGCTATACGCCCATTGCTACCCAGGTCAGTGTCCATCTCATTGCTTGCACCTATGTTGTCAGTCCGATCTGAGCCGTCTACTTCACTATCACCTTGCGTTGCCGATAAGAGGCCCTGTTGTGATTGGACGTGGTCAGGAAAGGTGCATGACGCATTGTGAATGTTGCTGCTGCCTCTCCGAGAATTGACGAGTGAATTTTGATCGGAGGGAGAGTTGGTGTCAGCTATAGATGGTGGCGCATCCAATACGATTGCGTTGCGAGTTTCATTGTCTGTTTCGCTGTTTTTTTCTGTAGAGCTAGCTTCGGGGGCTAGTGGCTCGGTAGCACCAGTGTGACCACCTGCTGCAGGCATAATTTTAACCTTGGGTGAAAATGTGACAGATTGTCGTGCCTTCTGAGTCTGCCAAAATGGTCAACCGCCATTAAGACCACAGAAATACTGACTCACCGATTGTGCATCGTGTAGGTTATCAGGACGGGATGAAGAACTGCTTGACGCAGGCAATCCAATGCCAAATAGTCGAGTGGCATAGACATTTCTGAATATTCGAGAGACAGAGCCGCCAGAAGGAGCTGTAGATGGTTCCTATGTGCACAAAATTTGGCACAGATTCTACCAAGACATATTTGAAGTACACTTACGTCGGCACCCCTAGGTCTTTTCTTGGGATGGACCTTCTCCGAGTCCCATTCCTTACCCTTTGAACTACTCTGCTAGAATCATGCAGGTTAGTGATGTATCGGGTTGGGATGCTTGGCAGCATACTTCTGATGTGGTTATCAAAGCCCCCTCATCTTGGTTGCTAGCACGATCCTTAAGAAGGCATTAGAGTAGATGCTGTATACACTTTTAATATCATATACCTGGTTTATTGTGTCCAACACACATTCCTGCAATAACTGTAAATTGCGATCACAACACATAGTTAATTGAAAGGAAGTGCACCTGTTCCTCATCCGAGTTAGGGTCTTCACCCTCATGAGGTCGCTTACCGAGAATCTGTGCGGGTATGGTATGATCAGTATGTGACCCAGGCGGAGCCCCGTCAACCAGCACATCTTCATCGGAAATCTCATTGGATGGCATGACCCCGAGACAAGTGTAGATATTGTTCGATTTCCCGTCCTACACAGTCACAATAGTTATACTCGCCACCTTTCTTTATTATGCATTGTAATCAGAGATATGCCCCCTTTGTGCTGCCTGCACAGTTTTGAAAGTTCTAGATGCATCCGAGTCTCTGTCACGACTCACGACTAGGCACATGGCCGATTCCGATTCTGATTGAGCAAACCAGCTCAGGAAATGCCTAACTGTCAATCTTTTCCCAACAACATATTAAAAAGGGGATGAACAAGTACTCCGGCAGATCACAGTCATCCTCGTGTTCGCGGCATCATGATAAAATGAGATGTCTAGCAGAGATACTCGAGGGGACAGAGCCCGAGTTCGAGGGACATGGTGACAGCACTGTATAATAGCCCCCCTTAAAAGGAATAGAAGATGTATTTGATGCACTAGAATTTATTGTCCGAGGGAGCACAAAGGGCGAAGCCGTAAGAGATATAAGCTTGTGGGGCAAACAAAGGACACGAGTTCTGCTTACATTCGAGGATTATCACAAAAAGCCATTAAGTGATTATAACTGGATTTGGTGCTGATGCCCCAATCTGGACGACGATTGGATTTGGTGCATGCATCATGGCTCGGCCATATGATTGCGAAGCCGAAGAGAGCCTTTGGGAAGGTGAGTCATAATCGTGCCGAACATTATTACTTACTACTAGTATGAGATGTCACTAGAGCTGGCGTAACGGGAACTGAGAAGTAGTTGTGGTTCATGACAACCCTGCATGAGATCAGACATGCAATACAGGCAGGAGCCTTTATGTCCCAATGCTCGGACACGATCTGCGATGAGCCCTTTCTCTCATTCTCACGTCGGTTGGGGTACCCTCGGATATAATATCAGTTTACACACTTGACATGAGCCAGGTTGGAGAGTTTGGAGATGATGGCTTGCATGAGTTCTGAGAGATGAGAAGCCATATCTTCCCTGCCAACAGCTGCCACTTCTCCGAGACACATGAGAACATTTGCAGCTACAGCCTGGTTACTATCATTTGTCTTCTGCAGTAGGACGCGGAGCATAGGGAGTGTGTATGGCTTCATGAGACATTGGGTTCCGCCAAGGCAAATTGGGCCCCTGACAAACAGCTTGCAACAAATGAGTCGAACATGGTTAGTGTGATTGACATAAATGTTAAAGAACTCGCCTGGGATGAGCTCAAGTCTCTCGTAAACCAAGGACGGCACTCCTGATGAGGGAAGATGGGGCTCCGGTGGCTCTATAAGGCTGTCTACATAATATCAGGGAAAGCAGATCCAGTAGACCATCTGACGATGTGTTTGTTTTCATAAAAGTGTCATGTGTAGTGTCAACTGACGCACTTTGAATAGTCTTAGCAAAGGAGGGATATTACGTGCAATGGCCACCAACACCTATCTGAGAGACTCGCTCAGGCCGTACGCAAAAGATAAATCAAATTGATTGTGAAGAAATTTGAGCCATGATAGAGTCGAGGAAAGCTTTCATATTGACTGATAAGGGAATGCGAACCAAAGGACCTCTCGTCTGGCTTTTCCAGCTGTATTACTAGCAGAAAATATCCCATGAATTTGTGCAGGTGATGTTCCAAGAAAACCTGCATTCTGCAGGCAGCGAGAGTCGGGATTGGGGTGATGACCATTGTGCGAATAGCAAACCGTCTCCATAATTTGAAGTGAAGAATTTGTTCCGCAGTATCCAAAAATGATTCTCTTGTAAACCGAAGGCGAGTACCATTCAAATGAGGGCATCTCGATCCTGGAATATCCGGCCCACCCAGCCCATCCCACCCGTATAATGCAAATCTCACGGTCACAACATACCACATGACTCACAGCGCTGCCGCACGTGTTGCGGCTGACACTGTGACAATGGCTGCTACTAGTACCCAGCTATCACTTGCAGGTAGAACTCTCTCCTGGTACACTGTTGACTCTCAGGAGCCTTTTTAGAATGGATTGAGGCCCAAGGAATGAGGTGGAAGACCCATTGCAGTATTCATTCAATTATGTACATTTAAGAGGTCTAAAAATGCGAAATATTTAATATGTAATGACACAGCGATCGATCGTTCAAATGTTCAACATTCAACTCTCGGGAGACAAGCGGAGCGATTGCAGATCAGCAGCCTACTAGCTAGTAAAATCAATGGTCAATTAGCTGCCACTAGACTTATGCTTTTTGCATAGCAAAAATTGAACCATGTAGATCATAGATGGGCCTACTAAATTGCAATGTCTAGAGGGTTGCTCCTTTCATCAGTGAGAGTGAACATAGTCCATATACACCCTCAACAGGACAGGAATATTTTTATTTTAAAAAGCGGCCATGCTGACAGACTCCTAGCTATACAGATCATTTATGGGCTTCCTGGAACTTTGCATCCATTCGCTTATTTTGCAGCTCTTTCAGGGCGCTGTTCTATGATAAATCGACACTAGTGGCAAAATGACATTAAAAGGTTAAAGGTCGAGGTTGAGGAAGACTTACGCTCAGACGCTGATGATATTTGTACTTGTTTTGCATGGGCTTGTCCCCAAGCAATGCGATCATGAAAGGAGTGACAAGACATGTCTCCTTCAAGTTGACCTGTGTTGTATTGCCAATAGTGGCTGGTATTCTAATCTAAAGCAAAAACAGACCTGAATATCAGGGACGGCATACCAACCATGTAATTGGATGCATACAGGAACTAGAACCGTGTGAGGGTGTTCCGTGTGAGGGTGCACGGCACAACTGTTGTTTTCATCGACTGAGATAAAGGACATGGAGGAAGATATTGATATGTGGGATGGACACACATCTTCTGGGCCATGGGTCAGATTCCTTCTTAAATAGAGCAGGAATACAGAGGGGAAGGTTCACGGGCTATCCTGAGCTATCCTTGGCTCTGACAGTAAAAGAAAGTAAATATTTATTTGTTGAGTCGGACTGTGCCAAAAACTCAGCTCCGAACACGATGTTTCAACAGTCAACCCATTCTCACGTCAGTTTTAGTCCCTTCGGATATGACATTGGCAACTAACCCTTTTCAAAGGCTTCTGAGACTGGTGCTGTGACGTCGGCCACTAAAATCATTTATGGGCAGCTTGTATGAATGAACTCATCTACAATATTGTGTAGAGGAAAATACTGATGAGGTGACCATGCCGTAAATTAAACGGACCGGTGCTCGAAATTTGCTCATGCATTTTGGGCCTGAGCGCAAGCAGGAAACGATTGTCTTCAACAAATTGAGGAAGATGCCAGGCCTCTAGCATGAAAAAAAGTAAAGAAGGACGGGAAGGGATTGAGATCCGACATGACGCAATGATGATTGGCATGAGATCTCGAGCACCATGAGAATAAAATAGTCCAAAATTGAAATAAATATTGCTTGGAATGCAAATCACAAATGTGCTAAAATTTTGAATCGATTCGGGATCCGGGATTTGGCAGGATTCAGAGTTGGAACGTATCCAAAGTCGAGCTCCTGGCCTACTGCACATTTTGGCTGAGTCATAATATTAGATGGCAGAAGTCGAATAAAGGGAAAAATCAAGACAATTCTCTTTGTGGTTTGTCAGCGTTGCTGACGTAAACCTTGCTCAGTTGTTGACTTATTAATGTTACGGCGACTGAATTCGCATTCTGTTTTCAACCGCCATCTCATCAAGCAATATTTCGCAGTCACAGCCTGCAGGGCCACACACATCTGAGCCGACAGAAAATGTTCCACGTCATACTGACCTTGCTTGTATAATACGTTGACCCTCTTAACTTTTCATTTATCTGGTCTCTTTCTCGGCGCTTTTGGTTTGTCTTATCTGTAAAGAGGGGTCGACGTTGTTCAGCGTGTCTGAAGTCATTTTTGCTATTAATTTTGTATTTATTTGTAATTATCGAATTGTATCACGTGCATCTGTCTGTTTATGTCGGTGTTCTGCAGTCTATTTATGATTATCTATCATGTGTGTATGTTTATGTCATAGTACTAGTAGGGCAGAAAATGTTCCACGCCATACTGAGTAATCTGTGTTAGAATTGATAAGGGCAGTTAAAAAGAATTTCTGATTCCCTTTGTCACGGCCCGTGGCAATATTTCATATGAATCTGCTTTGTATTTTGATCATTCAAAATAGTGGTACTATCTAGATCCATTTATCACCCCCAATAATCACACATGCACCCAAGGATCTAAGCTGGCGATCAATTTCATTGCGGCTCTACAAAGTTGTTGGTTTGTGTCATCTCAGCTACCTACTAAACCACCCTCGTTCGACCTAGGTGTTGGGACTACTATACGAATGCAAGAGAATCTTTACTCGGTTCATAAAACTCTAGTTGGGCACACTGATTCAATCAGCTGCTTGCAGTTTTCCCCAAAAGGTCACCTCTTAGCCAGCAGTGGAGATGACAGTCAGTTGATAATCTGGGAGACTTCAACGGGAACCAATCGCCATCAGATCACCACTGCCAGCCCCGTATTTTCGATGATATGGGATCCTCGTTACAAGACAAGACTGTTTTGCGGGTGCAAGAATGGGAAAACCTTGCTCATTGATCGCTTTCAGGTAGTTTACCAAACCAGCCAAACTTCAGTACTTCTGACAGATATTACTTGCAGGGCCCAGATCATGAAGTACTGACTGGCACAGCAGCGCCAGTATACGCATTGGATGTCGATGCGGTTACTGGTTACTTGGCTATAGGCATTGGTTCTGAAGTACACGTCGCACAGGAGATATCTGGCAGTGAGCACGTGACAATCTCTTGGCGCGTTCTAACGGTTTCACCTGCGAGTAGATACTTTTGCGACATTCACAATTCTCCCAAAACCCGCCGATTTGTCCGACATGTCACCCAATAGCAGAGTTCATCCGAGATCTGTCCACTTCTTGAAGAACGGCACAAGGTTGATCGTCTCCTATCTCAACCATGGCATTATGTAAGTTGAATTCTGTATCAGTCACAACTATCAGTTTGATGCCACCTGGCAGATGTTGGGATCTGAAGACCCGCAACGCCTTATGGCACATTGTCCTGTCTCTTAGTCGCCGCCAAATGTAATGCACATCTCCATTTTTCTGCATGCATAAGCTAACCTGAATATTGTGTTACTAGTGGTTACGCTGCATTGTCCCATAATGCCTGCTACCTAATTGTTTCAAACATGAATATCAGCATGAACCTGTATGCCTTAGGTGAGAAGGAGCCCTTACAATCTTTCCTTCAGCCCACAAATACAGGCATCAATTTCCCACTCGGCGTAAGCTTTTTACATTGGGGGAGAGCCGTTGTATGTGGCTCGCAGATGGGCAGCATCAAAATCTGGGAGATGCTATCTGGAGAGCATCTGCAAACACTTGAGCACAAAGGTTTGCACGTACTATTACACAGGTGTGACTCTACTAAACACTCTGACCTATCTTTCCAGATGTCGTCATGCAGCAAGTAGCTGTACGTACATTATCCATCTTTGTATACCCACATTTGACCAGTTGTTGATAGGCTTATCAAGGCAATAAATTCGCATTCATCACTGTAGGTTCTGTTGGGATGGACAAGGAGACCCAAATAGTTTTATGGCGAGCAACTGGAGGTACATGACCACCATCTCAATACTCCAAGGCATCTGCTAATAGTTGAGCAGACCGAACTCTAGGCAACTCATGGTGGGATGATATCTATGATTATATTGTCAGTCTGGTCGTTCATGAAATTCATTATCAATGACAAACTGAAATTATACAGTGGAATACCCTTGCCTGAGATCTTGACCGAGAAATGCAGCGCGATATCGAACTTGGTGTCTTCTCTGCCCTCATTATCTTGTGCTTCATATTGTGCTTTTCGCAGATCAACACGGTGCAGGTAAGTCTGTTTTTTTGCTGTATCTCGCTTCGGCTGCATGATTGCACATGACAACAGATCAGCGTAGAAAGATATATCTTGAAGACTTTAAAACTCTGCTACAGTCGTGTTAGCCTAGCTTCCAGCGTTTTAGCTCCGACATTAAAGTTAATCTGGTATTGGGTCAGATCTACTTTCTGGTCACTCGTTTTGTCGGGAATCTCGTGTGCCGTGATGGGTTTGACATGGTTAGCAGAGAATCTAGGAGTTGAAGATATCATTGGGCGGCAAGACTTATGATTTCGGAATTCAAGAGTTATGTACACCTTTGATCTAATACACTTGCTCAATTTATCTGCTTGTTACTATGCGTTATTTCATCAGTAAACTACAATGGCCTTGTAATTGGGATGGTCCCTTCTGTACAGAGAACCTCACAGCGACTCAGTATTATTTAGTAAAAACAAAGCCATATTTTAGCATTTTAAAATGCCAAAGGCAGGAGTTGAACCCCAGTGAAAGTCGGACATAGCCATTTCCACAGGGGTCGACAGATTTGTAAGTTTTGAGTAGTCATTTGACTCATATCGATGGACATCGAAGTTGTGCAAACACATGTTGAATAATCTGTCTACAATTTGAAATTGTGAAATTTGAGCAGTACAGCATGCTCTGCAAGACAGGCTTACATGCAGTTCAACTGTCATGTTCAACTGGAGGTCCGTGCGTAATACATATTTTGTTGCTCAAGTATTTTGTACTTCACCACACTTAATCCAACTTCAACATTTCAACAGCTCCACTTGCCTGTGATTCGGAACTTCAATGAACTCTCCTCTCACCCTCATCAATGCAAATATGTTCCATCCCTTTCTTGTACCACCACCGTCGTGATAACCAAAACCTCGCTCTTTCTACTACATCACAGCCGCACAACTCCTGGGCAAACACAGATTTTCCTCATCAGATGATGTGAGTTTGTTGCCTTGGTTGTGTTATACTCTGCAAAAATGAACACATTTGAAACAGAGCGCATATAATCACTCATTCAACTCAACCCTCCAGTAACAGGCTTAAAATGAACAGCTAATGGTCCTGACGTGTCTCGTGCCACACCAGTGCATTTGTTTTCGCTACTGATGCGCTGATTCACTGATCTGTTGTTGGTCTAGGTTTTGGATGTTGCTTTTCTGCTACTGATGCAAGGCTCGGGCGCCAATGAATATCATGAACACCAACCCAAAGCAACAGGTGAGTGTAATGCTTTGTTTCTTTCATCTTTTGACAACTCAAATATTTTACTTCAGAAGCTCTGCGGTCATCGCTGGTGAAGGGGCTGATGCCAAATCGCTCCCTGCCAGAGTTCAAGACGTACTGTCGTGTATCTTCGTACTCTTAATGTTTCACGAAATTCTGGTTTCCAGGTTTATGGGCCCAATAACGTATTTTTACAGCAAGCAGCCCACCTAACGAATGGGTCCTGCATCTACCTTGAACACAGAGATCCATTCCTGCAATACCTGATTGTAATGTCATTTTGTCATCTGCCATATTCTGTTCCTCATCGGCTATCATTGTCATAGATGTCTTTCCTGTCACCGACATTTATCCGCAAGATTCTAGCTGTACCAAAGCAAGACAATATCGATTTCCACGCTGCATGCTTTTGCCACAAGAACACTGTAGACATCGGTTTTGTTTGCTCCGTCTGTTTATTAAGTATGCATTACCTTTACTGCTTTGTCACTGAATTCCGAGTCTTCCATGTTCACATCCCATTTCAGGGATCTTGCGAGGTATGACAACTTGCCTCCAACACTGGATGTCCTTGAAACGTGCTGAAAAAACTCTAGTGTGCTTTTGGGGGTGTTCAAGTTCGTCATACATCTGCATTTAATGTCGCCACATCCTTACACACTCGCAATTGACTGCGAAGCTAACAAAAAAGCCATGTTGTAGTTTCCATTTGTTTCTACACTCTTTTCTACCAGTCTGGGTCATCCACCAGGTGCAAGAGTGGAAATCAGGCCTGTCTATGGTTCAGATTGATGCCTTGTTCAATTTAGCCCCTCCACCACACTGCAACATGAGTATATTCGCGCTGTATTTCTGTGTTGTCCTACTGACCAGTTGCTCAGGGGGGAGGTCGTGATTTGGCCTTGCCACAAAGTTCCTGTTCCTCATGTGCCTAACTCAGATCAAAGTGATTTCATTCCTTATCTCTGACGCTTATTTTCTGGGTTGTCCCCAGACATTGGCTGTAGTGGTTGAGCCAGACTGTACTAACAGCTTACCTCCGGATAGACTGCTAGACAGCCATCATGCAGCATGCGATGCTGAACGAAATCCAATTGTAATCACAGCTTCCCGTTATGGTGATCTGAAGGTTCGAATTGAACCAGACCTTTGTTCTTATATCTCGGACAGGAATAGAGGTACCGAGGGGAAAATCTTTTTCCATTGTTTCTTTCCATGAACTACCCGAATGTGACTTCAGAGTAAGGTCTTCTCATTTCGAGTTAGCACGTCTGTCACGCTGATGGGTTGATGGTGCTCACTTGGGACATTTAACATAATGCCTACTTGTCTCTCAGTTACCTATATTAAATTATAAAAATTACATGCCCAGCTTGCTACAGACTGTATAATTATAGAACAGATTTTGCTCGCACTCAGTATACAATGACTTATATGCAAATTCATTGAAATGTCACGCTAGATCCAAGTGTATTCTATGTTAGTTCGAGGTACGAGAATGCACCTAGAATGAGATCTATGTGGCGGTACAGTGTTTCGGATTCCCACGCTTCTTGATTTGTACTTCCACTCAGCTTGCACTCAGCACTCGCAAGCGCGACTGCACGCTCGTTTTGCTGCACCCGCCCGGTGACCACTTCCCATTATAGCAGCTTTCATTCCAAGATAGGAATCAAGGTCAATTACAAAATAACAATAATATTCCAACTCGACGCCTCTCAAGGCCCTGTAAAATTTTCAGACTACGTGCCGTGAACTGCTATGGCCTACCCGTCCATCACAGCTCAGCACTCATCCTGGACGTTACCGCAGGTTCGAAACGATGTTTCGGGTCACAAACCCTTCGGGTTTGAGGCCAAATAGCCCCAAATATACAATTGCTACTATTTGTGAAATCAGCCGTTAATAAAGCTGATTTCTTGCGCGTTACCTCGAAAACTGATAGCAACACATAGAAGAATGTCTTCGAGTGCAAGCTGCTGATGCTCGTGAAGATTAATAGCAGCCATTCTGACATCGCGAGTGATTTACTGATGTATGATGGCCAATTTGTGATTAGTAGTGTACATGGCTATTATTTGTTTGTTTGTCATTTCTCAAAATGTTACTTTTTGCAAACAGCTATAATTGACCGATTTAGCTCATGATCATGATTTTTCAATGTGATTTTCACAATACTTTAGGTGGCAAATGGTATCTAGGATTTCCTCGAGTTCCCTCTTGCTCTACGATGTCTTCTGGACCTATCAGGAACGTCCCAAGATGCAGACGTGCTCAGACGCCTTTCTATCCCTTGATAGAATTCCGGCCTGGTCCTTTGACTTCCAGACTTCAAGTTATTCCAGCACATGTGCATGATGTTATCGAGATCATAAGCGACGACGAAGATGCAGGTCAGCCTGAGGCAGCATCAGTTATTGACCTCACCATAACTGATGACAAAGTCGCTAGTCAGGCGTCAGTCGATGTACATCGCGAGCCGACAGTATGTCATTTGAGCTTTCTTATGCCAGCAATTTCCTTTATAATCATAACTCATAGTTTGCGGTCGGCACTGAAGATATAGCCGATATCCTCTCTGATGACGAAGCCGCTCAGCAAGCCGGTAATGTCATGGTAAACTCACAAATTTTGCTACATTAACTATAATAACACGCACACCAGCCCATACGTAACACTTCTTTATCTGATGCACTGGCAGCAGCCACAGCCGAGCTAGAAACCCTACGCACTGCAATCCAGAAGGTCTGGTTTTCACAATTCGACAGCATCATCAGCTTACACATCATCATTCCTCAAAGGTCCTCTCTGAAAGGGATTCTTTTTTAAGGGATTCTTCTCTGGAGTGCGCTGTTTGTAAAATGGTATTCAAAGATTTGCACAGGTCAGTACAGGTCATGACCTTATGGTTGAGTGATTTGATTCGAGTGTTCTTTGGCAGTCTAAAATGTGGACATAGTTTCTGTGCAGCATGTCTCAAACGGTGGTTTCAGTCTTGCTGGACTAGATGGGTAGCATATAGACTACCTCCTGTTAGACTTACTTCCCGAGATATCTTGACGCTGCCACTATCATTGGCTGTCATATCGGCTGTGAAGAGACGTTTCGGACGTGTCCCGCTCACCTGTCCAACTTGTTGGGATCTCATTGGCAAGCATCAACCGTACAAAGTCATTGCACTCAGTCAGCTTTCAGTTACCCTATCATCACTGGGGGGCGAACAAGGTGAAGAGGATCCATCTACAGATTGGACAGGTTACTTTTCTGTATAAAAGAGTAACATCCATGGCTAACCTGTAAAGACCATCGCACACACGACTCTTCAATCATTTACAACTGTGATTATATATGCGCGTGGTTTCTTTAGAATATCAGTTTGGAACCTAATACATGGGATGCTCGATTGCCAATCGACATCCTTTGAAAATGTAAAATCAAAAGCGAATTCTACTAAATAGGGGTTAAATTCAACAATATCATCGAGAGGGGTCATTCCAGAGTCGAGAATTCTGAAAAGCCTACTAGAACACATGGTTGCGAAGTCCGTCACCAAGGACACAACTGCGGAGCGGACGAATATTCAAGAATCATGATTGGGCCTAGGTAAGACTTATTACCTCCAAGATCAGGGAGCCAAATATCATCAGAATCGCTCAACTGCAGTCAACAGCCCCATTGATTCCCATGAACCAGCTCGAATGTGCATGACTGAAGGGTCGTGTTTCGAAATTTCAGCCACCAAGTGCTTCTCCCTTTGTACGACCTTGCCTTGTTAATGCATTGGTGTGTGACATGATCGGAGGGATGGACGGCTATTGTGTTGCTAGATCACGCAACTTGAATTTTCCTTATACTCGGTCCCTTTCCTCTATGTCAGCTGTATACTACTAACTTGGCATTAAAATGTGCCAGACACGAGGACTTTACGATTATAACATTAGGGGTGAACTCGGAGGACAATGCAAGATTCTGCTCAGCGGCACGGCCCACCTGTCCGCTATTTAAGGAATCCGATTAAAACAGAATTATCAAGCCCACATACAAGTTGATATTCTCCGTCGACGTCGATGTCCTTTCACTCAGCCTCCTCTCAACACGAGAACAGCCATCGCGATGCGCTCTCAGATCCCATCACGTCCTCTCATTCAGTTTCCAGTGGCTGTGATGCGCTCCAGAATGAAGTGGAACCCACCATTTCCAGTGGCTGTGATGTGCTCCAGAACGAAGTGGAACCCACCACCCATGTAGTAGGTGGTCGTACCATATATACTGGTTCCTGTTCCAAGCATTCTGATAATCAAGTGACAGGACCAATTTGAATCTAATCCTGCGCCTCTAGAAGATGCCATGTCCATTCGTTCAACCTCCTCTCAATGTGGGAACGGCCCAGGTGATCATGAAGTCCACGATGAAGTAGAACGCACCAGATATCCCCCGTCGTCACATATTCACACAGTGTCCTGGAGCAGTCGCGATGCGCTCCTGGAACGCACTATTTCCTTTCTGGAGCACACCGCATCCTTTCGCTCATTCTCTCATTTTGACTCAGAGGACGGTGGCCGCGATGCACTCTACAACCAAGCGAAACAAGAAACCAAATGTCTAGCTCCGGTAAGTCTCATACACATGGGTGATTTGACTGCATCTGAAATACGACATGAATAGTCACGGTGGTTCCAGGCTGTCATTATAAGTACCACACGGAAGGTAGTCTTGGTCGCTCTCCTTTTGATTGTTGGTTTCTTGGTTCAGGACAGTTGTCTTCTTCAGCTGATCGACCACCTCATTTTTGCGGTCGAATCAGGAGTACAAATTCTCGTGGGCGCATACTTGAGACAGCGAGATATAGAGGAATGCGAAGTGCTGCGCTGCATGGGGACCGGTGGAACAATGTTCTACACACTGGTGTTCTTGGTACTAATAATGATTCCTTTGTAAATGATCATCCGCATACAAGAAAGACGACGATTTTATTTTGGCTGACTAGTACGAATCGCAATCGCTTAAGTTTTCTATGACATAGTACTAGTTAATTGTAGACATCAATGATCACAAATATTATCCATCAAAACCCTCCTGCATGCAAAGCTAGGCAAAATTATATGCACCGCAATCAAAAGACAAGAATATTACACAAGTACTAGTATGGCAGATAATTTTGACATTCTATAATGAAGGTGTTATCTAACCCTCACAAATGAGAGTGCCTATGAACGGTGAGACAGGTCTAAACTTTTGAATGAGATGAACACTTCGGTCAATGTTTGTGACAAGTAGAATACTTGCGACTCTCCAACCCGATTGCACAAAACACTGGTTTTGAACATTCCGTGGTTTGGATCAGGTGTAAGGTGAACATCTACATAAGCGAGGGCTGTCATCTAGACACAGTATCGCAAAATTACGTTAAGGTCATCTGGTTCCATGACTGGCAAATTTCTCACCATATTTATTGGAAGATGAGGGGCTGCCACTGCAGAGTCAGGAATGACTCTACTTCCATGGAAATTGAAGAGTCCCAAATATGAACAAGGGTCAGCTGCTATAAGCGTCATCGAGGTAGAAAATACTTGGTAGACACAGACTTACATCGAACTTACATCAATCACAGTCGTGTGGGCCTTCAAAATGGGCAGCAGCACATGCAACGCTTGCATTAAGCGACAGTGAATGATCGTGATGCTGAAGAGCAAAATGTTGAAGAATGGCATCCATGCCAAGGTCTTTCAAGTTGGTTCGAGTCTGATAGAGGCAATATCCCAGGTCAGAATATGAAAGCCAAGCAGGATCACACCGAAGCGGGCGAGGAGGTTACATTCCATGCTCAGGTCTCCTGAACAACCTTCATAGCGTTGAAACACGGATGGACATAACAAGCAAATAACAAGTATGTTCAAAGCAAAAAGCATCGACATTCCACTGACCTGAATATCACTGTCACAGGAGCTTACTAATCACAACCTGATTTTTGGCTTACAGTGCAATGAAAACGATCATCCTCTTCGAGCTGGGGAGCTATTTCAGATGGTCACAGTGAGGCTTATTAGAGCTCATCAGGGTCCGTGACGAAGAACTTGAATTGGTTACAAACATCATATTAGCAGAAGGTAATGTCAGCGACCTCTTATTGCATAGAACAGGCCAAATAACAGCGACCCGTCCCTACAAGTATTGTGTCTCATTTTCGTTCACCTTTTTGACTATTTGACTACTACCAGGCAAAGGACAGTCTACAGGGATCATAAATGAGCTACCGAGGTCTGAATATATATCAAACCCTCAATCTTAGATGTCAGTATGGCCGGAGGAACACCAGCATGTGAAGATTGGTACATCTGACTCAAGTCCAGCTGCGATTGCGCTCCAATCCTGCTAAAGTCAATACACCCATCATTACCAAGACCTCAGTCACAATCGCTCAGTCTGCTACTCCGACATTGGAGATTCGATTACCGGGACCGAGTGCTGTCAACGCTGCAGTACATTCGAATGCCACTCCACAAGTCAGATTTTCCTCCCACTTCGACATACATGAGTACCGAACCCTCTGAGTCCCTCAACTTGCTTGCAACGACCTCGAGGCCAAATATGCCAAGCCCTGCAAAGATCTGGAATATTTCAAATGGAGATTTTTTGAATATCATCTCTATGCGCTTCACACCAATGATGCCATGCTCAGTGCCAATGAGAAGGGCTTTGGATGGTTGTGGGCAGTAATTTCATGCTAACGACTGCCAATACTGGGAAATCTTCTTTCCTTTGCACCCTGACGTGATGACAATCAATTCCAATGCCGCATATTAAATTTCTAGTTTTTTTATGCCACTATTTCTACTCTCGCATCTTCCCTCGTGCTTTCATCAAATGTCCAGAGCCCGAAATTGCTCCATGCCTTATGCGGATGCCTTTGACAATGGAATCAGGGTGTGAAGCTGAAAGGGAGATCTAGCACGATCCTGCAGGTTGCCTCATGGCAAGTTCTTAACATGATTTATGCAATCTCAGTTAATCGGCCCTTTGTTAGCCCTCAGCTCCCTGTATATTTAAGGATTGACCCTTGATTAATCTGTGTATTTCGCTCTCCAATGGCTCCTTCTCACAAGGCAATGGTCCGCCAGAGCCACATCAGCAAACACTATAACCTCCGTTCGTCACCATTGAAGTTGAATCCTTCCTTGCTCAGCTCCGAGCCATCTCCTTGTATCAACAATGACAGTGGATTATTGCGCATCGAGCTCACAATCGCGCACGAGGTATGTTTGTTTGTTTGGTCCCCATCAGTTACCGACGTTGTCTTGTTTTGTTTCAGGCGGTGTCTAAAATAGGGACCTTTCTCGGTACTGACATTAATCAACTGCGAAAGGTAGGCACCATTAATGACTATCCTCGTCATTTCTAATCACTGGCTCTTCAGGAGCTTGCCAAAACCGAGCGAGAGAAGGAAAAGGCTTTCACAGAGCGAGATAATATTGTTGCTGCCCACCAGAATGTATGTGACCTTCACCAACCAAGTAATGCAAAGACTGAGTCTCATCACAGTTCTTGCACAGTGCTGACGTTGTGTTGCAATGCCCGATCTGCCAAGCAGTTATCAAACAACCTTTCATGTAAGCCACCTTCGAACCTGACCCTTAAATGCTGCTGATGCGCGGTTTTTATTAATAGTCTGGCATGTCACCATACATTCTGTTGTCACTGCCTACTCAGCTCATTCCATGATCGCATCAGGGCCTGTCTATCATGCTGCATCAATGAGACCCTTCCCGAGCGCTTTCAGCACCATCTAGCGCCGTTCACCAGCGCTGAGGTCAAGGAGTTGTGCGATGGCCCATACACTATCATCCCTGGTTGCTTTTATACCTGCCCCACCTGTCAAGCTTATGTCGAGAAACCTCTGGTCGAAATTCCTTTGCTCAGTGAAGTGGTCGGCAGGATTACTGAAGTTCTTGGCCCCAACATAGAGCGTTCTGAGCGGAGGGTTCCCGCAATTCCAGCTGCGCATTGGGGAGTATTCTTCAAGCAGTAAGAAATCGATCCATACCTACTACTTTGTTGGTCAGTTTTCCTCAAGAAATATGGACATGCACTACAGTATCTTCAACTTGACAAAATAGTCATTGGGCAGAATTCATCATTAGTATAGAGGTACAAATATATGTATGTAGCAAGAAAAGAAAATATCTGTGAACATGTGCTGGTTGTGTATTGCAAGATATTGTTGGACTCGAGCGCGCTTGACAATCGGTTTCTCATAGTTGAATGGGTCCGTGATCGTGCTCAGGTCCTCAAATTTGTTTCTGGGGGGTCAACGGCAGAATCCACTGTTATGACACTGAACTTCACCTCGACTTCGATAAATCGAGTCACTACATCTTATCAGCAACCGTCCGAGTGACATTTAAAACTGTCACATCTATTATGCCGTGCCTATGCAACACCTGCAATTTTCATACCCCAAGAAAAGACCCTCTGATTACCCTGACCCTCCGTTTACTATGTGCTACTTGCTGTAGATGACTCGTCTTCACCAAAAATGCGAAACCATACTATCTGAGTCTCCTATTTTGGTGACCCAGAAGACGAGGTTTTACTGAGTTTCGGATGAATTTATATCTTGAACTCAGAATTGACGACTATGCCAGTTTTTTTGGGGGTCTCGGTCTGGGTTTATTTGTTCCGCATGTGATGCTGGAATCTGATTGATCTAAAATTTAGCTTGAGGGGAAAGAACGGAGGAGTCATGTGACTACAAAAATCGCAACAAAGACCTCAACACTTGAACTGATTGTCTAGAGCAGAATAAGAGTTAGGGTCCGCAAGAATGTGAAAGAGAAAAAAAAGGCCAAAGGCCACGAGTGTGAGGTAGTTAAGAGAAAAACACAAACCAAAACTATCAAGACACTAAACAGGGATGTGGTGGGCAGGTGAGAAAATTGTACTTTAAGTGATCAGGGCTTTTAAAAGGACACTCGCTTAGTAGTCATTTGTTTGACTTTGCTAGAAGGGCACATGGGTTTTGACCACTGGCAGCTGATCAATAAATGCGACGGGGTGTTCGAAGAACCCCGCATAGTGCGTACTTGTAGAGCTAGACTTGTCAGCTGCTGCAAACACATATCACTTCAAGTTGTCTAAAAAAATGCGATGGAACTTCAGTGACCTGTTCTGCACATTACCTAATCCATCTCAGAATGAGTAACATTGTGGTGTACCTGGACCTTGCGTTCCTTATCCGGGAGAATTTCGCTCTCCCGTGTTTTCCTATCTGTGCATGATGAGTCTGCCAAATCGCCACCATTCACTGGACTCCGCCAAATGCTTTGTCCTTCCTGGAAATAACACATTCTCAGGGAAGTACATGTGCTGTGATGGTAGTTAAATCAATACTTATGATGACAGCAGCGACGAATGAACAACAGGGCACCATAAGTGTTTGGGTCAAGTGAGTCGAATTCACTGCTTACTGGTACGTCTTACATGCGTCTTGGTGTTCACCCCATGGCTTAGAAACATCATAGTAATACTGTGACAAGTTCACGACACAAGCCACATATATTCAACATACTACGATATCCGATGCTTGTTATCGGGAAGATTGCAGATATATAAGTCCTTCTTGATCAGAACCGGGCTTAACTGATGCTGTTATTGTGTGCATTCAGACCAAGTACGTCCGTCTCATCCCAAGTCCAATCTGTTGCACAGCCATCATTCGTGCAGATTGCTCTCGCTCGAACGAATCGCAAAACGAATGATATTATTCAATGGTATCACATCAGACTTGCAGCAAAATTTGTCGATCTGTTGCGATGGGTTGGAATTACTGGTACTGTTGGACGGTAAGATGCTACATTGCTATGAATCTGTCAATGATTTTCAGGTTTAATTTCACCTCAGTTCATGATACCTGATAAGTGCGATCATCTGTTGAAGTTCTCTCAGGTTACACTCATTTTGGCCTCAGTGAAGGTGAATTACTGGCTGCTGCTACTCAAGTTACGATCTGTACTCATTCAGGCTGCCTTCTTTTTCATTGGAAGCGAAGTTGTCACTGTAAGCGGGTTCTGTATTGTATGGCAGCTGCGGAGATGAAGACCCCTTGATACACCATGCCACAGGCGATACGAGCAGTAAACATACAAATCCTCCTATTTTACGTCAGGAGCATTTTTGTCATTGGGTTGCTCGTCTCTTCCAACAATCCTCTTTGAGTCTTAGGTTTTTCCAATGCCTCATCATCTCTGTTCATGATCGCTATCAATCAGGCTGGGATTAGATATCTACCCTCTCGTCCTACCTTCTGCTTGGTCCACTTCCTCGAGCGACTCATATTTGCCATCGAGGGCATTATATACATGCTGAAATGCGCAGAATTTTGTATTCTCACCACAGATGGCCTTGGTGCCACTGGGAATGCTCCCAAGTTTTTCTTGCGCAAACATTCATAGGTTGTTAACACCAGCTCCGGTATCATTTTTTACCTCATTTGTGGACATGGCTGCCACCACGGGACTCAGCGTGGTTTTGTACTATTCAATTTCTCCAGGGATTGTGAGACACATATATGTATTAAAGATGACTACTCGCCTGATCAAGGCAACATAAGGCCCCTTCAGGCTTTGTTCAAATGGCGTCCTTGGAAACAGGACAGAGTCATAGGCGTTGGTAAGCACTTTTGGCATCTTTTCTGTGAAACTCAGAGTACCCTCCTTCTAGCACGACAACCTGTCGATGCTCCCTGGACTATGAGCATCATCTAGATGACGGATGAGGTCTGGTTGTTTCTAGCTTGATCAAGCGTCGGTCTTCCAAGTTTCCTGTTACACCATATGTAATAGTGCAGCACTCCATATGCCATTGGGCCCGACTATACATAGCTGTTGTCATTTCTATAGAACAATTCTTTATATCCTTATTCAGTACATATCAAGCACATGACATTATGTTACAAATTACAATAAATTGGGCAAGGCCGAGAAAGTCGGATTAGACAAGTTAAGACCGAGGGTATCTGCAACACGTGCCAGTACATGAAGTACTAGGTCATGTGGGGGTGAAGAAGCGGTCAGAGAATGCATGATTACACCACGGACATGCTCGTACTCGGCGGATCACAAATGGCCAAGCCAGTGGGGATAAGATAAAAAAGGTCTCTAAGCACCTGTCCCTTGTACATGCTTATCGTCTTTTGAGTGACCCAGCGAGGTTCTCCAGTTACGCCGAACCAGAGGCGATGCATTGGGAGGAGAGGATGGGCCTGGTTTTCTTGAGCAGCCTCCCAGCTCCCCTGAGCACTCCATATCCATATCTGACGAGTATTCAGTGTGGAAAGTGACTGATGGATGTAGAGGTCCCCACACTCAAGCGACTCACAAGGCGGGGGAGCAAGAAGAGGCTCACAGCCGCGAGAATCAAACCAATGCATGATTTGATCGAGTCCACAAATTTTATGCTCCATGCAACGGGCACTGTGCTGGGAGTCATTGCCCTGAAGACAGCTGAGAGTTGGATTGTCGGTTGGAATAGACAACCCTGCACCAGGAATGAGCTGATGTTCAATTGGTACAACTGGAAAGTGTGGTTCTGGCGATTCAAGTTGTTGGGCTGGAGGGGTGAGATTATCAGCATTTCCTTGGGGGGACGGAGAGTGTGATGTTGATGATAGGCCGCAGGCATGGGATACAGGGGAAGTCAGAGATTGAGATTGTATCGGAGTATCATTTGGACTACACATTTGAGGGCACTGATGCCGAGAGGCATCTGGGTTTATCAAACCACGTCGGTCCAAGGACATGGATTCTTTAGGGAAACGAACAAAAAGTGGGTCAAGATTTACAGGTCGTTGGCGACGAGACATCGCCTGCTTTTGGAGACATTGTGTGAGGTAGGGTAACACTTCCTCAAAAGACTGTCAGTGAATAGGGAATGGCTGGGGAGATAAGTACACACGCTTCCCTAGCAAAATATTTGAGCTGCTTACATCTACTCCCCGTCTAGATACAGCTGAGCTCAGATATACATGCGGTTCCCCAGGCTTTGGGAAAGATTGATGGTGAACTGCTACAGGCTGGTTGGAGAGTTAGCATGACTCTCTTTATTTCATAAAAAAAACTTACATTGTGCTCTTGCCGAAGTACCTGCCGATATGGCGCGTTTATGGCGCGAAGAAGACAACGAGAATCTGTACGAGTGTGGTGCTTCATATGAGTAGTTGGGCTCAGAGAGTATTGATCTGCCGATAGAGGTATTACCTGAGATTAATGCCATTTTATAGTCGGCAGTTACATGTGTCAGACTAGTCACTAAGGATGTTAAAGGAACAATGAAATTGAGACTCGAGAGGCTCGACGAGGTGTTAAAGCAACTTGTAGTAAAAAGGGACAAGAACCTTTGCGATTTACCCCAGGGTCAATAGCTTTGTCTGACTACTTATACACTAGCTAGTGTGAAATATTCCTACTGCACACACAGACTCATTTTACATCGATAGGTGACTAGAATACTACTTACATAAGTCCCTAACAAGAATTCTGTAGTACTTAAATGGCTAAATGCTCTTGCAGCACTGTGCAGTATTCTGGACCCAGTTGGTACGCTTCAGCACACCACTCAATGAACTAACTTTTGTTTCAAGTGACCCTGGCACAGCCTTGGCAGAAGAGTTCAAATGATTGAGTTTTTGGCTTTATAATGTATTCGACCAGTCTACTGAAGACCAGTCTTCGCAAATTCGGCAACTGATCATGCAACTGGATGAAGTTGTTTCGCACATTTGCATGCTCCCCGACTTTTCATGTTCTCTCCTACGTCCACTGTTTCCTGACCTCCAGAAGGCGGCCAGAGATGGTCCAGTCATTGTCGTCAGTGCAGCTGCAATGCCTTGATTATCGATAGCATGGAAGATCCTATCCATGTTTCACTTGACATTACACAAGCCGAAATGTCCGAATTCTCCTTGGAATTCCAGTCACTCGCAGAGTAGTTTGGTTCTTCCAATCATCAACACAAGCTTGTTGGCATCCTTCGCAAACTTTGGAATGATATCTTTGACACTGTGCTCCAAGCTCTCAGGGAGTCAAGTGTTCACCCTGGTTCACGTATCTGATGGTGGTGTATTGCTTAGCTCACGCTGCTCCCTCTCCATGCAGCAGGACCCTACAAGAAGAGAAGAAACAATTTGTCTGACACTTACATCTCTTACACCTCACTTGGGCGACTCCCATTCGTGTGTTTCATTGGTCAAGGCAACTTGGTAAAAGGGAGGGAGCTACTAGCCGTTGTCACTTAGCACATTGTGCTCATTGTGTTCTTCACATCGCTCAAGGACGGCAGTACAACAGGGGTGCACTCAATGCACTCCATCATAATCAGTAGCTCCATCTCGTCTGCCATGGAATGCCGGATCATACTAGTACCACACCGTGTCCCTTTGAATGAATGTGATTTATTCCTGCATCGTCACAGTTCTAAGCCATTAAGCGCAGTCGTAGCATATGATTCAGTGAGTGGTGCTACCTGTGAACTCGTGGCATATGTAAGTATTGCATTTCGTCATTGCAAACTGCCATCCATTATCCCAAGAGTCAAATGTCATTGTATTCTTCAGTTGACCATAACACTTAAATGATAGAGAAAGTTAAATTTAGAGTCTCCTAGTGTTGTGAGGGCCATCTGAATGGCATATAAGAACTGTCTTAGCGCCTACGAGCGTCCAGGATGCGTTGTTTTATTGATTTCCTTTTGTCAAGGAAGTGGCGAAATTTTTGCCAGTACTGCCATTAGTTTCTCACACAGAGCTGTAATACTTTTATATACTAGGGCGTATGCCGTAGACATTCTCGCTTTTGTGAGATATGTACGACATACTGTGCGATCTTCCTCATACTCGCTTCACTATCAACTCTATCGGCTTTTCGCATGATGGTTGTGTACTTGCTAGTGGTGATGATGCCGGATATATTCGGTTCTTTGATTTTCCACTTGGAAAAAAATTGCGTAGACTGAGGGTTACTACTGCTGTAACATCACTTCTATGGCATCCAAACAAACCTGATATCATTTTCATTGGTGGTGCGAGGGGCAATATCACTGTCATAAATCTTCATGTAAAAGTGAGTGCAAATAATGATACCATCGGGTTCACATCTAACATCTATCTCGAGCACGACTCGGAGGCTCAAGGTTTTTCTCTTCGCACTGGGGTTAATGCACCAGTAGATACATTGGCCTATGATGCTTGCAATGGGTGTCTTGCTGCAGGAGTTGGTACTGATATTATTCTATTCAACCACCCTGAAGGTGAAGTGAAGTGATCCTGCAGAAAAACACAAAGGCTAATATTCGTGCAGACCCTTGGACATTTGGTTTAAATATTCCGCCCCCACCTATGGCCTATGTTGACGATAACAAGCTCTTGCTACCCTTGCCCCGTGCTCTGAGATTCAGTGACAATGGGCGTTCTCTCATTGCAGTGTATTTTCAACATGATATCATGTGGGTGATCTCAGTTTTATACCAGCACAAGAAACTCAATTGTTTGTCATTCAAGCTCATGGCTGATAAAGTCTCTCCAACCAGAATGGACCATCTGGCCCAAACGCTCACATGTGTAAGTGCATTATTCATGATTGATTAGGCGGTATTGACGGCCAGTCAGGGGAGGGGCCTGTTTCTCTGCTGATGGAAGGGTGGCTGTGTCGAATCTCTTTGATGGCTTCGATTGTTACGATATCAACAGTGGCAAGCACTTGGCCAACCTCCCAACCCCGATCATACAGAGCATCCCACTGCCTTCCGTGTTCATCGAAGGTGGCCAATCAATATTGTGTGGAAGCTCCTGTGGATATGCCTTGATATATTCTGGAAACATGAAAAGTGTCCTTCAGGTATTAAGACACGGCGGTGCGAGCCTTGAGATTAATGCCGCTGCTATGAATTGATTTTATGCTACCCTAGAACATGACATCATTCAGACACTGGTTCATGTGTAGTCATTATTTGCTCTTAACTGGTGTTGATCCATCGGAGAAGGCCTATTGCGAAAGTGAGGCGAGACTTATCACAACAGCCTCATCTGAAGCTGATTCGGACAATTACATTCAGATCTGGAGGGCAAGTGCAAGTGAGAAATATTTTCTCCCGAACATCTGTATAAATCCTCACAGCAGTGGCTAACATGGCAGCTTCGCAAAATATTCTAGTAAGCTGCAAGCATCATCATTTCCTAGAGCGCCATACTGATATTAGAAGGGTTTATCACGATCACGCTGGAGCATTGGTATATTTGTTATGGTGGTACTATTTCTTTGGATTAAATATTTAGGCGTCAATCCAATGCAGGTCGGTTCATGATCTGCTTCAGGAGTTCTGCCCTCTCTCACAGCTGACAACAGACTCAGAGCCACGTGGAAAGAATAATTTTGGAAGCCTTAGAAGTCTGGCGCCGCCTAGCCAGTCGAGCCATTGAGGCTTTAGGCCCATCACCCATTTTCACCTGGCACTGGGTCAGGACTACATTTCCATCGCTTGCTTCAATTATGGGCTTCCGTGAGTTTAACATGGATTGGAACTTGAGAGGCAAGGATCTTGGCTGGTAGCAAGAAATATTCAGACACTATGCACGTTTTTGATCAAGTATGCATGGCGAGAGTTGTAATACCTTCTTGAATGCAACCTTTACCAATTACTATCTTAACATTAGCCAGCTCAATGCTTTTGCACAACTTAATCAAGGCTGCAGGCGGGTGAAAACATGACTTTTTAAGTCCAAACTGGCTGCCAATCTCCGAGTTTTACGATTCACCACTTTTCCAGGGATGCAGATTGACTTGTCTACCATGCGCTCCTTCGCATCACCGTGACAAGAAAACCAAGCTTCTGAAATCTCAGTTCGTTTTGCATAGATGCTTTAGCGCCTTTCAGAATCATGAATACTCATCAATAATCGGAGCGAGGACGAGGATGTCACCAAGGAATCCTTTATTGGCACCATAAGAACAGTACCACTGGCACCATTATCCCGCAGAAGATACCTAGGATCATTTGAATACCTGTCGTGTCGGACACTTTGGTACTCATACAGATGGTCCAACTCCAATGTAGGCAGCAGTTACGAAGCGTCGCGAACTGCTCTTTTATGGATGACTAAGAGTTGTTCGCTCAATCATTGATCCTGTTTGGCAGATTGGTGTGCCGGAGCTTCATATCTTCAATGTCCTAGACGTTGCCATCTTGTCTATGGTCTAAGTTCGAGTCAAAGTTGATAGCTATGGTCAGCAGCCCGAGGTATTCAGTACTCCTTGAACATGGTTGTAATCACCCTTTCTTAATGTATCCCATGGGGTAGCTCCAAAATCATTAGCATTGGTGTGTTCATCTCTTCTCTAAACTTTCAACTTGGTTAACTCTCACAATCCTCGATCACAGATCGTTTCTGTTCTTGCGCGTGCAAAATTTCGCTCGCACACAAACCCACAACCGTCTCCCATTGCATGTGTTTGATGGGCAGTCTGGTAAAGAATCCCACGACGCGCATTCCTGTCCCCCTTCCTGTGTGGAACATTGTAAAACTGATCTGTTCGCTGCCAGCTATTGCAGCTGCTCGAGTGCATGTTAATGCTCCATCTCTGTGCTTAGGCATAATTAGATGCCGTCTTTGGAACATCTACATATGGTCTTCATGATGATTGTAGATTCCCCATCCGCTGACATCGAATCGCCACCATCTCACATTTTCACTATTTCACATTCAATCCTTTGTCCTTCACAATCGCCTGCCTACACATGTACATTCCATATGTTTCTCAAGCCTTCCCCTTTGTCATCCATCTTCCATATAGCGCGACATGTCATCTCGGAATATTAATGTTAAATTCACCTTTTTTTGACCCATAGGCTTTCTGCACGTTCGGTCCTCAACTCTCTCTCGATCGTTCTAGCTGTGCATCTATCAGTAGCTCTACAATGTCGAGAAATGAGGCGCGGATTCATGGTTTGCTGAGGAAGTCGCTTGTTGGGGAACTTCTTGATACCCAATTTGACTTGTTCTCCGCTCGGTCGAAGTGCGCAGGCAACATTACCAAGCCTCAAGCATTATTTGCAAACCACGAAGCCCTTGCTGCGAGTTCAGAGTACTTTGCAAGCTGTGAGTCACGTGCCTGTCACTGCTCAGTCAAGTTCACAAGATGCTCTCAGTACTTTCCAGAAAATTCCTCAATGATCCTACTTTGATCGAATTTCAAGACTATCACACTTGCGAAGGAGGGATCTCCCTTAGTGAGTATGGCTATGCGTCCAATAGCGACCTCAATGAAGAGGAGGAGGAGATTGACGAAATCGACAAAGACAGTAAGTTGTTTTACTCATTGTCGTACAGGATCACCTTATGATAATTTTTGAAGAAGAGAAGTGTGTGGAGATTTCTACAGAACGAATGTCTCGAACAGCATCAAACTTGGATTTGGCTATAAAGGGAACACAATGTATTATGCTAAGCCACAGAGTATTGGTAACAGATACTGCATTTAATATGTACGGGTCTACCATCCTACCTCTTGGTTCTCTCACTTATTGACTTCCATAGATGGCAAGCTTTATTGTACTATCTGTACACTGACGAGATCGTTTTCGCACCTTTGCAATCACAGGGAAGTAAGATTGCAAGACATTCCAGCCTTGATGGGCCCCCGCCATGCTCGCTGAAGTCTATGTATCGTCTAGCATGCAAGGTGTGTCTCATGTAACCTGGCATACCTTGTGAACTGATGATTGGGATTACCAGATAAAACATGATAAATTGCAGGCCAAGGCGCTTGCTGCTATACGATCAAGCTGGACTGAGCACAATATTGTACTTGAATGCTCTTTGTCTCTGAAATACAGGCTAGTTCGTTATATATTTTCTCATTTCCCCTAACTTACCATCGCGATACCGCATATCTTCTGAAGGTTTCCTTCCATTCTAGAGGTGGAGACTGAGATTTTATTGCAGCTCATTGACACTACCACTGCCATGACAAACTTTCCGACAATCGCTGGTGTTGACCTCCTGCACGAGGTTGATGTCTAATCGAACAAAAGAATGCCGCTTTTGTGTGTACCAAGTAATGGAACCAGTAGAATTCACTTCCCTCATACTAGTGTTGCTACAATATGCCTGCATTTGCTGCGAAATAATTGAGATCGACCTTCTGCTGCCTACTGTCACCCTCTTATAAATCACTGGCAGTGCACCACACCAATTTCAACAGCAACGATGAGTCAGACAATGATGACTAGTTCAAGTTGGTGCGCAAAATTGTTATGAAGCTCCGTGAATACTTCCTTTCTAGGATGTCCAGAAAAATGTAGAGAATAATACTAACCTTGAACTTGCCTTCAATGAACTTATGTTACATAAACCTTTCCAACCTTTCCAAGTTTGACTGAATTGACCTTAATTAATTTTTCTTCTGCTAGGCCCAGCTGAGCTGAATCATAACAGAATAGAATGACAGGCATTGTAACGTAGGCTGTCTAGTTCTCTCAGTTCCTTCCCTCTATTCATAATGATTTCTTCAACAATCCATATTGCACTTCGTGTGTGACCACCGCACTTGAGTCTTCGGCATGTTCCAGCAGGCAGGAACAGGAAGATGTCCCACTCGATAGCCTCACAATATCCTACAAGCGCTTTAACATCGAGCCAGACAAGAGATGACACTGCCCTCATAGAAACGGAGAAAGTGAAACCAGGTTATGCTGTCATTTCCACATTCGATTTGTTCAGTATCCGTGGTGAGTTTCGAGTATGTGAACACAAGGCTGAATGTATAATTGGCTTGTTCAGTGACCCCAAGTAGCTCTCACACAGTTGGGACCATGCACATTGGCAAGATTTTTATTATGTTGGAGAAGGTACGTGCTTCCGCTCTCTACCTTAAATACGTTCGAATGAACTTGTACCAGAAGGTCAAAACTGTGGAGATATTCCTGCGAGTGCTGGAGCGTGATTTCTTTTTGCTTCAAGCTGACAGTGGAGGTCTGCATGATAGCTATGGATCGCTAGCTGCTACGGGTAAATATCTGTATTTCCATAGTTCTGTTCACTAATCGATGACTCTTTTCACATAGGAGAAGGGTGATTATCTTATCCCAGCCCCACACTCCGCATCTTCAGGCTTGAAGGTTCAGACCCAGAAACTGTTGACATGGGAACAATCTCTTCCCGTTACAAGGCCACACTCGCAAATAGAATTCTTCATCCTGGAGGCATTTGTCACATTACCTTTGACATGGACCGTGACATGCTGTGGCAGTAGGATCAAGTACTCAAGACACACCCGAATGAAAATACATTCGAACCCTTGTACATTTCACCACGGTCCTCCCTATTTCTCTGACGGTAAGGTTGCCAACTCTGATGTCTTTCTACTTGCTGACTTGACTTGACAGCAATTGTTCTTTAAGAGTACCAGCGGTGGGCATACTTGGTGAGCTATCAATGTTCACACTGCGTCCAATTTCCACTAAGTGAGGCAGCCCGAGTTATTCATAATCCAACTCTTCGCGACCTCTCTTTGTGGCATAACCGCACCAATGCAGCAGGAGTTGACGCACTCGCTCTCATGATCAGAGACTACACATGTGGTCCATACTACTTCTAGCTCACCTACTCTTCATCCGCAAGGCAGTGCTATCACTTTCTCCTCAATTCCCCTTTTGCTCATCTAACCTTCGCCATCTGTTACTCATGCAGGACCTGTACTGTCTCCTCAAACAGCTCATACTCGTACCCGAAGGAGGAGGACAACTTCCGCCACTCTCGGCTTCTGGCCAACCTGTCCCCATCCTCACTTAAATCCACAGGGTGATGTCACCACTTGCCATCCTGTTGGAGGGTGGACTTCATCTCATTGGTACGGCCCAAAGGCATGACGATAGTCCAAGTGCTGCACTCCTGGACAAGGAGCTCGCTCTCGATGCATTGTCAGGGCTTGGAGCTCTCCCCATGTTGGATCTATGAGGCAGCGACCTTCATGTAAAGGATATGGCATTATCTATTGACAATGTTGGCTTAGAACGGGGTTACTTATCTGGCATGAGTACTCAAACGAAACAGGACATTTAAAATCCTGGACTTGAGCAAGAACAAGCTGGATGCTCAGTGCTTAGTAGCACATGCAGAGGCGCTGGTAAGCGTCTAAAGTCTCTTTGACTGGTCATCACTTTGATTCCAACCTTCTAGAAATACAATCTTTGCTTAGAAATTTTAGACTTCAGTGGTCTCGAAGGCGTTGATAACTCACTGCTGGTGGCTAGACTGAAACTTCGTTTGGATCAAATCACCCTGAAAAACCTTCACATCAAATAATGCTCTTAATCGCCTATTTCTCTGCTCCACCAATATGACATCACTGGGCGCTATTGCCCTTGCAGATTTCCTCCCTGAATCTTTGTTCCACCTTGATCTCACGGACAATAATTTGGACATCGCTGTATTCCATGATTTCTGGATGTGCTGCGCAGAATTTATCATCTACTGACATTATGTTTTGCTGGTGCATCACTCCAAGGATGTGACCTGCTAACTCGTTGTTGAGGTCCTTGATTAAGATGGATGCTTCAGCGCGACGTTCAGTTGTTTCATTTTGTTGCTGCCGATCTACTCTTTATATAATAGGAATCAGAAATCGGAGCTTAAAGGAAGATTAAACATAGTGATTCTGCCTCATGGCAGTCACGACGTGACTTGGTAAGAGGGTAGGTTTAATCTGCATAATTTACGCAATCTTTGTCCATCAGGAATTCTCAGTCCTTTGTGACCTTTAAATTCCTGCATCATCCCAAGCATTCAGGATTTATATAATCATGATGCCTCCCTCTCGCAGGGACCGTCAGAGCCACGTCTATAAATCTTATAATCTTCGTTCCTCGAAGTGGAGTCCTTCAATATTCAGTTTCGAGCTATCATCAATTCGCGAGGTACATTTTGTATGTCGTAAAATCGCGGAACTCGCTATTTATTTTGGCTCTTTTTAGACAGCGTGCCAAGCTGGAGCCCTCAGTGGTGACATAAAGCGGTTAAGAAAGGTAAGTATACATTTTCAATGACCATCTTGTATCTTCTCACACAGTCACACTGGCTCAAGGAGTTGGCTATGGTAAAGCGAGAGCAAACAAAGGCTTTCACAGAGCGAGACGGCGTGGCTGCTGCTCACCATGAGGTATGCATTTAGTATTTGACAAGTTATCTAAAACTAATTTTCATCCTTTCGCAGTTGTTGCAAGCCGTCAAAGCCGCATTGCAATGCCCAATCTGCAAAACAGGAATTGAGAAGCCTTTCACGTCAGTCCCCTTTAAGTCTGATTCTTGCATGTTACTGAGGAGCCCATTCAACAGGCTGAGTTGCCACCATACATTTTGTTATGAGTGCCTAGTCAGCTGCTTTCATCAATGTATAAGGGCACATTTATCCTACCGTCCTGAAGCAATACTTCCGGATAATTTTAGGAATCATATCACACCCTTTACAGGTGCCGAAATCAAAACATTGTGCGACGGCCAAGACCCCATCCTTCCTGGTCGCTACTATCACTGTCCAGCCTGTCGGGCATTTATAAATGACCCTCCTGCCAAAATTCTGTTCCTCCGCGATGGGATTGCGAAGATGTCTGACCTACTCAATCCCGATGTAAGACGTGCGAATCAGGGGGTACCTGCAGATCCAGCTGCATGGTGGGGAATCTTCTTCAAAAGTTAGATGGGTAGTCGAACAATGGGATTTGAAGAACTGTGTTAGACCATACTCCTATTACCTCCAAAGCCCTGCTCATTTGTACACTTCACTGCGCGCTATGTAAACTACTGACTCGTTCGCATATGTACTCTGACATATTGAAGGGGACCTTGATTCATTCCCTGGCGCCATTGTTGAAACCCTGCCAACATACAGAGAAGCCGAAATGGTGAGCTTTATCGTGCAAGGAGTATATTGGCATCATGGGAGAGGTCTGGGAGAGATTGTTATGTTCAGCTAGCTGACATACCATGAGAACGTCGTTCAACTTGGTTGATTCTACCACAGGAGCGCATCAATCCTTCTTCAGTCCCAGCAATCATGATGGGCAGTAGATCCGCATCTGTATCTGTAACGCATGGACAAGAAGGAATAGTATTGCATGTGGGTGAGGACGGAAGGGAGGCAATTTTGAAAACTCTTAGAGCAAGTGCCACTTTGAATCAGTTTCAGTCCTGCCACACTTACTAACTGAAAATTCAGAACTGCGCCTTTAATCACTGGAGGTTATCTCCTTTACATGAGGTCGATCGGGAGAGTAGAAAGGTCATATACTCAATCAAGTAGCTGACAATCTTTTATTTTTGGTTGATCATGCTGATATACCTGCATGGTTTGTGTAGCACGCCAAAGGCTACCCCTTCAATTCTGGGTCAAGCACCACGGTGAGCCTTATCTGTGCCTTTAACATCTAACAATGGCCAGAGAAAGCATCCACGACTGGCGAATATACAATGCTTTGATGCCAGTGCACTGGATCATCCTGATGTAAATTCCACAGGGGCACGCACTTCATCTAATATTGTCAGAACTTATCTGTTGAATCCTTCAGGTGTGTATGTCATTATGATGCATTTTACCATTCCAAATTCCCATCTTTTTCAGGTATACTCCCTCAACTGAATCCATTGTTATCTTGCCCGAGACGCACCTCCGAGTTGATTAGTCAATGTTTGTCACTGATAGCAATGTCAAGAACATAGCGCTCACGGAGTCACATAGATCTTGCAGACGAGGGAAGTCAGCAGCCATCATTCCATGAACAACCCTTTCCGAAGGGTACTGGTACAGGAACAACAAGATGGTTCCGCTCATCCAGTACACATCAACTTCTCTGTCCGAATGAGGACATTGCTGGTGTGGTTGGGGACCTCTACATCCACACGAACACTCACTCTAACACAACATATCTATGGGTCCTACATCCTGTTGAAGGATGGATTCCCATCAAAGCAGGGGGCGATCACCCAACTGTGCCCAAGAGGCGCTTACAAATTCGTAAAGATGGTGACCCAAGCTGGGTCCAGAATCGATCATTAATTTCAATCCAGTCAAGAGAACATTGCCGCTGATATTTTAGAGGGAATCAAACGTGTCGATTCTCACACCGATTCTATCACATTGATTCACCCGTGTTGCCATTTCCGATTTGTAATTTCCAGGTAATATAAATTAAATCTTCAAAATATACATTCAAGCTGAAAATCGATTGCAGAATCGGTTTGAGAATTCTATTTACATTACTTATCATAGATGATCCTGGCTTATATACGCTGTATGAAGGGCCGCGCTGGACAAAAATACGAAAATTGATTTTCACAAAACTTGTGAGAAAGATTCTGATTTCCGAGTTCTTTTATAACAGAAAAGTGAAATGCAAAGAACCAAAAGCAAAACACAAACAACAAGTTAAGTGAAAACTTTCAAGTTTGTCAAAGCTTCACTAGTGCACTGACTAAGTGTGCTCTACCTGACAGTCCGTCCTCGACTCCCGATACCAGGCCATTCTGTATTGCTACAGTCTCATTAGTTCTTCTCGAGGTCAGTACTCAGTGAAAACGTCCAAGGCTTGGGTCTCACCATATGCATAACATTGGTCTCAAATACTAACCTTTGCAACAACATGAAGTACATTATATCGTGGACTTCAGCAGGATGGAGCACGTCAACTCCAACCAAACACCACAATGAATTCGCTCTCTGAACCTGCTCAAACTCAGTGAGACAACTTCAAACATCCCTCTTCGGTGATTAAATGCGTGGCCATCGCAGATGTCTCATGGACACAAACCCCAGCTTGGGTCGAGCTGACATCTCCTAGCATACACCACAATCACGCACTCTTTTGGTCTCTCACATCACTCGGGTTCCTAGAAACTCACTTGAAAAGCCTGGAATTATCATTAATGAATTGTCCTTCTCCTCAGCACTAGGTTTCCCTTCCTCTGGATGATCACATATTATATAAACTGCAAACACTCTTGCTTGGCGGCATTAAGCCTTGCACTATCACCAAGTTTAGTTCGAAGAACAATGTGAGCATGGTGACCAAGCTCATTATAACCTTGCCGTGTGGTCTCAAGAGGTAGTGGGATTTGCTCTAGGACTTCAGGTTCGTCCATGCCCAACAATATTGGTTGAAGTTGCACATGCATATGCAATGACTTTGTCTACGGTCATTTGTTTCCCAATGCAGCCAAATGTAAACAAGAGACTTCAAAATCAGAAAATCGACAACTAATTTTGTTCGATTTGTTATTTTGAAACAAGAGAAACTCAGAATCTTTCTCACTGGTTTTTGTGGAAATCAATTTTCATATTTTTGTCCAGCGTGGCCCTTCATAACGCCGTGAAATTTATGTAAGTGAAAACCAATTGTGGAATCGGAAAAGGAAAATTTGTGTGAAGTTCGCTTGAAAATGATTTTCTCAATCAGACGTTATATATTTTGTCCCAGCCTTCCACATGCTGCGCCTGGTGCCTTTTAATTACGACCCTTCCGCATCCTTGCCTGCCCTTGTCTGAGTTGGTGAACTTTGGTGATGTGTGACTGGGTCTACCAGGTGTTGCTTGAAAATTCTCATGCATAGAATTCTGGCATATGAACGTTTGAACGTTGGACCATCGACTTATGTAAGTCCTTCCCAGACAGTTCTGAAAGTTCTTCTGGTAATTTGCGTGGCAGGCTGTTGCATGCTGCGGCAATTGGAAGATGTAGTAAAGTTTGAACTCACTTTCAATATATAGACAAAGAAGAACTCAAAACTTGAATACAGGGCGCCTGCTGCCTTTCCCTTGTGCCCTTGAACCTTGATAACACTCTGACCCATCCGATCATCATAATCGAGCACTACAGCCGTTAGTCGCTTTGTCCTTTTTTGACATCCACATTTTGACAGTTTACTGCATCGATCAATCGTACGCGTAATTGTTTGACCTCGTGTTCTTCATTCACTCCTAAACATATCTCTATCAGGAATAGATTAGTACCGACTGAATCGAGACGATCGAGAGTCAAGACGAAGAAGTTTCATCACTAGATCACCAAGCCTGAGCGCCGCAACCATGAGGATGTGGCAATGGTGGTGAGGATGCTTTGTCTGTTTCAGTGCTTATCTGATTCGAGCGAAAGTGATCATCAAGTGCGTATATTGACTACCTCCTCTACACCAACTGGCCTAGCTCCTGTATAGTGCTAAGTGTTCATATTGAACGAGCAATGACACTCCTCCTGATGTTCTGATCTGCCTTCGCTTTAGGTTATCATACCAGCGACTGTGAGTCTTTGCGAAACAAATCAGTGAGTTTTTAGAAAGAACCACTCGTATTATTTTCAACATCCAGCACAGATGGATCAAGCCAGCTTGGTCGACAAGTCTCCAGCAGTGAACACCTGACCCTTGCCCTATGATACGTCATTGCTTCACTTCTGTCAGTGTCGCCAATGTGTCCATGAACAGGGAACAGAATCTAATTTTGCCGAGTCTCACAATGAGCGTCCGGGATGTTGGTTGAATGTGACCATGTACTACAGGCACAAACGAGAAGAAACACTCCTTTGTGAACTGGACCGTGCCTACTTGGATGAGAATGGACAGCCAATTGATGAAGATTTGTTGCCGAATTCGCCCCATGGTCACACTAGACCCATACCCGTCTTTCATGATCAATCAGAACACCCGTCTATTGCGGACCTAGATCACTTATGTTCTAGAATTAATCACTATGTTCACAGCCTATCACTCAAAGGTCCCCTCAAGTTCGCTAGACATCCTATGATTGATGGACCATATGTGCGTCTCGATCAGGATGATCTTCTTGCTGTGAACTCTGGTCTGCAACTGCTAGAGCCCTGTCACCCCATGAATCACTTAGTCCATCAATTCGGGAGGGGCGCCATGTGTTTAGTTTAGGAGTCGACGGCTTCAATCCGTTTCAGAACAAAGTTGCTAAACAGAACATGACAGTAACAGGGATGTACATGGTATGTTTGAATCTTCCTCCGGACCTGCGCTATCGGCCCGAGAACATGTATCTCATTGGTATCATCCCTGGCCCAACAAAACCTTCCACTGATCAGATCAACCATTTTCTGAAACTCCTTGTGGACGATCTGCTACCCTTTTGGGACCCTGGTGTTACCTTCTCGTGCACAGCGAAGTATCAAGATGGTCGCATCATCCGAATCGCACTCATACCAATTGTTTGTGACCTTCCGGCTGCGAAACAAGTTGCAGGCTTCAGTGGTATCGGCTCGAAATTCTTTTGTTCCTACTGCTTACTCCCTCTCTATGATATTGACAATCTGGATCGGAGCCAGTGGCCTCCTTGTGATGTCGAGGCTCATCGCAAACATGCTCGCTCATACCGAGATGCTCCTACGCTCGAAGAAAGACAATGTGTATTTGATCAATTTGGGGTCCGTTGGACAGAACTTCTCTGACACCCATATTGGGATCCTATTTCTTTCACAGTGGTCGAGTCCATGCACATCCTATACCTGCACATCCTCAGATATCACTGTCGAGTAGCGTGGCAGATGAACATAGATTTAGAAGATGGCAAAACCCCTTCAGGAGAAGGAGCCAAAAGTGTTGCAAGGCCATCTGATGAATGCATGAAGAAAGGCGTGGGGGCGCTCGCCACAGGAACCTTCGCCGCTCTCAACGCTTGCACTAAACCTGTCCTCTTTCATCTATGTCAGGACAGAAGTCTCAGGAGGGCAAGTATGAAGTGTGCACTTATAAAGACTCTCCTGAATTGGGTGCGTATACTAGGTCCTTGGAGCTTGTATATAATTGACTGTACAGTATGATAGAAAGCCAATCAATCAATGCAAGACATCACCTCAAAGCCAGTCATCCCTCCCTGTCCTTCAAGGAAGACGTCTCTGACAGATGCCGAATCAGCTAGGCTTCTGGTTGAAGGTACAGCAATGGTCAGCACTTTATTGCTTCTTTGGTTCACAAAACCCACCTTGGCGAGCCTCTGCAATGCAAAAAATGAACGTTGCAGTGGGAACAAGAATGATCTTGTGGGCAGGCTATTAGATTGGGTATGTCAGTTATCTTGTTATCCTTGTTCTCCTTGTCATCTACTACACTTGTCTAATCTTGGTACCACAGCATTTAGCGCAGAATTTGCCATGCACACAAATGACACTAGAAGCATCTACTACAGGGAAAGAAGTTCGAAATAACCAGAGAAAGGCGGAAGAATATATTTCTGCATCTTCAGAAGTTGATTCTGACACACTGATGACCTACACCCGAATTGTCTTGGTTGCGCTGTGCTCGGAGCAACACCTCAACATTGTCAGTCAGAAGAAAATTCTTGTCCAGCGCCTCATCCGATGGGTACGTCTCATCACAAATCGAGTACTGCAGAGTGACTGACGCTGCTGGCAAATTCAGCGAGCTGAGAAAGACCAACACAACAATAATGATCACGGAGTTCCCACAGATTTCGAAAATATACACAACTCTCACAGCGAAGACCCCGCAGGACGACCAAGTGATATGAACGACGATCAACTTCATTGTGTCGTCCTGGGTAAATCTCTTGTCACTGAGATACAGAAAGATATGCTACGTACTGAATTGCCCACATGGTTTAGCCGGGCTCCCAAAGCTCTTGGCTCAAAAGCTCAGGGTAAACTCAGTGCAGATCAATGGCGTGCAGCATGCACCGTCAACATGATCATTACCCTCATATGACTCTGGGGCAGGAAAGATGGTGTGATCAAGGCTATGCTGGACAATTACATGGATCTAGTCACTGCTGTCGAGTTTGGTTGCATGCTCATTATCTCCCCTGGACATATCAGCCAATATGATTTCTACATGCAGCGCTATCTCAAAAACTTCAAGGACCTTTACAAAACCTTACAACTGGTTCCGAGCCACCACATCTCTCTCCACCTTGGCAAATTCTTGTGCTCCTTCGGTCCTGTTCATGCTTGGAGAGCTTTCACGTTTGAGTGCTATAATTATCTCCTCCAGCATGAAAACACTAATGGCAAATTCGGTGAGCAGTTCCCCATCCCTTGGATCATGAACTAATCAGCTGGGCATCACAGGCGAAATAGAACTTACTATGATGAATCACACATGCCGAGTAGCCAATTTCCACACACTAATCCAGGAGGAACATGTCCATACTGTTGTTTCAGACATGGTCGACGCGTACAGCAGATTTGCAGGCGAAGATAGGAGAGGCACTCGCATTCGTGATGTCCTTCAGTGGGAAAAACCTGTGACTGCACAAGGCCAAACACATCCAACTACTAAAGAGGTTGTCCTTGAGGAAGAATTATACTCTGCCCTGCTGCAGCTGATTGACACTACCGAGAAACTTCGCTATGTTGGCGAGGGTGACCCCAGTTCGTCAGATCAACTTTTTCTCAGGTGCAAGGTTTTGCGATCAAATCATATCCTTATCCGTGGGGTTTCATACCGGCCCTTGGACTTTTCCCGCTGTGATAGCAACATTCATTTTCGCAGTTCCCCAGGTTCAAAACCAGAGGCTGGTCGCATCACCAAGATATTTCTTCATCATCAGTATTCAACGAATGACAGTATGATCGAGGAGACTTTCATAGCCCTCCAAACTCTAATTCCATTGTCTGACACTGATGTCCCTTACAATCCTTATCGTCAGTACCCTCTTGCAGGGGGGTTTCTATGTTACAATGAGTATCATACTAATTACCATGTCATTCGGCCTTCCAGTGTCATTTGCCACTATGCAAGGAAACCCATGCGTGTTCAGAGAATCCGTCAGCCCTGTGTACATGTTCTGCCATTAGATCGTGTAAGTACATCAGCAACAAGGGATTATAACTCTGACATTGATTGACTAGTTAATGAAGTCAACTGAGCTCCCATCGCTGGAGGTGCACGACGAACAAGGTATTGATGTGTCCGAGGTGTCGCAGTGATCAACTCCACCCCCAACACACTGACGGTAAGTTGAGAAAAAGGTGCCGTTTAACATTTCATTGACTTGGGCTGTAACAGAACACAACTTTCCACGCAGGCACTGTCCTTGTCTTTGTGCCAAGCATCTTGTCTGCACTGCGAGATAGCTATGTGGTTAGGTGTTTTCAAAGTCTCTCAATCGATCATTCTTGCGTTCCCGACACCCACTTTAGCGAGAGAGTCTTGTCAGACGTTAACAGTCACTGAAGCAGACTCCGAACAGCAAAGTCTCTCATACTATAATTCAGCATCGTCTGTGCTTAAGGCTATTAGCTGTCGACGTTGTCACGACCTAGGGTGGTTGGGCTGGACCAAATGAAGCTCAGGGTGGAACATGAGTAGCTGGAGCCGCTGGGAGGGTGGGATACTAGTCACTATTTCGGTTGTATCAGACTTGAATAGGAACATTAATCAAATTATAATCAATCATGACTGTAAACGAGTGAGAAATGCAAAACAAATTAGAATTTTTGAGCTATACAATAGTATGTGAAAGGAAGATGCAGGTGGGAGCGAGTGTGTAGTGCCCTGTTAGCATTCCGAAGTAGATCGGCTCCCAACAGAGTTCAGTGGTGAAGACCTCAACGTCAACCACCGCTCGGTAAGCATATTTCCTCATCATTCTTAAGTCGATGCTCACCGCCCTCACACAGATCTACTCTGCGCTGTCTTGCCATGTTTGTGTCACTCCCTCAAACACCCATCACCGAGCCATCCGATCAGTACTTGATATTGACATCCCCGAATTCAACTCCCACAGTGCTGCCAGCTCTGACACCACCAACAAAAATCACTGCTGCTCCGAATTCTACTTCCAAGCCCCACAGCATACACCAATTTGGCTTCCTCATCTTTGTGTCCCACCGTCTCCCACAAAACTTGGGTGTGTAGTGTAGTCTCCTTCACAGTATTTTGTTATTTACATATCATGAAACTTTAATTATGAACCAACTTCATTTTTCGTGTCTGCTTGACTGAGGGAGAAGATGCAATATACAAATTATGACTACCAATATTCGACAGGAACAATGAACATGTATATAGACAGTAGGGTAGTATGCATGATGTAGTGGAAATCACCGAAGAAAAATATGAAGGCGCCTGCCGCCACAAGGTAGTGGTAAGAGTCAACTGGTGGAGAAAGACAACAAGGGAAAACATGTTGTCGACGAATGCAAAGGGGATCCGACGCTAGATCTTGATGTGGACATGCTGCCTGGTCATGATGCGCTGTTCCGAAAAATTTTGAGCAGTGGCAATAGCATATTTCATGGTGACACGGTCGCAGAATTGGCGTTAAGGGTTATAGGGAGGATGCAGGGAGGTGGCACCATTCATGAGCACTAGGGTTGGGAAAAAAAGGCAGAGAATGCTGTTCGCCGAGACCGCGAGCTTGACGAGTAGAACAACGAAGACATGTAATTAGGACAATGAAGACGACAATCCCCGACTCCCACTTTAGTGGGAAGAAGGTTTTGTCAGATCCAAATGTCCAGGCACCTATACGCTGATGCATGGGAACCTTTTTGGTTGTACAGAATGAATGTGTGATAGCGATTTGGATCCATACTTTAGTCTGTGTTGTTCGACTCGTCTCTACAGTGAATTGTGTACGTCTTTTCATTTTCTCTTGATGTCCTTATTTTATTGAAATGACCACCTTCATATTTAGAATGTCTGTGTTTCCCTCGAAACACCCCAGCACGTGTCCTTGAGTTCTCGATGCTACAGATTGCCCACCTCACAATATCCTTCACGATATACAAACATATCCTCTATTCTTGCTTTGTATTACCTGCAATATAATGAATCTGTATATGCAACAGCTGAGAAATTTTGTTGTTTGTTCAACCAACAAATGCTCCCTCACTTGTTCCACTCTCGTCCCACTCGTTCGCCATCTCATTCTGTTTTTGTCCATTTCTCATTACACTTTCGTCTCATTCGCTTGCTGTCTTGTTCTACTTGTTTCAAAGTTCATTTTCTCATTGCATGTTCTCTTACTTGTCCGCTATCATGTTCTGTTTGTTTCCCTTTTGTGCTGCATCCACTTTCTCTCATTCACTCACTGCATGCTCTTGTTGTGCTAACAGCACTTTTGTCTTACTCGCTTGCTCTCTTGTTCTGCTTGTTTCTGATGATGTTTAAAGAGGTATGTGCACTCATCCAGAATCAGCTCTGGATGGGGCAACTAATCTCTGTTTTTTTGAAGACCTGTTTGCGCATATAGAAATGCACTATTCGCTCACTCTGATATCAAGATTACTGGAAACCCACCGTATAATGAAGATTGTTCTTCTGTGTTTCTTTTCGTTATTGTATGTTCTTCATTATCCTCATTGATTCCATTCTCTTTTAACCTTCTTTTGTGTTCCTCTTGTTCCTTTGCTAACTTGGTGCCTAGACGCGGTGGAACACTGTTTATCCCCTATTCAAATACCTCGACCGACTTGAGGAGATACCTTTTTGTCTTCTAACGCTCCTTGTAATTGCTGAATTTCATTGCGGCTAGCGTGCAGGCTTGCCTCCATCTTCCATTAGTCCGAATAATCTGACTGCTCACAGCCCAGTAACATTCATGCCGTCCCAAAACCCGGTACACATATTTTGTTCCTCTATTTGAGTACTGGCTCTCAAGTCTTACATTCTGGCGCCTTGTTTGCCCCACACATAGATTTGCAGAAAACTGGTCATCGTCGGTGATGGTGAGTTATTTATCATGTTTCCTGTGGTGCTGTGACTCATGGCTTGTGAGATCTCCGCAAGATGCTCAGATCATCTTTCACGCCATAGCATTTGGAGTCTTGTCCATGGTCACACATCTCGTCTGGACACAGAGAACCTTAAAGCGCGCTTATAAGCAGGCAGCACTCAATGAGGTGGCCTCGAAGGCACGTCAAAAAGAGGATCGGAGAAAGGAATGTAAATGTTCTGTATGTATCCATGGCTTGATATTCGAGCTGGTCATTACCTCTGACATGTTTGCAGCTATATCACAGGCATTTGGACGTTGCTTGTGCAGTTTTGGACCTGCGACCTCACATCTCGATGCTCACAAGAATCGGTCCTGATGGTATGAGTAGCGACGAGACAGCGAATGAGAATGATGTCCCTCAATACCACATACTCGGAAGGCACTGGCGCAGTCTGGAAGTCACGGCTTGGCTACGTATATTTGATGTGATCTACCATCACAATTGATATGGCCCTGCGGGGACTGGTTCGCAGGGCAACAACGCTTGAATGCGATTTGAGTCTATGTCTATGGGTCACCCGCAAGGGCAGTCCGTCGACTCCCTCGTAATGCTTACCATGCTGAGTGGTATGATGGCCTCGATCAGTACGACCGGGAGGAACTTGACAGGTGTGAGGGTGAGGTTTATGCCTTCACGCACGTTCCTAACATTCAACTGTAAGTTTGCAGTGTTTCCATCCAATTTTTACTTCCATCACCTCATGCTATTATATAGGGCCGCGCAGAGGCTAGCCGGCGAGCCGAGTCATCTTCGACACTACACATGAAACATGCAGCTCTGCGCCGAATCACGCTATCGTATAAGTACTTTGTCCGAATTTTGCATCTTAAGTTCCTTTTGTGGTTTATCATGATTAATCTTAGAAGTAAGTACATTTGAATGTCGTTTACGTCGACAATAGACACTTGCACGGAGAAGAAGTTAACATACTACTACACTACTAGTGGTACTTAACATTTTGTAACATCCTCTTCAACATGTGCTCAGTGTCCCAGATGCGATAGATTGGTGGTCTATCCCAAAGCGAGGCATGAGTGTACAGCCCATACTGTCATATAGATATATCTTAAGTGGACTATAATCCTAAAAGTCCGATACATACTCTTCTGTTGTTATCCATCATCCAACCGGATGTATCCAGGATATATTGTACATCAGAATCATGCTGGCGGCTTCCCTCCCCAACGCTTGCGGAGCCATGCTGTGTACCCAGCAAGTTTGGATGTCAAAGTATGAGTGCCTATGGATTGACCTGCTTGTTTTGGTTCATTGTCTGAATCCATGAGTCTTAATTTCATTATGATTGACTCGCTGATTTAGTCTTACTAGTTCTCATAATTGTTAATACTTGGGGTGGGTGCAACTTGAAGTACTCATAAGAGTATGAGTGCCTATGGATTGACCCGCTCATTTTGGTTCATTGTCTGAATCTGTGAGTCTTAATTTCATTACAATTGACTTGCTGATTTAGTCTTACTAGTTCTCATAATCCTTAATACTCGGGGTGGGTACAACTCGAAGTACTCTTAAGTACAAGTGCCTATGGATTGACCCACTTGTTTTGGTTCATTGTCTGAATCCATGAGTCTTGATCTCATTACGATTGACTCCCTGTTTTAGTCTTACTAATTCTCATAATCCTTAATACTCAGGGTGGTACAACTCTAAGTCCGAGAGCCATATATGCCATTCTGAGAAGTTTGGTAGGCTGGCTGATCGATAACCATACAGAACAGATATATTCCACAGTGGATAACTAGATGTATACTTGATCTCAATGTGGTCCTGTTGCTCAACTTTGCCTTGCATAGTTGATCATGTTACGAGCAGCATGCCTCAGCCCTATGTAATTGGTCTTGTTACATACATATCTCAAAGAATGTTGAGTACACTCATGCCTTCACACCACTCTCAATGAGTCGTGTGGAGGATTGTGAATGACAGTTCTATGATTTCCTTTTTGAGTAGTGGTCAGAGTGTAGAGGATATGTGAATCTTACACATCACTTTATATTACTTTATATTGTTTCAGTGTGGGTGCAGGTAGAGCTCTTGTGTAATGTGTTAGTTGATGGAAAAGTTTGACCAAATGTTAAAATAATATATGCTTTGCTCTGTAAACAAAATTGGTAATAAAGTAACATTTGACTTTTTTTTGTCAGCAAATCAAATTTTGACCAAAGTCAACATCAACAGTCAGCAGTCGACAGTTGACAGATTGATTGATTATGGTAGGTTTACCTGTCGACTGTTGACTGCTGACTGTTGATGTTGACTTTGGTCAAAATTTGATTTGCTGACAAAAAAAAGTCAAATTTTACTTTATTACCAATTTTGTTTACAGAGCAAAGCATATATTATTTTAACATTTGGTCAATTTTTTTTCCATCAACTAACATTGTTTTTTTCATCATATCTCAGAGGAACAAAAGTGTAGAAATAAGAGGAATGTAGGGTGTGATAAATTAAAAACTCTTTGGAATATGATCAGAATCAAAATGATATGTTTCTTGCATTCATAGACAAAATTTTCTTAGCTTGATTCCAATGAAAAAAGAATAAAGAAAAATTAATTACAGTTGAAATTTACTCAAAATATAAGTTTGTGACATATTGAAAATATGAACATTATGTGACCCCATAGAAAAATGACAACAAAAACACATGACAGCATAAATGTTATGTCTGATAAAAATGTGTAGATATGGTGAGCAGAATTTATATGTCAAAAAACAACTCAAACTGTTATAAACTAAGAAATATGCAGGCAAAAATTAAAGTTTTGTTAACATTTTTTGCCACAACCAAAGGTGACCTGAGTTTGTCTAAGATCACACTGGGTTCAACATTTGTTCCATGGGCAAATTGGTTCCTGCCCCCAGTGTCACCTTGCTTTGATTAGTATTTGACTAAAATCTCATTTCCACGGTAGTTATTGCTATGGATTCATCCTGCTTTGTTAGTTAACATTTCTGCAATTTTGACAAATAAACTATGCTCCTGCAGGTGCCTGCTTTTCTTGTGATTTAACACAAATATGAGTCTAATATTTGCATGTTTGAATGACTCAAAAAAACTAATTCATAGTTAATAAAAAGTCACAAAGGAATGATATACATAATAACATAGCATGATTTATATATGTAAACAAGGATATATAAGTTGAGATGATTATTTCTATCATCAAGACATTTGGGCTTTAATGTCATACTCTTTCATTTATGTACTTGTGACAAACCTAATGGCTAGTGCTTTTCATTCTTATCATGTGTCCCTACATTATACATATCCAACTTGATGTCATGCTATTTCTTGAAGGCACCTTCATTTAGATTATCCTCACCTAGGCTGTTCATATCATTAACCAAGAGTATGTATATTATGACACATTTCAGAAACTTCTCTATAAAGTAGTCAGATCTGCTGTAAGTAATAAGCAAAAAACTCACCTTGCCTAATATGAAAGCCTCTGATTATTTTCTCCACATTAAGTTTAGCCTTTAGATTAGCTTTTATATAATTATCAATATTCCTATATAATAATCTCATGCTAGATATATATGAGTGTCATTTGATGTTTATAATAATGGCTATAAAAGAGTATATATGGGTTTTACTTTATATTTATTCCTTAGTACCAATTCCCTCTAGCTAGTTACTTAATAAATGGTATAATGGCTAGATTAATCTTTAAAATAACTTATATGCATACTTTTGTATTCAATGTATTTATGTTATGTTCTGTAATATCTTCTAATCAGCTTTGCAATTTGAGTTTTGCTTTGGAAGTTGTTCAACTTTAATACTAACTAGTTAGTACTAGTAATAGCAGTTGAACTTCTACAGCTCTCCTTAGAGCATTTCTTGAGGAGCAATGCTTTTTGAGATATAAAAAGCAGTTAGGATGTTAGATATTAGTTGTAAGAAAACATATATTAGCACCAGCTACCTATAGTACAATTAGATTCTTATCAAGCATAATCATATATACCTGTTTATTAATAGTCAGGTTAATGGTATAGAAACTATACTATCTCTTTTATATAGTGATAGTCTATGAGAGAGTACTAACTTAAAGTTATGTTAGACCAACTTAAGGAGAATGCATAAATCATTACAGCTAATATTGTATTAACTAGGTCTCTTAGTATATATACACTCTAACTTAGTATTAAAGAAACCACAAGGCAGAGTATTGAGTAAACAGACTACTTTGTCTCTACTAGCCATAAATAGAGCACTTTTAGCGAACATCTTGAGTTGTCTTCAAAATATAACTATAGGTCTTTTTTTCTTAACTATATCTTAGGATTTTAATCCAAGTTTTTATCTCCTTTCAAGCTCAAGATTTGAGCTAAGAATAAGTTATTCTCAAGCTAGAGTAAGTGATAGAGAACAGTTGGCCACCTAAAACTATTATGACTGGCTAAAAATATAAGCAGACAAAAAAAGTTGTCTTAAAGATATAAAACAGCATAAAACAACTGATAGAGTATGTGTCTATCCTGCAAGATATTTTTCTGTAGCTTTAATTTCTGTAAGCTGTGTTGTACTAAGAGGTCATGAGTAAAACATTCTAGATTAAAGGTCAATCATTGGCTTGATCCATACAGACCAATGAAGCTTTCTGGCTGTATGTTTATTTTTGAAGTAAGAATATTGTATTGTATTTTGCAGACAATTTCTATCTAGAGCTGTTTTCTATTGGCTTTAAAAAATGTCTTAAGCTAAATCTTGACAACTATTCTGTAGATCAGCTAATGCCAGCATCTGCTATGATCATACTACTTGCTTTATTTTCCTATCTAACATCTATTCCTATACTATCTAAATAAGCATAATCAGTGTAGACTAAAAGGATATCCTTTTCAAAGGAACAAAGAAAGACATCCTAAATACACATTTAATACATGAATATATTTTTCATAAATCAGTTTAGAGCTAGTGCCACCACAGTGTCTACTGTTAAGTAGCTACTAAAAGCAACCACAAAGTTGAAGTGATTTCTTAATAACAAATAATTGAGAATATTAGTCTGGATATAAATAAGAGCTTACCAAGAAACTAATCACTACAAAATGGCGAAGCTGTAAGGCCAATATATTACACAATGTCTAACCTCTTTTCAAAGATGCAAGATAAGATTGCTGCCTATCTAGTAGCTGGCTTTGTAATTATAAATCTAATTAAGGAAGTGGTATCCTACAAGAGCCTAAGTGACACTTCCACAGCATCCAAGATCTAGCCTATTAGAGTTACAAATTATAACGAGCATGAAGTAGACTCTGTCCAGTTCTTCATATAGGCTAGAGACTCAGCTAGTAGCACTCCTATTAACAATGAAAATCATAATTCTTAGTGCATGACCTATAACATAAGTTTTCATATCCACCTTCTACTATGCCACTTAATTTTGTATAAATATTGATGTTTACCTTGAATAAGGATACTGTTACTGGCATGTTGGTACATAGGTTGTCTAGTATAAGAAAATATATAGTCTGGTAAGAATGAATTGCATCATTCTTTGACAATTTCAATATATACAATAGATCCAAAAAATGTGAAATATACTAATTAAGAAGCAATACTTCTACTCAATCTCATTTTGTTATCTTCTTACTGTGACCAGTGAACCCATATAATAGGTACTGTTGGTTCCCTCATGATACAGCAACTCATTATGGTCCTCTAGAAGTGGTAGTGTACTAAGATCCTCTGTGTCGTCAAGTTAGTCAATATATGGTGGTATCTTGTCATGAACTCATAGCATGCCCAGTCAGCACAGATAAATGTCTCAGACAGTGTGCCTTATAACTAATGGAAATCCTAGTTCATTGTAACAGCACTGGACACAGTCACCAAATGGCTGTGGAATAAGATTGAAGATGACATGAGATGGATTGATGTATATGTCGCACACATGATCCAGTGCTTTGTGCTCCACCTTGTTGATCTGTAAAATAAGTCTTATCATACCAGATGATAATAGCATGCAAAATACTACTTACTTTGAAGTCCAATACACTGAAATTCTCTGCCAACTCATATATGAGGTTTGGCATGCCATAAGGAAGAACCTTGTTTCGGTCTCACCTTTTAGTAGTGTTGTTGAGTTGGTCCTGGTATGCATCCAATTCTTGCTGTAACCAGAGTATAAACACCCATCAAAAATGCATCCTGATATTAAGATCCTAAGCCAGTATTAGCATGAGATGAACAAATAAAAAATAAAAATGCACAGCTGCAGAGTGTTATGAGTATCAGCCAGCCTGACAGGACACCATGGTCTAAAAGTGCTTCAAATCCTGGCGTGAAACAGTGTCATAGTTGCGACCATGTAATCTCAGGCATTATATTCTTCTTACTCTGCATCCAGCGGTGTTGCAGAGTACCCTGCAGGGCAGGATCATACCACTGGCGAAGCATAGTATGTGCATTGGCAATTCCAAAATTCTTGGATTCAGGGTCACTCTGAGTTACCATAGGCATATCTGGGTAGGTAGATTAGATAGTATCAGTGAAGAAATGGTCTTAGAAGACAGAAAAGCCTTACGTCCAAGTGTCTCAAGCATGTCAAGGTAATAACTAAGTATAAGCTGTGGGTTTCGGTTTGAGTGTCAGACCCTAATCCACATGATCCGACCTGAAAACAGCTCAATGCTAGTATGGAGGCCAAGACCGTGCTTAAGCTATTTATCGTATTGATTGACTGCAAATATGTCGTTCACACCTGCAGCCCAGAATCGCCTCCTTCAAAGGTGATTGGCCTTATGCTGCCGGATGAGTTCTGGTTTATGTATAGCAAAATAAGATATGACGATGCTCCAATGCACTGTTGAATAAGTTAATTTAAAATAAACATTACCTGGCTACACTCATGCCCCACTCATGACATAACAAGTTTACCATTTCATGTGCTCCTGTGTTTGGGTATGTTTCACACAGGTCAGCCATTGCATCATGAACAGTGTCGACTGTATGACTTTGCTGTCGTGTTCTTTGAAGGCCCATTCCATTGCAAATCTCGAAAAATTTGGTGAGTCTAACATAATCATTGTAAGAACATGCCTAGTGTCAGAGGAAGGTAAAGGACACACCCTAGACCATAATGTAAAGTATCAAAATATTTCCACAATTCTTTGACAATCTGTTTGTTGGTCTGACATGCCTTCCAGAGATGGAGAATGTGTGGTGTAAGTGCATCCAAAGGTGCTATATCAGAGGCAAGTTAGCATTGAGCGCAATACAACAATGGGTCAGTTTTGGTTGGGCATTGGGCATCAGAATTGGTCTGTTAAGCTAGAGGTAAGGGCAACTGCCAGTATATTTATTGTGTAGGAAACATCTCAGATCAAGCACCAATACAAGGTTAACTTAAGCTTATCATGACATGAGCCTCTGCTGACTATTTCCAATAATAGCCTATATCACCTCCCCTATGAGAGGATGACCTTTATATACATAAGGCCCTGTGACTATCATAAAATAATAATTATAACTTCAAGGGTATTTCAAATTAGAAGGAGGGGGTGGTGACTTTGGAAGCTAATGTTTCTTCTTCATAACTTAGAGAGGGCTCTTAATGGTACCCATATTCTCATCTATTGCATAATCACCATTAAAGTGATCTAATGCATTTTTGGAGGGAGGGGGGGAGGGGCAGAAAATACGCCAATATTCTTTGAATATAAGTTGTTAGTAGTGATAATAGATATAAAATAATTTTAAATGTTGACATTAGGTGAACTATCAGGACTAGAAAGGTGAATAAAAGGAAAATTATCATAAAAGAGAGCTGAGTAGGTCAGAGCTGTAGATCAATTATATTAGTGTAAAAGAAGAACATATTGGCTAGATATGTGTTTAGGGGAGGGATATATATTGGGCAAGGAATGTATGTTAGAAGAGAAATATATATTAGAGAAGAAATATATATTGAGAGAGGAATATGTATTAGGGAGTCATGTACATTAGGGAGGTATATATTGAGGGTGGGCTGATTATTAGAAACATATGTAGGCTGATTGTCAAGAGGATATGCATAAGAGGGATCAGCTTCAGTGATGGTGCCAAGGTATATGAAGGAATCAGCTCCACCATGTGGTTGAATGAGTGAATACAGTACATCTGTATGATTCATATCTGGCTTAAATGAATGAGTCTTTATCATTATTAAGGAATTGTTATACTAGATAGAATCAAGATCAAAGTATCATAAAAGATTTATGCAAATAAGTTTTACAAAAATCAATCAGCTAAGAACCAAAAACTAAGTATAACAGACTTACCTAGTAGATTTTGTGTAGGTATTCTATTAAGTAGTATAACTTACAGAGAATCACATTACTTTTAAGGAGCTAGTTTAGCACTTTCTTAACAAACCTTATAGTATACTGTTAATGCAGGACACAAAGTCTATTTAATGAAAAAGAGAAACCCTGAGTTTAATAGACCTAGAAAGGTACCTTTTCTTCATCCTTCTTTCTCTTATACTTTCTAATATCTACTATGCTGATCTAATACTCATGGACCTCATGAAAGAAGGAGAATGTCCTAATATAGATCTTATTAGAACCTGACTGAAGAGAGTAGAGGGACTGACTGAGATCCCTATTCACTATAGAGATACAGAATCTCTTAAGAATCTAATAGAACAGCAGGAAACTCCTAGCGATATATTTAATTTTTAGGTGTTTTGATCAAAATAAAATGTTATGCAACAATTGATATTCAACTTACTAAAAATAGCACTATCTGTAGAAACTGTGCAACCACTTCCAAATGGTATATAAAGTTTAATAACTATACTTACTGCTAGTTACAAGAACTTCATAGTATTGTGTGTGATTGAGGTGGACTTTGTAAGTATTTTGGATGTCTTTCTCTAAGCTACAGAGGTGTATATATTGTGTATTTTAAACTGCTTTACTGCATCAACTGACATTATTTCTATTAATGCCCAGGACTCTCCATTGCAAATATCACCACTTATTATTGATTCCCTATATCATGATACAGTCAATGTCTACATTTTTTTTTAAATACAATACCTATCTTTAATTTCCATAAATAAAGTATCTTTTCATTTAAGTTCATGACTATCTGTCATCTATCATGAAAAACTATAACTGCTATTACATGTTGTTCATGGCCTTTGAATTCACATGAGTATAACCTAAAGTTATTGGAAGGTATGTGTTTTGTTGCTTTTCTCTCATCTTTATCTTTCAACCAGCTTCAGAATAAGAAAACAGAGATCATTAGTATCCTCCATTAGCATATAAGTTATATTGACAGCATCATTCCAGAAACAGCAAGATTTCTGTAGACTAGCAGTGTAATGTTAGCAAGTTCTAAATTATTGCAATTGGTAGCCATGAACTCATATATATACCAGACAGTGACCACCTACATTCATTACCACTCGGCTCATGCCATCTCCGGATGAGAAGAAGGAACTAGTAAGTTGGTATATTATTGTACCAGTTGTATTTACAGCTAATATTACCTTTTATAACAGTCCAAGTCCAGTACATATCATACTGGAACAGACAAAGACAAGGTGGAGGGCAAGGGCAAGCATCCACATCTGGTAAGGCACCTAGTAACTAACATCTGGTTAGTACTGTGCTAATTCTTTATAGCAATACATTGGTTCGCCTCTACTACCATGTGAGAAATGTATGATAATGAATTTGGATTATGAGAGCTGAGTAACAAAAAGAGGCAAGGTTGCCCATACTTGCACCTTTTGCAATAAGTGGAGGATGAAATGCATCTGGCCAAATCAACTGGACACACCCTCAACTGCTATAAGCACGACCACTACACCCACACCACCAGTCACACTCATTGCCACTCACTTCAAGACCACCAGAAAGAGTAAGACTAGTGGGTAGTCTAAAGGCAAAGGCAAAGGCAAATCTATTATTTCCAGTTGTATGTCTACTAATCCTATCCTAGACATGAAAGCTCAGCATCCCAGTCCTATCTCAGAGGAACCAGATATTGACATTGAGATGGTTGATGATGCTTGTGCACTAACCAGCACTGGTCTTCCTGATACTGCTCCGGATGCAGTACCTGCAGTATCCGCTGATGATTTTCCTGTAGATTAGTGGATTAAACCCATGGATGACAGTATCTTACCTCCGGCACTATTCATGGAGACACCAGACAATATCCAGTACTTGCCCATCTATCTGGCTCACACTGAATGACCACCCTCTCCTGCAACCACTTCCATACCTCTTCAGTCTCACTGGCATCTCTGTCCTTTAACTAATGTGGAGTGGATACTATGTTGGCCCAAATTCAGATTAATATGGATCAGCTCTAGACACATAATGTCATTATTCATGATGACCTGTCCCATCACATCGACCAGCTGCATACCAACTATACAGAGCAATTTAGCACCCAGAAGGGACTGGTAGACCACTTGACTGTTCAGGTTTGCGGTATTGCCTAGTACCTGAGGGACAATTAAAGGATCACTATAGCAATGGCCTCAACTCCACTAGCATTCAATCTACCACCCATTATCATCCCTGGTACCCTCATATTCCCTAAGTTTGACTCCATCAGTGTTTTGGATCATGCCGTCACTAACAATGTCTTTACTCTGGATGTTTTTTTGACTAATGGATGTTTTGGTGGAGATGGCTCGCCAGTTACAAGGCACAAGCAGGCATCCTTACCTGTCTCTACCTTCACCATCAACCCTGTCTCCACCATGAGAGAATCCAGTCCACTCATTCATCTGGTTGGTACACTTCCAGTACCACATCCCACTGTTCCAATAGATTCTATGCCCTCCACTAGCACCCTTCATACCATGATCACTGGGCCATCAAATATGCTAGTGGATGGTCAGTCTATCTTAGCTTCTTTGCCAAACCAGTCATTTGCACCTTAATCATGGTAAAAAGGTTAGTCAGTAAGTGTTAGGCATCATAAGAACCCTTCTGGTGATAGGCCCAAGTAATTCTAGTATATATCATTTTTTTTTACTTATGGTTTATACCAGTAAATATTGTGCCATGCTTTCAATATATACAGAACAATTTATTACATAATTATACAGGCAAAGTATTTCTTGGTTGGTAAGGATAGTCTAATACCATGGTAGATTGTACCAAATGGTATATTAGATCAACTAATTAGTGTATTCAAGATACTAGACAATAGGCTTGAGATTATGAGATTTGCCTGTATCAGATGATAGGCCAATGTGATTATGGATGCACCTACTGGCTGATAGATTTGACTGGATCTCCAGTGTATATGATTCTTTTGGCTCAATCATTTTCATTATACACTAGATTTATTATTCATAAAATCTCATATACTAGTACATTCCTATACCACTGTCTATACCATATACCCCCAGTCCATCTATTTGCCTTAGCTACACACATTCACTCAGCTCACTTGTCTCCATTGTAAACTGGATTCACCACTCATAATGTCCTATATACTAGTACATTACATTACTGTCTAGACTATATACTCTTAGCCCATCTGTTTGCCTTAGGTATACACATTCCTCTGGCCTACTTGTCTCCATTGTAAGCCAGATTCATCATTCATAATGTCTTATATGCTAATACATTTCTATATCACTGTCTATATAATATACACTCAGCCCAATCATATATCATGGCACAATTATTGCTATGTGCCCACATGAGATGACTCATCCCCATTGGTACATTGTCATGCTCAGCTGCCCATCTGAGACAGGTAAATGTTACTGTATTATATGGGAATAATGGTACTACCATATATACCTTAACACTGGCTACTTTCTTCACTCCAAAGAAGGTCTTTTGAGCAATAATCATACTACATGGAGCAACAATCAACTGCTCATTGTATATGTGCCAGTGGCCAAAGACTGCCTTGAACTTTTTCCTTCCAGGTCTGTCCTGAGATGAACTGGTAGCAGGAAGTGCTCTCATGGTGTTCTCATCAAACTCATACTCTTCCTCATCTGATAAATCATCTGTAAGAGATGTGTTGGTGGTAATGGTAGTTCTGGCATGAGCAAGGCACTCCTGAAGCTGAAATCTGGATTGACCACACAGCTCATGAGTATCCTCAACTTGATGATATTATGGTATTGAGTAAGTGCATCAGCCACATACAATGGGCAATTAGACAGCAGGGTGTGGCAGTTATAAACTGCTGTAAAGAGTTGATTTTGTGTAGGCACTACAAAAATGGTTTCCTTAGAATTTAATGTGCAAGTGTAATGTTCATCCCAAAGAGACTGCCTATAGAACTATCTCTTGATATAAAATGCAAGGGATATCTTATTAAGATCGAAGGAGAGAAAGTAGAAAGGTCACCCAAGTGCATTCTATGTTTCTGAAGATATGTCTGAAGTACCAAAGTACTGGTCCGATGTATCTGAAGGTGGTCCAATGTCAAGAAATCAAGGTCTGAGGTTACGTGAAGTGTTTGAAAAGCTTCCGATGAACAGCGAAGGTTCTGAGAATGAAATACGGCGGGTATGTTGAAGTATAAGACTTGCGGAAGTACTGAGGTACAACTAAGCAAAGCCTATCGAAAGAACTAGAAGATAGCGAGATGTGAAATGGCAGTGGTCAAGCCAAACAATCATTCCGAATGAACAAAAAATTGATTGCATGAAGTATGACTATCTGAAAGTGACTCTACTAACTATGACTTGTAGCAAGGGAAGTGAAGTGATCTGCGAGCAACTAGCAAGCCAGATTATATCCTACAGCGTGAAGGTCTGGAAACTGTATAGGTGAAAGTAATAGTGAGATAAGCTATCTGAAATATAATAAGACTTGAGGCGAGCCGTTGCAGAGATATGCATGTAATAACGCGCAAGGCATGCTACTATATGTACTATTCAAATAAATGATTAGGCTCCAAATGGGCCGACAATGTATGTGTCCCTAAGACATAATCAATAATAGACAGACAAGGTAAAAACGCACCAGCAAAGTCAAATGGACATGGACAGGACATGGTACAGAGGATTGGAAGTGTAAACAGGCCTTGGAAGGAGACAGACGACCTTCAGACAACTCAGATGAATGCGCAGAACTTTTTGAAGGTCAAGGGAGTGTTGGAGAATACAGTATGAGTTATCTGTGAAATTGGCAGGACATGTGCCCAACACCAATCTGAGTGCTATACCACACAGCATGGATGGCCAACAGGGATACCATTAACGATAACAGCAGACACTTTATGTGTGACTATATATATCTTACCAGTTAGTCCCACATAGCCTTGAAACTATGACACTCACCAACACCTCACTCATCTTCATACATGCTTGTATATCTATTGCAGTAGTGGCAATAGACCTGCTTATAGCCATGAAGCTGAATGTAGCAGTTCCTTGCAATCATGGCCTCCATGAATCGGTCCCACTATTCACCAGTGTAGGGAGCAATGAGGGTGCTCATGTAATGCTCGCAGTCCTCCAACAGTGAAGTGATTAATTAGAGTCAGTTTGGAAACTCAGAAGTTTGAAAATATTTGCAACATTTGATGTTGAGGCTGTGTGTTTGTTCGGCAGACGGACTTCAAATTTGCATGTCAGCCTTCCAGGCATCCCTGTACTAACCTACCAAATTCTATTGCTTCATGCTCACTACAAGGCTGGTTTGGCCATTTGCCCCAAGCCAAACAGTGTAGTTACACTATTTCATCTTTTTATATACTTGGTATACATCCTCACAATGATGGAATGCCAATCAGCAGTCCTCCCTGGACTTTAACTTCAGCCAGATCTAAGTCCAGCAATTGATTATACAGTGTCTCAAAAAAGTGTCTGAATGTTTATGCATTTTCAGGTAATTGGATAATGGCAAGCTAGGATAAAACTATAACAACATAGTATAGTAATATATCTGAAAGCCCTATATTCCAGCTCAAATCTAAGATATATAGTGTGTGAACCAAATCATATATAGGCAAGATATGGTAATTTTAAATTCATGACTCATTCAGACACTTTTTTGACTTTTTATTAAAATCACAAAATCAAACCATTCATACATTATATTCTTAATTAAAGTGGTGTCATTATATTAATATGGTCTGATTTTATAAACCCACCTGAGATCATGAAATTCAACATAATCATCATGAAGCCCATCTCCTCTGCTCAAAGGGATAATATTATTGTTCTCTGCACCTCTGGTTTATCTACTAGGCAAATTGCCTCAAACTAAAAAGACTACTTGCTGCCTATCAAGATCCTCCAAAGGGGCTATTTGAACTATGAGAGAGAGTTGTAGCAGAGTGGGAAAAGATTGCTGAAGAGGAATGAGCAGAGTCTAAGATAATATTCGAACTGAGGAACTACAAGGACTGTACAGGATTTGTATACTACTGAGGACATAACGGAGAAACAGTCAGTGCAGTGTGAGGTGTTAAGATGGGAGTGAAGTGGGCCGCTTCTAGAGGCTACTGAGAGACCAGAAGAGATCAGACTAGAGTCCAGAGTAAGTTGCCAAAGAGGCAGTAAGCACTGGACTCTGGGATATGGGCGACGGTAGCAAAGTGTATGGAATGATACCGTAAGTGAAATGGCAAGGTTAGACACATAAAAGACATAGAAATGCGTACTGTAGAGGTGAATAATCATATAACTAACATGAGGCTATGCGAGGCTATGGACAGAGCATGTGGTATGACTATTACTAGTCTATTGGAACTTAGTAAAATAAAGACGGAAATGAATAAGGGATGGAAAATAAAGCATACTAACTGATAAGGGAAATACTAAAGGGAAAAGGCATGGAAGATAGGAGCTGACCGGATCTGGAAGTCCAGAAGTCCAGAGATGATTGTGTGATTGGTCCAGGTCCGGAACACGGGATATGACACCACCCCACCAACAAACTTTAGCAAGTGTCCACCATTGACCTACTGGAGCGAACATGAACCAATATTGTGCACCTCCCTGATGAAAGCAGTGAGTCAAGAAGTTACCATGGATGCCAGCACCAGTAGTAGACTCATTGATCCATTTTTGTACAGTATCATGAGATATCGGCTGTCCAGGATGCATAACACTATTTGCACTCATGGCAGGAAAGAGGAAGTCGTTTGGCAGGAGGGTGCGCCCATAATGAAATGATTCGAGCCACTTGATCCAAATCATGGTCCAGAAGAAACTGTCACATGCTGGCACATCAGGGCATGGATAAATCTTGTAGTGATTTGCTGGTAAGGTCATTTAGTCATGCACTATCTATATCAGCTCTTGAATTTGATGCAAGTGACTCACATCTCAAGTCTGCCTCCCATTGGCCTTTGTCTACCTTCTTTTGCCATCCTTTCCGGTTCGCAAGAAAGATCTCAAAGTATGACGTACATCTATTCAGTGTTAGTGTCTCATTTGCAAGGTATGTCTTGAGTACGCCATCCAAAACGGTAGTGTCGAGTAAGATGTCCTTTCATTGTAATTTGATGAGCTCAAAACACCTGCAGATATACTACAAGTCAGATTGCATATGGACCACGAATGAGCGGGATTGCACCTGGTCCACAACGTCCATCCATTTGATGCAAACATGACTTGCTCAAGATGGCGGGTGAGTTTTGTTCTCATTTCTAAGTCTAAACAAATATCTGAGGGCCGAGTGCCATTCATCACCTTCTGAATCATTTTCAGTGCAATATCCAGTGGGCATGCAGCCTGGTGCCATCAGAATGCCTGATCCATGTAGTCCTTCATCATCGCCATCGAGTGAGTCCGATCTCCACCCTCTGCAATCGCCTTATGCTTGATTGACGACAGCACATCATAGATGTCTGCGGAATCAGCAGGATTTCCTTCCCAGCGTTGTTTTGCCTCATTGAAGTGCCATTTGCCATGATAGGTATCACCATCTCTAAACGTAGGTCAGTGCTCATGTGTTCATGTTCATGTATGTACTCATGATAACTCCCACATCTTCTTAAATGCTGAACGGATGCTCTCGACTGTAGTTTTGCTGAGGTTCTTGTGGAATCCTTTCAGGGACATGTACAGTGCGAGCACTTTGTCAGAGCATCTGTTTGGTATGCTCTCAAATGCATCTTTGAATGCAATGTCCTCATACATGTCATTGTTGGCAGTTATTTCAGCAGTTGTGAGCAGTGGAATGAGTGAGCCTTGAAAGATGTCATCCCTCCGAGTCTCGCTGACAGTAGAACTTTTAAAGTGGCTTGCCAGCCATTCCTGTCCACAACGAACATGCCTGGCATAGTTTGTCCTTGTGTTGCTTGCCTGGAAGTGAGTTTTGATGCCATGTTCCTTACACCTCTGTACATCTACTAAAGCTGTCTTCTCAACAGCTGATCTCTTCTTTCAGCCAGGTTTCTTCTGAATATTGGTGTCTGGTGGGTGTTTGGCCTCGGTGGAGTCCTTCTTTAGCCGTGTCATTTTCTGCAAATGCAAAACGAGCGAGTGGTGTGGTACAAAGCTAGTTTAGATTTTTGGGACAGAGATTGTGTTAGGGGCCTGTAGCCAATTTATATTCAATGCCATTTCACATTTCATCCCATTCAGCCTGTGAGAGTGAGCACAAATGACATTAAGATTGGTGTTAATGCTATACTGACAATTTATAAACTAATATACTGCTATACCACTTCTGGTGCGATGTGCGAGAGTATCACCTTTGGAACATGCATATACAAGGCAGACAACTGGCCAGGAGTAGCGTTTCCCAGAGTATTGCGCCCCAAGCACCGACAGTCAACCTTAATGCTGTAAACTTCAATGTCGTGCCTCAAAGCCATAAGTGTCGACGGAGAAATGATTTTGAATGTCTGTCGAAGGTCTGCCTGGTCTGCTGAGCACTTTGGCAACTAAAACACAAGTTAGCAGCTGCCTACGAACACAGTGCTGCTTACCTTGCATAAGGCATGCAGATAGGCACCCTCCCATATACCCCCATACATCTTCTCAACGATTGCATCATCCTCCCAGCTCAAATGCTGACGGCAAAAGTCTGCAAGATTCACAAGATCTGGTTGATAGAATGAGATGTCCCAGGGCAATGCAGCTGCACCGGCCAAAAAAGATGTGAAAGTGTGAACATACTTGCTGACTACTGCATGCTGAGGAAAACCTTGAGGAATGTGTTCTGCAACTGCCTTGTACCTGCGCTCAAGCGAATTGTAAGAATTAGTAGAAAGTAGGGTATGGAGATCCTCAATGAGCTCCTTAGCCCACTCAGAGAATTCATCTGGTGTCATGGAGAGGAATGCATCGAGCAACATCTGGCCGATTTTACTGTGCAGCGCCACCTTGTGCATGATTTCAATACCACAGCCAGGCACACCAGCATCATAGTCACCGCCTATGAGCAGAGCAATTAGCAGCTGGTCTCCTCGGGTTAATGAGCAGCCATGTTCAAGGCCATCCTCCATGAACACCTGGACGTTGAGATAGTCTTTGTCGTTTTTCGCACCGACAAAAATCAATGGCAGCACATCAACAGAAAAATGGCAGCATACCTTCTCATGATGCATGGAGCTCCGAAGATCAAGATATCGCTGTCCTCAGTCATCACAGCATCAATGACACCATGGACATTCATGGCAGCCAGCTCCACTTCAGCTTCGCTTAGGGCCTGGTATGGTACTGGTGAGATGGTGACATCATAAGGGGAGAGAATGTACTTCAGTCCAGTGAAAGCTAAACACCTCCAGCATGTGCTGAAAGTCATGAGTGAGCCAGTGGGTGCTACTTCTAACCTTGTGGCCTTTGTCTGGCAAGCACTTGAGGCCATCAAAGACAAAAACTGCATGCAGTGGCAGCTTCAGCAGTGTCCGCAGTCGAAAGAACAGTGTCCACAACTCTGATGACTTTCCAGCTCCTGCATGATTGATCTGAAAGACAGCGCAGATGCTGTGTATCCACAGGCTAACAGCATGAGTGAGTTCAACAAACATACAAAAAAAGAGAAGCATCATGCCTAGCATCAATCCCAATCTTGAATAATCAGAGCTTGTGGTCACCTTCGACGTCTTCAGTTTTCAGCTCTGACACTGTGGGAAGTGCTTGATGTCCGACTGGATCTCAGCATCAGAAACACTACCAAGATGTGTTAGCATAAGAAATGAAAGAGGTCAAAACTTACATTTTGTAGGGGCTCATAGCGGCCTGGTTCTGGGCAGCATCACTAACACGAAGAACATTCATTCTAGAGATAGTATCAGCATCTTTTGTAGCCTGTCTCTGAGAGTTGTCACAGTAGGCAGGGATGGTGATGATGGTGTCACTGATATTGTAGCCCAAGTAGGACTTAGCAGTCTCCTTCATCTTAAGAAGAACCATCAACAAGATTTCCTGGGGAGAAAACTCCTGCTCTACTCAGATGTGAGGCTTACCAGCCTTGTTGAAAACAGTGAAGGGGAAGTGCTTGATGTCTGACTGGACCTTGGCATCAAAAACACTACCAAGATATGGTTAGTACAAGAAATGGAAAAAGAGGTCAAAACTTATACGTTGTGGGGGCTCATAGTGGCCTGGTTCTGGGTAGCATTACCGATCAACTGTTTGTTGTTGGCATAAAGTCCTGAGGCCCTGTCTATCAATTTCTAACACTCCTTCCTCCATCTGACTTGAAGTCTCTTCTCGTCATCTCTGACAGTCTTAGGATCGACTCCTATAGACTTACCACCTCCGCCTCTACCTTAGGTAGTCCTCCGCTGTTTCCTTTCTAGTTTGGACATCGTCTGGATTAGTATTATCACTTGTTCCCGAACGTCCGCCGGAATTCCCACGCATCGGACTCCGGACTCCAGACATTGTCCTTTAGCCCTCGGAAGTTAGGGGCACGTACTCGGGTAAGGGGCGCAGCACACGAGCTGAAGCCAAGCCCTTCGGATCCGAACCATTGAGCATGTTCTTAACAGGTGGATGGGCTGATGGTGAGCACGTATGTTTCCTGTGCTCGCACCTGATGCTTCACTGACACGGGTGTTTTTTTTTCTCATCATGTTTATTTTTAGCGTGACACGCTCGTTCGCTACCTTCTTGACGAACTACATGCATATGAAACCGACTATAGTGATGCCCTTGCCCCCATCTCCCGTGGCACTGATGCCTCTCTTGCTGGTGAACATGCACTTACTAGACCAGCATCCACAGAAGAGCTTCACATGGTGCATGCATCTGTTGCGGCAGATGTCAACAGCCTGCGCAATGACATGCGCTCCCTAACAAGTGTTGTAGTGCAGGCTGCCTGCAGCACAGCAATCACTCTCCAACACATCAATTTGAGCCACCACTTTACCAATGTCTTTGAGTGTGCTTCCCGCACAACAACTCCACCATATACCACACAACCTGTCGGAAGAGCACCCACCACAGTCGAACGGCCACTCTCACCCAGACCTGTTGTCAGCCCAATGCCTACCATGACCCTATCCACCTCCAGCACATCACGACAGCCCCGAGTCCCCACCACAGCATCCAGGTCGCAGAAACTCCCTACGCCTGGCCTCATAATCCCTCAGGTTCCAGTCACTCATCCCAATGGCACTTCCAGCCCAAAGAACAAATCCTGGAAGGAAATCGTCAAGCACTGGCTTATTGGCGATTGGGACCGAGGACTGATGACACCATTGAAGGATTGGCCAAGGGAGTGGTACCAAGGCGCCAATAGACAGTTTGCATCAAAGTACCACCAAAGGGTGACCATCGCGCTGGAATTCATCAATTAGTAAGTCCCTGCTGGTATCTGCTATTCCAGTACTACTCACCTTCTGTTTTGCTTCCAGGTATGAGTCAAATGAGGCGCGCTTCCTCACAGCCTATCCAGAGGCTGAGCTCGGCCACACACAACTTCTGAAGGCCGTGAACCAGGCATGCACTGCACAAGGGGACCACATCTCTCGCAACAAATGACACTTCGGCTGGCAACTTCCTCATTTCGCTTCTCAAGAAGGACTGGCAAAATGTTTCATTGCTGCATATCAAAAGCATGATGGGCAAACCCATTCATCTATTCTAAGCTGCTAGGGTGCATAGGGTTGGGTCTGGGTGAGAGCTGGATGAGAACTAATGAGGCTTACCACCCGCTGTTGGCTGTCATTGATTATAATGTCCACTACCTTACTCGCTGTTGTTAATCATGAGCGCTGTGCTCCTTTTTGCACTCTGTTTTTCAGTCAGAACTCACAGCGTCACACAAATCTGGTCATGTGCCAGCAAGGTCAGTGAATCCCACCTCAAAAAGGTAATTGATTGGTGTCACGTGCCCTCACGTGGCATTTTGGCTGAGTGCCACTGTAAATTTCTCGACATAAGTCTTCATTCACTACTAAGTCGTGTGGATCCAGGTTTTTAACAATGCTGCAACATTCCACAGCAAGGTCAAACAGATCACACTTACTGTCGTGTCAAACTCAAGGCAACCGGTTTGTTGAAGAAAGCAATGTATCTACATGGCCATCCTGATTCTGAGGTATGTTGTTTGTCGTCCTTGATATTCAATTCTAAATATCTAGTACTAGGGTCATGCATCTAACTTTGCGAACAATGTGATCCAGATCGCTTGCCATAAGTCACTTTATGACAATGGTTCCAAATCACTAAAGCAATTCGCTGAGTTTCAGAAGACTGTTCCACCCCCAGCGCTCTTTCTCATTGGGACTATTGTGAGTGCGCCTGTAGTATGCTTAAAGTGTGTTTGCTGATTCTGAGTTTATTCTACTAAGATTCATAATGTGATCTATATCTACAGTAAATATGGCCAGGTAAATGGCGCCAAGCAGGTATAGTGGATGGGCCGGATATACAGGTTGGCCGGACGGATGTGTTTACTCAGGGCAAACAAGTGGGCCAGAGGAATGTGTATGCCCAGCTAACTCAGATGGGCCGAGGCTGGTTTCCTGATAGAAATGGGCCAGGTGCACCCAAGGAAAATGGATGTGCCGGATAGACAGGTTGGCCGGATGAATGGGTGCCCAGGGCAAATGGGTGGGCTGGCCAGATGTGTGTACCTAGGGAACACGGGTGGACCGATAAGATATATTTGTAGACATTAGTATAGTAATATACCATATAAATATTAAGAATGGAAAAAGCGATGTACTGGGGGGAAAGCAAGCCGAAAGAATACTATGACACCGGGCATCCAGTCAAAGCTATCATCCGGTAGGTAGAAAGGTATAAACTGTACCGGGTCATATACTGTCTGGATGTCCAGTGGAAGAGCACACCTCTCTTCCTTGCTGAAACCAAGCCGGAGATATATTGATGCATCCGGGGGTGATCTTCCCATCCAAACTGGGATAGAAATTGGACTTGTGAGTCCACCATTCAGTAGGCTTGCTGGTCGTGATGCTATTGTTAAGCAAATTGCCCATGGAGTTTGTAGTGCAATGCATATCTGTCTAGATATACCCAGATGAGATGCAATACAAAATGAATGCCCATAGATGACAGACCATTAACATGCCAGTCATGGCTCCAGGCAAATACCAGACAATAATTCTGCCACCAGAATCAATGATGACGCTTGGTTTTGCCAAGATCAGATGTGCTTCCGGAGGGAATCTTTCCAAAAGACTTTGCTCCCATTTCTCATTTCGACCGGATTCATATTTGTCAACGGATTCATTATATCTAACCATGTCAATGTTAAGATGAACTGTCGGCAAGTTAGTCAACTGGAAAGGATGATATACAAAAATGAATACCAGGATTAGAGTAAGCGATGGCCAGGACATTGGCAAGGTGCTCCAATGCAATACAGGTGTTGACATCCAAGAGTCTGATGCTCATTTGCTTTGCTTGCCATTGATGAATTTTGGACATGAAGATGTCATACACCAATTCACCGGCAAGGTAGGTCTGGTATAATGCCCAGTCTTGTGGGATTCTTGCCATGTGTGCAAGAACAAAATGAGTGATGAGGAAAGAAAGAAGACCGGTCTGATCAATCCATGACCAGGATGAGCCGGTATTAACATCATTCACACGACCTGATGTACTCTAGAAATCACCACCATTGTCTATTGCAATTCAATACAAGAAGCAGTATGAAATATACACAATGAATGCTTTCAGATATCAAATTATACTTTACTGTCCTTCGGATGCACTGTCATCTGTGTTCAACCGGTCCATGAGCGCCTGTGAGGACAACACAGCCCTCCTGATCTCCTCAACCAGCCCAGCTAAGCATGCCAACCTATCACTTGAATGTTCAAGTTTCATCATTCTCCCTTGCAATATGTTCATGAGCTCTTGACCAATTGTTGTCTGCTGGCACTGTGCAAGTGATGCCAATCCAATTGTCTCCGGTGTGCGTGCGGACCAGGCCAAGCTTGAGCATATATGGAAGCAGTCCAGTTTCCACATGATCCGGCTATTATAATATTGAATGTTGGCTTTAGTGAGGATGCAGGCCGTCAATGTTTCAAGGACTCACAAGTTCTGCAAAATGGCCCTCAACCAACTCCATCACATCTTGGACAGATGACCTTGGCAACATGTCTGACACCTTGCAAGAGGCAAGATTGTCCTTCCACCATGCATTAAAGTAGTCTGGCATCCGGGCAATATCATATTCATCTGATTGATTGCAGTGCACAAGAGGTCCAATGCTTTGATCTCCATGAAAATCTCAGTGACATCTGGCTGCCGGTCTACCAATGTATGTGCCATCCTGATTGCAATCACATCATGAAGGAGCGTTGGAATGACAGCGGAGCACCTGCTAAGGAAGGTTATATTGATGAAAGGCGTGACAAAGGTCTATATGACAAATGACAACTTTGAGATCAAGGCAATATAAGGATGACCGGGTGACTGGATGACCGGATGACTGGACACTCACCTCCATTTCCCATTTCATGAGTGTGTGGAATGCTTCTGCATATCCAGGCAGGGATGTGGCAAAGCTCTTGTCCACATACAGGCGCATGGCCAACAAACGCAAATTGGCATAGAATAGGGCATGAGAAATCTCTCCAGCAGTGACCTGACCATCTGAATAAGCCATCATGACTTGGGCAGAGCCAACCAGATCTCCAGTATGGTTCATAGAGAGCAAAAAGAAAATGATGCAGCAATTGTAGCGGTGGTTGTTGTGGTAGTGGTGAGACCAACAGAGTATGATTATGTACGTCCTATCAAATTACATATTGACTAATCTGGGAAATATACAACCAGTAACCATGAATTATCTCACAACCTGTATATCACCCTGAATGTCCGGAATGAATTTGCCAAACGAATCTGCCGCATGTCCGGCCAGGTCATGATATATTTGAGATTGTCTGGTGGCACATTGCTTGGCCTTGTGCTTGAAAAAATTGATCATCCACTGCATTTCATGTTCGACAAGAATGACCTCTTCATTCCAACGATCACAAAGTGCCTTGGTCCGGAGCCAGTTCACCCAGTAGACTATTTAGTGGGTGAGACCGGATAACCTGATATCACCGGATGCTATGGATACTCACATTCTGTCATTTCCGGATGTATCACCCTGAACATCAAGGGACCAGAACCATGCGAGGGTGGTGTTCCTCTGACCACATGCATTTGGATCTGCCACAGCAGTGCTTGTTTTCAGGTGTTCTTTCTCTAACGGAAGATATTTCTTCAAGAGGTTGTGATTAGGGAGTCGACCTAGCTGCAACCGGCATTTCGAGTATATCCTGACATTGAGCTTTACTGCTGCTTCCACTGAACGAACTTGAGTCCATGCCTGGGTTGAGGCAGCTTGTGATTTGGCGGACCGGACAGTATCCCGGAATATCACAGTTTTATCTCCCAAATGAACTCTAATTGCATGGAGTGCATCATTGGCCTGGCCTTCACGGAGGACGGTTTCTTCTTTCATGAGATCTGTTAGACCCAATGCCTTGCATCTGGCCTCACCAAGGTTAGAAGGCAAAGGTGTTAAGATGGGAGTGAAGTGGGCCACTTCTAGAGGCTACTGAGAGACCAGAAGAGATCAGACTAGAGTCCAGAGTAAGTTGCCAAAGAGGCAGTAAGCACTGGACTCTGGGATATGGGCGACGTATGGTAAACAAATGTAAACAGACAAGCCATAATCAAAGGGTAAGTAATAACTCGACCTAGGGACATCTGTAGAGGTGAATAATCATATAACTAACAAAAGGTATGATAGTAAGCTCTGATTGAAATATGGAGGTATGTGTTTCCGGATCCAGATGTTGATCATGATCATCGAGATCGGAATAATCTTCTTCATCCAGTGAATCATGATCCCTGTCTACCGGAGAATCTGGTTCATTTGCATCGACTTCACATCCAAGATAAGTGGATGCCATCTCAAGAAAGTTTGTTATCTGAGTTTGCAGCTTATCTCTAAGTCGGGCCACTCTCAGTAATTGAATGTCTGTAGGATGTCTCCTGAGCCTTTTAACATCTCTAGAGAGAGAGATTTGGAATTCTTCTATGGTGAGACCCGGTTGTGAGCCAAGTGGCAGCCCCTCATCGACTGATAGAATTGGTGACCAAATGATCCGGACGATTTTGAGCCTGTAGCAGGCGCAACTCCTATTGCTTTCTGGTTGGAGCTGTACATCATGGCATTCAAATCATAATGAGAATGCCATGAGGCCCAGATGAGTAGTGGTAAAATTTGACACTTACCCTTTTCCAACCGGACCTCATAAATATCCATGGCTGTTGGATCCTCCAATCGGTTTGCATGGGCAAGTGCCTCTTCCGCTTCCCAAAGAATGACCATGTCAGGGTGAGCTGTCTCATTAAGATTTTGAAATGACATTTTGCTCTCTGCAGCACCCCTGGCAGCCTCTTTAAACTTTCTGCAGAGAAATTTGGCTGTAGGGCAAGTCAGCCAGGAAGGTATGATATGAGACCGGAAGATATTTGTACATCTGGCCGGAGATTGGCAACTCACTCATGCGGATCATTTTAATGAAGTTGCAATCATTCATTTGATAATCCAATACCTCCTTGCGATGCGGAGTTCCCATGCCCCTAGCTGATGGAGAGATTATGTTTAAAGATGCCCAGAGGGTTTCCATGATCTCTCCATCAATCCTGCCGGTTCCACGGATAAAATTTGAGGCATACTGGACATAGCAGCTGTCCTGATGGCCATGTACATGCCACAAACCTATTCCAGGAATGATTCCATGCCGATGGGGATGGAAAGATACGTGCTGGATGCGATCTGGTCCTTCAAAAACTTATGATACTGACAATTTATGTCGTAGAAGGTTATGGCTTGTGAGATTCCATCTGTATTGTAGTTGAGTGCTTGACTCAAGGCATAGTCCATGTTCATCTGCCTAATTATTTGGGATGATCAGTAAGACCGGAAATAACCGGATGCGATGGTTATTTACCTTTCACCCTTCTGAAAATCCACCATGGAATGTGGGACAAAACATCCATGCTGTGCACATGCACATCCTCCTATACCAGTGGCCTCTAGCTTTTGTCGGGAGGCATTTGCTTGATTGACTGCGTGGTGATTGTTACAATCTGATCTTTGGACACGGTCTTGTGCAATGGATAAATGACTCTTGTATCTTTCATCTCCAACCATGAATGCAAGACCGTCCATCAATGATACTTCATCGGATGGATTCACTGGATGGAGGTGCTCAGCTTTGAAATTACCATCCATGACCAAAGTCCTGGTGAATAGCCATGAAGGTGTGTTGTCCGGCCGGGTGGATGTACTGATCTTCAGGTCCAAGTTTATCCCCGGTTAAGGACATGCTAGGCAAAACAGGGCGAGGTCACCGGCCTTTGGCTCATTGCTTTTGTGTGCAAACCTATGCCACTTGTAGAGCTTGCATTGATGCCACTGCCTGGCAGTTCTCATGAGCTCTCTGTAGCGATCCTGCAGATGCTGTTGTTTAATCACCGGATGACCGAGTGCAGACAATGACAACTGACTGGAACCATCAATGGAAAGATGCTTGAGGTCAGCCTCTGGATCTTACTGTAGTAATTCATGGCTGATGTACCACATTCAAGGTTGTCGAGCAGAGAGTTATCCAAGACAGAATGTGAATGCAGTTTTTGGTCTGGTGAATGATGCTGGAAACAAGCCTGCTTGAAAGAGCTGAATATCCCGGGTGAGAGCACCGGGGCACTGGCAATATGATATGGATACAGAGTGAACACCAGATTTGTCTACTATGGTGATAGCCGGATGATCCAAGTTGGTGACAAGTGGAATGGAAGCTCCCTCCGGATAATCATCATAGTTTATATTTTCATCGGTATCTGACCATTCAAACAGGTCTGATGTGTATTCAGTGCTGCTGGGGCATGGAGTGTATGAGCGAGGTGAATGAGCAGGCTGACTTTAATGAGTGAAGTTTCTTGAAAAAATGATCCGGTCCATTGACTGATGTGATGGAATGGATGTCTTTGATGTTGGGTTCTGCAGCAGTCTGTGCAAAACAACGGCTCATCAAAACAGCCATGGCATTTATAAACCCCATCCTTCTTGCAGACAGAACAAAGCCGGTCCAGGGGAGGGGCTTCTCTGACCATTAGTAAATTGATGTAGTCCTTGAACTTGTGCTTCCATTGCCGGAGATATTTGTTCTGACCCTTCATTGCCATAAGTTGTGTCATTTCCAAGTCGGTTAACCAAACACATCGTAATCCTGCCATCATCCCAAATTTGCATAGATTTCCTCCGGTATCAATGTGTCTCCCTATACACCATATTTAAGAGTATTTCTGTATGCAACCCACATACTATATGATGAACTTGGTCTAAGTGTGCATGTTTTACAATTCTAAGTTCTACAATAGAGAAACACAGGACATATTGAGCCTGAGGGTATCATGCTGCCGGATCATCTCTAATGTTGAGTGCATGTGGTGATCGACTATGTAATCTTATACTGTATCCTTTCTTCTACCAATACCTCAACTGCTTTGCAATGGCCCGATCCAACTCATCAGCACACAGTCCCCAAAAGACCAAGCAGAAATTGACAAAGGAAGAGCTGCTAAGCCCCTAAGATGGATTCTCGGCTGTTGAAGAAAAGGAAACTTGTGAGCAACTGATCCTCTAATTGTATAAATGCTCATGATGTATGAAGATGTACCGGGACTGGTTGTATAATCGGAGAGCTGAAAAGACTCTTAAAAAAAAAAGTTCGGTAAGACATGGACTGCCCAATTGGTGATAGAACACCAGTACAAGTAGGAGATAATTGAAAAGCTGGAGCAAGGCCAGGAGGGAAGGAGATGATTAAAAACTACCAGGGAGCGGTCAATGCAATTATGGGAGGTTTATGTGAAGAGCAGCTGGAGGAAGCAAAGAAGACTGCAATAGAGTGGTCTAGCAAGGCTCCTCCTACGGATGTCCAGGCCGAGTTCGCTCAGAAGAAAGCTCCTGGTATGATGAAAGATCTTGCGACTCAGTTATGGAGGCAGGCTGGTATGAGGATATTTATATTGTCAGCATGAAAAACAGAGGAAGGGGAAGTGAGGATCAATGGGTGAGTTGCATTCTTGTGCTCACAACTGGTGAAGGGCTGATCCGGTCATCAGAATGGACTTCAATGAACAGTTGGAAGGTAATAGTTTCACCGATACAAAGGACTGGAAGCCCATGTTATCAGAGTGGAATGCCTATGTCGGAGAAGAGTTCGGTGAGCTTCTGTTATGTGCAATGTTGATTGATCCAGTCAAGTACTTACACCATGTTGTGATACCAGCAGTCGATCAGAATGATGAGGATGACAATGAGGATATGGGGGGGAAGGAGAGCGGAAAGCACAGGAGAAAAAAGGAGGAATTTGCCTTGGAGGTGGATGCCTATGGGCTTCCAGTCATGCCAGATATCGAGGCCCTCAGCCTAGAGAAAAAAAAGTGTCTTATCTGCACATTCCTCACAAGACACTACAGTACGTCTCATGAATTAAATATCTGAAGATTTAATCAAGCAACTATGTATTTTGCAGGGTTTTGCAGTCAAAAGCCGAAGGCTTCCATTCCTTGGTCTGCAGTAAGGGAGGCTCAGGATGATTTTATTGAGCCCAAGTTTTTACCTGCCGGTGTGAAGATCAAGGACCCGTCAAAGCTTCAGTTGCATGAAGCCGACAGGTTGTTAGAGTTCTGGCATCAGAGACAAAAGGACGCGGTTCCATCAACATTTGAATTCAAAGGCTGGCAAGACCACGACAAGGAGATGAGAGAACCAGTGAAGAGGACCTCTGGGCAGGTGGAACAAGACTTGAGCACCGAGGAGGAAGATCGTGATGAAGGTGCTATGGATGGCATGAGATCCGGTCTAGCTACTGCAAAGACCAAGGTTCCGGTTAAAAAGCCGGCCAGAAGGACAGAACACCGGTCACAACAACTGACCGGGAAGCTGACCGGACAGGTGGAGCAGGAGTCAAGTAGTGAGGGGGAGGATGGTGACGAAGGTGCTGACTATGGCATGAGATCCGGTCTGGTGACAGCAAAGACCAGGGTTCTGGTTAAAAACACAACCGGAAGGAAGGAACACCAGTCACGAAACCCAACTGGCAAGCCGACCAGACAGGTGGAGCAGGAGTCAGGCAGTGAGGAGGAGGATGGCAAGGAAGGTGCTGGCGATGGCACCAGACCCGGTCTAATGACTGCCAAGACCAAGGTTCCAGTTGAAAAGCCGACCGGAATGATTGAGCCCACCGTTCCAGCTACAGCAAAGGCCAGGGTTCCAGTTAAAAAACCAACTGGCAAGCCGACTGGGAAGTCAACTGGAAGGATGGAACACCAGTCAAGTGGCGAGGGTAATGGAGGGAATGAAGACGTCCATTTGCTGTTTTCAAAGTCCAAATCAATTGGAAGGCGAAATCGAACTGACCAATCTGATTCAGAGCAGGAAGATTCTGTCCAGGTGAGGAAGATGCATCGAAAGGAACCTACACCCAAATCAACGGCACCTTCGACGACACAAGCCACACGTAAAACAAGGAAGACAAACGGAGCTCAAGTTGATCACCTGGAGCCAAAGAGATCTGCTAGAACCACAAAGGTGTCTTACAAAGTGAACTACATGCAAAGGCAGTAATCATCGGGATCCATAGAATGTACTATACAAGGGTAAAGAGTATGAAGCATATATATATTTACATCATGTTGACAGTCGGTATATTGATATAAGTTGAAATGCTAGCAATAACTCATGGGCAGACTGAAGAACTTCCTGGCTGACAGATGCTTCTTCTGGTGACATTATACTGTGGGCCTGGTCCATCTCCAACCAGTGTATCGCCAAACGCAAATCGCCTACTGCGCGCTGAATCACAAATCCAATGGGTTCTGGTTCACCATCGGCAAGACCATGTACCGGATCCAGTGCAGCTGTCCCAAAACCCATGTCCAGAGGCTTCTGATCAAGTTGAATATCCACTGGATTCACAATCAACAAGTTAAGGCACTACAATGAGAAGATGTACTTGACTGATCCAGATGTACCAGATGGAGTGCACTGAATCCATATCCAAAGGGTGCTCATCCAGTTGGATTGCATTGAATCCTGGATCCAAGGGGCCATTGTCCGGTTGAAGTGTGTTGAATCCCATATCCAAAGGATGCCGGATCCAAGGGCCTAGCGTCCGGTTGGAGTGTGTTGAATCCCATATCCAAAGGGTGCCCATCTGGTTGGAGTGTGTTGAATCCCATGTCCAAAGGGTGCCCATCCGGTTGGAGTGTGTTGAATCCCATATCCAAAGGGCGATCATCTGGTTCAATGTCCACTGGATTGACATGTGAGAATGCAATGAAATATATGAATGACACATACAGTGACAAGATGCCAGATCTGTCTGAAAGCCCATGTTCAAAGGAATCTGGACCAGTTGCATATCCACTAAAGTCACATTGAACAGTGTGACACAACACAATGACAAGACCTACATGACCCAGCCGGAACATCATGCACCGGATCTCTGCAAAAGCCCATGTCCAAAGGCCTCTGGACCACATGCTCATCTTCTGCCAGAAGTGAACTGAAACCCATGTCGAGAGGGTTGTTTTCGATGGACATATCAATCCCTGCATTGAAAATATATATAATTGTCCTCCACATATTTGGTTCACATACCTGAGGTACTGGCTGGACAAATGACTGCCATGTTTGAAGAGCTGTTCATGGTGTCATGTGCATGGCGGGGATCTAACTCGCCAGCTGGTTGAAATCCCATGTCCAACGCTGATATGGATGGTGGAGTTGATAACTGGTTAATATGTGATTGAAGAGAAAATCCCATATCCAATCTGTCAGTCTCCGGTTGACCTGACATCTGGGCAAACCTGATGTCTCCTGACTGGACGCATTCCATGTGCTGTAGCATCTTCAATCGTCTCCCATCCTTTCACCGGTCATGAGCTGACAAGACATCTGAGTCTTCAGAAAATTTCAATTGTTAGTCCTGTGTAGCAGCACAACACGACACTCACATTCCCCCATGCTAGTGCAATTCATCCAAGGGTTACTGTAGATCTGCCCTTTACCTTGCGGCTCCAAAATGTCAAACACTACCACTGAATGTTCAGTGCCTTTCAGGTTCTGAAAGTGGTAGGTTGTGTACCTTCGACATCGTGAGACAATTGCAAGTTATCCAGAGTCATGTGTAAGGATGATATATTCTTCTGGCTTGATTGTAGTTTAGTTGGTCTCATCTCTGGGGGATGATATCTTTTTCCGGCTTCAGTTAAATTCTACAGAATATAAGGTCTAAATCTATTGTATGCGATGACTGGAATAATGCATTTGTGCTTCCATAGCCTGTGACCGGATGCTTACTTCAGAATCTGATAATGATAACGTACGGCAAGTTTTCACACAGCCATCAAATTCATTCGGCATATCAATCCGGTGTATTGACCACATATCTGGCAATCTCCGAGATGGCCCAGAGATCCAGTATTAGTAAAATATTCCAGAATTTGCCATTCCCTCCCGGTTCTCTTTTCCAAGCCAACCAGCTGCCGCCATTGTCTTATTGAAAACATGTCTTACAACTCCAATACCTCTGCTGCTGCTGCCACAGCGAACCATGCACTCATTAATCTTCTGGACATGTTGAATGAATTGGTTGAACAGGTGCTCTGCTCACAGTCAGAAGAGGATAAAATGAGATTGAGCTGCACCATTGCTTTTCAATTGGTATGTTTCATATTCTGTTATATGTTGAGATATTTGATTCTGTTATAGCACAATGCAGTCCATTCCCATCTCACACTTGCCACCTACATCCCCCTTCGCCTGCTGTCGATGGCAGCTGAGGTCCATCGCGCTCAAAGGGGCACTGCACAACTGGTGCAAGTGCCGGATTGGAGTCAGGTCGGGAACAACGAGGACATTTGCCAGGGTCATCCCTTATACTCAAAGACACTCGGTCCGTCGTCTACTGTCACCATTCCTGCTGGCTCATCCTCTGCACCTGCACCGGCAGGCTCATCCTCTGCTCCTGCACCAGCAGGCCCATCCTCTGCGCCTGAACCAGCAGGCCCAGGTACACCAGCACTGGCAGGTCCAACATCTTCACTGGCACCAGCACAAACCTCAGTGCCACCAATCACCACTTTGCCAGGTCCCAGTATTGTCATCAAGATCCCTGGTGGTGCAATTTCCGGCCCATCAAAACATCGCAAACGACAATTTAGCATCAGCCCCCCACGTCCGGTCAAGAGGGCAAGGAAAATAGTCAAGTCCAAGCGAATCTTGAGTGACACCAACACTGACAGTGATGGAGTTCGCATTGAAAAAGGACATGATCAGGTAAAGGGCAAAGGAAAGGCAAGAGTGAGGTCACCATCATCGGATGACAATACCCAGGAAATAATGATGAAAGATGCCACTCCTGATCTGGAAGTCAAGGTAAGTCTCTTTTCGCATCTTTCACATGCTTAACAATACTACGCAGCCACGGCAACCGACACAACATCCGCTCAAAAAGGTATGTTCATTTTTGTATTTTCAGACAATCCTAAAATTTTCACAGCAAAGACCGGTTGTCGACATCCGGACTCGGCCGATGCCACCTTCGAATACCAGAAACAAGGGTGCTGACCACGCAGAATACGAGCCGGAGGAAGATGTGGAGTCTATTGGCGACAAACGAAAGGTTGGTACTGCTTCTACCTATTGGTGCATGCCTGATCCGGTTGCAGCCATGTCTTGACCGGGTCAAAGACGCGAAACTGGTAGGTCTATCTCATTGCAACACTAGTCAGTGCCACCAACATAATATTGCACAATAGTCTATGTCAGATGCCCGGCATTTAGGAACAGACAAGGACAAGAAGGGGAAGCGTCCACAGCCAGTGAGACATCCTGCCATTGCCATCTGGACAGATCATACTCATACTCATCCTTCACAGCAACCCATTGGTTCATCTCATCGACCGTGCACGAGATGCATCGCAATGGATGTTGTTACAAGTAACATCGGTCACGTGGCCCCCCTATCATTTTCCCTTCATCCTCGCCCTCACCATCTACTGGCTCGTCCTCCTCTACCGACTTTCTGTTGACCGGATCCTCGGGACCGTTCCCGTCCCTCGCATCATCCGCCTCTATGCACGTGCACGCACGTTCCTCTCTTGATTCGACCACCAATGTGGTCCCGCACCTCTGACTCGGCCTGACTCGTGCCACCAGCGTGGCTTTCCTCTTTCTGTTTCCCCTGACTGCGGATTCCCGCACGTTGTATTCTTACCGTTGGTCCGTTCCAACGTTTCTCGGTCTCATTCCACATTCGACCATCCATCACTAATCCAGCTGTGTTGCCAACGCACCTATACCATTCCCGTATCCCCTTTACCCTTACCTACTGTGCGGTAGCCTTGCCCTTAACCCTCTCCACTTAGTATAAGTAGTCGGTCACCTTGTACTAGATTCTCTAACTTGAATCTACTCAATCTTCCCTGGAACATACTTCCCTCTGAAGCCCCCTCAGCTTCAGTCTCTAGTATCTTTTCTTAGTCGCTCATCGCGGCTAAGTCTACCTCGATCGACCTCATCGTCCGGACAAGACAGTCCTGACCTTGAGTGACTTCTCACGACATCCGTCTACGAAGTCACGTGACACGCGCGTACTGTGATCGCTGCCGACTCGTCGTCGCCAGGCTCACTTGCTATACCGGACCCTTCCGGTTACGTCACGAATGTTAGCGGACGACGCCCCTCTTAGGGCTCCGCCTAACAGATCTATTTGAGTGCGTAACAGATGTAGAATGTCAGAGCTGGCTCACCAAAAAGGGCCTGGTAGCCCAGACTTGTGCGCGTTGCAACCGGTGGAAGATGAAATGCATCTGGCCAACGCAACTGGACACGCCTGCAATCACCGTGCCCATACCACCGGTTGCACCCATCACCACTCGCTCGAAGGCTACCATAGTAGTAAAGCAGGCTAAGCAGTCTAGGCAATGCAAAGGCAAGTCTGTCATGTCTGGTTGTGTCCCTACTAAGTCATTCTTTGTCATAGATACTCGGAAGCCTAGTCCTATCCCGGAGGAACCGGATGCTGATGTCAAGATGCTCGATGATGCTCCTACCGTGCCAAGCGCCGCCCCAGTGCCATCTGATGACGATCACCCTGAGAACCATTGGATTGAACCCACGGATGATAGTATCCTACCTCCCGCACCGTTTCAGGAGACACCAGATGAGGTCCGGTACACTCCTGTCTATCCGGCTCGCACTCAAAGGCCCCCCTCCCCTGCCACCACTTCCATGCCCATTCAGTCTCATCAGCCTCCCCGTCATCTAACTAATGCAGAGATTGAGACCATGCTGGCCCAAATTCAGATTGATATGCAGGAGCTACGCACACATGATGATACCATTCACAATGATCTGTCTCGTCACATCGACGAGCTGCGTGCTAACTATATAGAACAATTCAGCCTCCAGAAGGGACTGGTAGATTAGTTGACTTTCCAGGTGGGCAGAATGGCGAGGTACTTGAGGGACAACCAAAGGGCTGCTGCATCATTGGTCACAACTCCACCCACATTCAATCCACCACCCATTGTCATCCCCGGTACCCCCATATTCCCTGAGTTTGGTTCCATCAGTGCATTAGGTCGCACTGTTACCAATAATATCTTTACTCCGGATGTGTTCTCGACTGGTGCCTGCCCCGCTGGAGATGGCTCGCCAGTCACAAGGCATGAACAAGCGCCCACATCCAGCTCTACCTCCACAATCAATCCGGCCCCCACCATCAGGGAATCCAGTTTACCCATTCAGCAGGTTGTGGCACTGCCAGTGCCAACTCACACGGTCCCAACGGAATCCATGCCTTCCACCAGCACCATTTGCATGTTGGTCACTGGGTCACCAAATGTACTCAAGGATGGTCAGTCTGTCTCGGCTCCCTTGCCACAGCGCTTATTTGCGCCTCAATCACGCCTACAAGGTCGGTTGGTCAGTGCTAGGCATGCGAAGAATTTGTCCGGGGATGGGCCCAAGTAATACTAGCATACATGATTCATTTTTTTCTTACTTCTTTGTATCAATGTATTAGATCAACCGGTGAATGCATTTACAATGCACCGGACAATTGGCATGTCAGATGACCGGATAAAATTGGATGTACCGGATGATACACTTGTCAGATCGATCCACCCGGTGATAGACTTTCATCCGGCCAACCTGTATATCCGGCCCATCCACTATACCCTCAGCCCACCCGTTTGCCCTGGGGTACCCATTCATCCGGCCAACCCGTATATCCGGCCCATTTCTCTCCGGTAACTGGCCTTGGCCCACCTGTTTGCCCTGGGTACCCATTCATCCGGCCAACCTGTGTATCCAGCCCATTCCTCTCCGGTAACTGGCCTCGGCCCATCCATGTCATGTGGGTACACGCATTTCGGCCCACCCGTATCCACTGTACACCATTCATTATATATAATGTCCTATATAGTAGTAAATCCCTATACCAATGTCTATACTTTTTACCCTTGGCCCATCCGTCTACCTCGAGAATACATTCTGTCGGCCCACCTGTTTCCCTCGAGGACCCATTCCCTTGGCCTACCTGTCTCCATGGCAAACTGGATTCATTATTCATAATGTCCACATATAATAGTACATTGCTATACCACTGTCTATACTATACACACTCGGCCCATCTGTCTGCCTTGGATACATACATTCGCCCGGCCTACCCGTCTCCATTGTAAACCGGATTCACCATGATGCCCTATATACTAGTACATTCCTATACTACTGTCTGTATTATATACTCCTGGCCCATCCATTTGCCTCGGGTACACACATGACCTCGGCCCACTCATGTATCATGGTACAATTATTGGCATGGGCCCACATGGGATAGCCCGTCCCTATTGGTACATTGTCACGTTTGGCTGCCCATCTGAGACGGGTGAATTCACTGAAGGGGCTCAGCCCTTCTCCAGCTAACGCTAGTTCTACGGCACGTCGCCAGCTCGGAAAATTATCTGAGCCAGTCAGCTCGGGAATGTGATCGAATTTTCCCATCGTTCACGACGGGGGAGTTCATTAAATGAATGTAAGTGTTGCACTGTTGCTTTGTGTGTTGTCTGAGCTGATTAGAGCTCAGGGCTCATAACCTATACGCATTAGTGATACTAATGCGAAGCAACAACTCAGTTATGTTGGGGAACAAAACTAGATTCACAAGTACCTAATGCAAACATCAGGAAATCAACCCGGACTTGATATGACCAGGTAGAGCTGACAAATAAAACCCATTATGATACATCTAGATTTAGAATTACACATTATTATCTTGGCATAACATGTGTATGAAAAAATATATGACTATGCCAGGGGCAGGTCATTTTGATGTACATCATACAAGCATGCAACACATTTATGATGAAAGATATGACTATGCTGGGGGCAGGTCATTTTGATGTGCATCTTGCAAGCATGCAACAAGTTTATGATGAAAGATATGACTATGCTGGGGGCAGGTCATTTTGATGTGCATCTTGCAAGCATGCAACAAGTTTATGACAGAATATATGACTAGGTCTGGGGCAGGTCATTTTGATGTGTATCTTGCAAGTATGCAACACATTTATGATGAAAGATATGAATTGTATCTAGATTTCATAAAAGCTGCAATAACTACTATGAGTGTGACAGTCTGCTTTCATTTACCCATCCAACAATCTGACATGGTTAACATCTACAAAGCTTGATAACTATGAACTACAGATTGAAACTGACAATGGACATCAGGACAAACCTCCCGCTCTAGTTAGAACTAATTTTCACTAATTTTCGAAAATTAGTCTAACTTTCACTAATTAGATAAATTAGATGAGGACCTTTGTCTGTCTTCCCGCATTTTCCACGCGGCATCTTCGCATGTTTTCTTAATTTCTCAGAGTTCTTAAATCCCTGACGAGTCTGATTACTTAGCATTCGAGACAGCATTGCAGACCCGCAGAAATTTTTTGTTCGAAAATCGGACAAAGACATCAAGAAGCTGGAGAGCAGCGTGAAGGATCGACACGTACAGCATGCCCTTCGTCAGCAACGTCAACCTAAGCTTGGTCAGAATGGTCAATGACAACTTATGCCATTCCAGGTTTGCTCTTCAGTGTTCTCAGTCCAGCTGACATGCTAACGATCTTCCAGATAGATGGCTTTAATTGACTGTGACAATTGGTGGAACTTGCGTCATTGCTGATTAGATGGACATGGTATGCCTCGCCCATCAGTACATACTATTCCTCCTTGCTCATGTCCAAATTGCGGTTCTTGAAGATACTTTCATCCAAACTTCACGCTAGAGGTTATCGTTTAGTCAGGTGAGTGGAACACTGTCCGGTAGCTTATCCTGATGACCTATGTTCCACAGTTTTTTTATGGGGCCTGATATTATTGAAGACTTCATGAGAGGCGAAGGCTACAAGTACTACCGCCTGGTAATTATCCATCCCCGCGTTGAATGCAAATGGCGATCTTGACCCTTTCTGGGATGGAAATACTAAACTGCCTGGGCTGATCGCCAAAAGGGCATAGACGAGAACTCGGACCTTTTATTTACATGCTCAGTACTCGACCGGACAGGTCGGAATCAACTTGCATACTGCAGATACTGTCCTCACATTTGATCCTGATTTCAACCCTCACCAGGTGCATATGACTAGATCTATTCAGATTGGCTGTCCTAACTTAGATCTGTCATTCTAGGACTTGCGCTGAGTACACCATGGCTTATATTAAGCTCTTAACTTTTGTAATGAATATTTCAGGCCATAGCTCATTCTCACCGGTATAGACAGATGAAGACATGCTTGGTGTTCAAGTTCACGGTCAAATATTTAGCTGAAGGTACGAATTATCACACGACTTCTTGTCTGTTGGCACTTACAGAGCATTCTAGAATGGATCATGCTTGTTATTGATCATTTAATTGTTCAGAAGACAGCGCTGGCGAAGTTCTAGTCGCGCCTTCAGGTTGGGGTGATGTGACCATCAAGTTGAGATTTTTTGCGTGCTCTGGAACAGGTACATAATGCATTGCCCCTTCATACTTGTGGAATGCTAATACCACCGTATACACAGAATCTGATTTGGAGCCCCACCTTAATGAGGCTTTTACTCGTACCTTCAATTTTTCAAAATTCCTCACTCCCTTTCTTCATCTCATCATCGTTTTTACAAACTGTAGTCTTCCCTTTAGCGAATCGTCCTTGTTTTAGCTAGTTTTTTAAATGCACATTCATTTGATAGCTTCTAGATAACTTGAGGTCATTTAACATGATCGAATTCATAGGCAGGTATCCTGTCCTCCTGAGCGACTCCACTTGTTTTTGTACCACCCCGAGCTCAAGCTAACGCTTGGCCCAACCCAACCTATCAAATCATAACGATGTTTGAAGCTGGACAAATTGAAAACCTAGAGTTACTATTGTATACCCCTGAGTAAAATTTTAACACAATTTGCGTGTATTTGTTTTTGTTTAACACATGTGACTTTTAGTTTCAAAATCCGAATGTTCAACATTGAAGCCACGTCATCCTTCCCTCTTCTACCGCATCCAACCATTTGCCAACTTTGCTATGGAGGTCAAATCAATGACCCAAGCTGCTGCCCGCCATTTGCAGTGAGTGAGACTATTGAGTCTGTCAATCCTCATTTGAGCAATGGCCATGCTCATCCAAACCATTGCCCACTGTCCACAGTTGGTGAGTGTGTCGATCCTCATTCGAGCAACGGCCATGCTGATCCAAGTCGTCGGCCACCGTTTGCAGGACGTGAGTGTGTCAATCTTCGTTCGAGCAATGGCCATGCTGATCCAAGTCTTTGCCCACCGTTCGCAGTTCGTGAGTGTGTTGATCCTTGTTCGAGCAATGGCCATGCTGATTCAAGTCGTTGGCCACCGTTTGCAGGACGTGAGTGTGTCGATCCTCGTTTGAGCAACAGCCATGCTGATCCAAGCTGTTATCCGCCGTTCATAGTGAGTAAGTCTGTCGATCCTTGCTCAAGCTCGAGCCATGCTGGTCCAAGCTGTTGCCCGCCGTTTGCAGTGAGTGAGTTGGTCAATCATCCTTCAGGGTGATGCTGATTCAAGTCGTTGCTCAGCGTGCAGATCCTTAAGTTGTGTTCGACCATCGAGCAGTGCTGAGTCAGATTGCTGAGGCTGATTCCAGTCATTATATTATTTTATAGTAACATAGCGCTCATTCCTTACATCTTTACACATTACATCTTCACACTAGATCACGAACATCAAGTCAATCCAACATAAACCGTGGACTAGTACACACTGTACATATCGCAAGCTAATCGTCACCTGATGAGACATTTTCACCCCCTCCCTCCCCCTCTCCTTCAAGTTTGGGATCCAACAAAGACGCTAAGATAAAATGAGTGACAAAAACACAAAACAATAAGTCACTCACAGTGTTCAACTGACCCATAGCTCTGAGGTATGTTGTTGATACTGGTATAAGTTGAAGTACGAAATAAATAGCTGACATACTTAAATAGTAATATATTGAAACTCATCCAGATTAGGAACACTTTATTGGTGCCCTGCTAATTAGCACTAATTTTATGATCCTAGAGCTAATTATTGAAAGTTTTGTAGCATCCTAGCTGCACTGGACATGTTTTTTCAGGCTTAATATCACACAATGTTCAAATCAATTAGGTTTTAATTGGAACTGGGTATCAGGACGAGTACAGAGGGAAGGGAAAGGCGTAGAAGATAAGGAGACGATAAGTGACAGAAGTATTACGAAAGAGGAGAGGAGCATGCGCGACGGGAGGTGGAAGCATGGGATTGAGACATCTAGGAATATTGATGAAGTTCATTAGTAGTGCATCCAGTTCGTGACAACCCAGAATCATGAAGATATACGTCTTGTGGCATCTCTCCCTCGTCCGTTCACATTGCAAGATACAATACAATACTTTTTTTCTTCAAATAAGATAAAATTAAGTGTCCTATCTATGTGTGCTCGTTTCCTCGGCCCCTGCCACTCACGCTATGTCAATGTATGAGGTATATGTACAAAGGAAGATCACACTAGCGGGCTCATCGCTAGGGTCGCATGCACGGTTGGCATTGGCATTCTGACGAGCCATGATTGCCTAACGCATCCATGCATCTCCATGACAAGTCTCGAATTTGCGAAGCAACAATTGAATTCAGAGTGAGACATTGGGCATGCAATGCCGGAGGCTGGTAATAATCATCAAACTATCAATGATGTGCGGTTCGAATGGTTACACACCAAAAAAGGTAAGTCACAGCCAGCTGGTTCACGGCCAGTATACAACGTAGTTGCACCGGCTGGCTGACCAAGTACATAGGCCAGTACACCTGCCGAAACCAACGAGTCAATGTTCTCGAACATTTACACAGTCCACCATAAATACAGGAGAGATATCGAGCTTACCGGAAGGATCTGCACCACAATTCTAAACCTCCACCCTTCTAAACCTTCACCCAAGCCTCGAACGACTCGGACTGAGTGTCATTTGGATGTTTTCCGCAAAGAGAAAGAACTCTGTGAGTATCTCTACCTATCTTACTGATAACAGTGCAACACACAGGCTGAGTGCTTTGGTGGATTATTAATTGCAGGACATTGATGGCTGTGAGGGGTTACTCACTGTGCTTTTCTTGTAAGTCTCAGCTCCGAGTCCAACCAAGTCCAACTGAATGAGAACCGAGGACTGTCCGAGTCCTATTCCAACCTTTGTTGTTGGTTTGTTTTTATATTGGGGGACATGAGAAGGAGTAGCAGGTACTAATAAAACTATAAATTAGTTCGAAATTAAATAGTCACAGGCAGCGGCCATCACCTTATCAACGTATGAATGAAACCTCTTATTAATTGCTGGGCTCCGAATTCGATGTGACTAGCGCTAGAAGAATCCTCAGGAAGGAAGGAGGGATAGCATCCAGGCCTACTTACCTTGCCCTGAATGTTACAGTAACATGGCATGAGTCCCCCGCCAGCAGACAGCCCTCTGCCACCACACGGCTATAGACGATACCGGAGTCTCACCAGCTCTATGACGATCATGACGACAGATGATGATAGACGATAAGCGGCAACTGCCGGCTTAGATAAGCGGTCTGGACCGCATATGACGACACATGACGACATAGGTCTAGAAGACCTATTTATGTTATCAAGATAGAAGGCAAGCCTCGTGCTGCCTCATGTACTGATAGAAGGGTACCGCATGGACCCTATCTACGATAGAAGCCCGCCTCATGGACACTATCTCTGACTCATGTAGATAAGCAGATTAGAACCCAGCTTTAGGCTGAGCTTAGATACGAAGAGTAGCCTTATATAAGGTCGAAGATTAAAGTAGACGTTCCTTACTTTAATCTTACTAGGTTTACCCTTGAACTCCTTGTCCCGCTAAAGCTACCTGCTCGACATCGACTCGTACCTTCAGTGACGCCTCTCACTGTCTGTAAACCCGCTATCATCTCAGCGTAACCCCTCGTTAACCACCACGAGCTACATTCGAGTACGCAACCTTTGCTTGTCTGTAAAGGCCGACGACTCTCAGCACTCGGTACCACTGTCGTGGTTGTCGCTGTTTAGATCATCCTAGTCGCACATGACCGTGTGTCATAACACTGAATAATAATTGCTCATAACGAACAGTGTCATTATCCCAACCAGTAAAAAATACAGACTTCAGCCTGTCAACCACCCCGTTTTCTGGCCAAAGGTTATTGATTGTGTCTGGCCATTTTTGTGTGGTTCAGTCACAGAATGCGCGCAGTTAATGATGCCACCGTGTATTCTGTAGTTGATCGCCAATTTGAACATCATAGGCTGGTGAAGACATGCTCCATCGGTGATATTTTGCTGCTGCTGTAAGGTATCAATTCAGGTCTGAGCAAAGTTCCTGTCTGCTGACCTCCACACAGTAGAGAAACACTTTCGAATCATCAAACCTGAAGGAACTCCCTCCAGAGATTGTCTGTGCAGTGTCCCCAGCACAGAATGAACCATTTGGAATCCTGCATAATCGCCTCAAAACTATAACATAAAGTTCTGAAGGGATCTCTGTCAACAAAGAAATGGAGTAGCTACTCACAGAGTGCGTTGATCAGAAGATTATCTTGTGCTTCGTCAATGTATCTAATGCAGGTGGTCAGGGGTAAGATACATTGGTGGGGATAACACGTACAGATAATTGATCTGTTGGCCAGGGGGAACTTCTGGTTCTGCAATACCTTGAGTATCACATACGTGCTGTTTGGGCATATATCGTTACATTATGTGGATGAAAAGGGGGAATAAGTCGTACTGGTCTGCAACATCGTGATGACGTCGCTGCTTCTTGATTTTCTTATAATACACGAAGATGACATACAGAATTCCAGTCTGATTCGCAAAGTTTGGGTTAGAACGATGAGAAAGACGGAGGTAATTCGGGCGATCGAGAACTCCTTCAGGACATGTCAGATGTCAGTGCATGTTCACAGCCTTTAACGATCCCTATAGACATATTCAGAAATTGTCAGTGTCAGGGTAATACAAATAGTACTCACTCGTGAATTCGCCGAAAACCAACCACAGGTCTGATGGGGTAGTGTCAGTATTTCATTGTCATCACAAGAGAAAAGGACACTACTGAGATTCTTAGTGAGATTCTGCAGAAAATGAGGCCAGTATTGATTTGCGAATATGTCATAGGTGACGAAACAGTCATGCGCCTCAGCATCATCAATACTGAAGAAAAGTCCTACAAACTATGAGCTTGGAAACTATCCGGACAACAGATTGGGACATACTCAATCAAAAGTTACAGAAAGAGGAAAGTGCTTATCCTCAAGTTCACTGTATTTCATGGGTATATTCATCTGTGATTCGGGCAGGTCGTCGAGATCAACAAGGCCCTCCTGTATACTTTGTGTCTTCATTTTTGCAAGTTCCTCCAGGATATAGCCTGCTGACGCCAGAGATTCGAGAAGCTTCGTGAAATACTCTTCCTTTCGTCGCGAGCACTCTGGATTTGGTGATGAAGATTTGGCGTGGCTTCGGTATGTCAACGCCACTTGTCTCCCAAGCTTGCTGAATGCTGAGAATCTTAAACAACATTGTCGTGGTTTTTCTAGTCGAGCGTAATAAATGAGCTACTCGTATCAGGGGCAGGACACTTACCCCATGCTGCTGCAACCTAAGACATAACATGACGTGGTACACTCGACAATCTTTTGCTCTTAAGGTCTAAACCAACATCAATTGGTAAATTTGTCTCATCGGGGCAGAACTCACGTGAGTATAAAGATGTGCTGTGCGTCTTGGTTTGCGATGAGACCTTTCACAAAGATGAGAAAAGGTAGCGAGCCAGTTACATGATTGCTCACTATGCAGGAACACCTAAAACAAGAGGTTATCAAGTCGATATTCGCGTGCCTGTAAGCCGTATTTATAGACTTACTTGCGAGAATGTGACATTTCTCTAAACTAGAAAATTGTTAGATGGAAACCAATTCGTATAACGCGAAAATTCATACACCTGCTCGATGTTGCTGCTACTGTTCTTCTGCAGGTACAGAATGCTCGAGGAGTCATGCTCCTCGTCTCGTATCTGTTGTGCAAGAAATGGAACACATGTTTGATGTTCCAATTGGTCTTCACTTTTGCATTGTCAGCAAAGGACCTGCTGCAACTGTTAGTCATCATTGAAATGGACAGGAACGTCAAGCATACCGCAGGTGCACGACGACTCGAAATGCTGTCAAGGAAGGCTGATGAGATGAAGAGGTCAGAGAGCTGCAACATGCAAAGTCCTTCCCCTCGCAATGCCGTTGTTGCACCATACAAGACCATTGTGCAATTTGCATTCGGATGCCATGCGAGGTCGCGCAAGGTGCGTGACAGGCTTGCAGATCAATGCACAAAGGATGGTAACAGCCCGCTCAAGATCACCAAGCACTTTCTCTAAAGCTTATGCCGCAATCTTCCCATTCTGTACAAGCATGACAACCTCTTCGTCATTGAGCATCGCAAGAGCCGCTGACACAGGACAAGGTCCATTCTCAAACACCTCGATGCACTGCTCCAACGACCGAATGGGGGAACTGAATCGGCTGGTCCTCTCTTGGTGCAGGTGCAGCTTGTGTGCAGAGCTTCATGTCAAGCATCTGTGCAGACGCGCCAGCGGTAGCGGGAATTGCAATGGGTGCAATGACCTGCATAGAGCGAATAGCAAGGGGATGGACAATAGGCTTCTCGGAATCTGAAGAACTCGGCGAGGACGGCTTCGAATCACCAACCACAAAGGATGACCGTCTACGTCCACCAGCAGCCCTAACTCTAGGGATCACTATTTCCTCATTATCCTTTTCGCATTTCTCGGCAACAACTGACCTAAAGTGCACATTGTTGGGCTGGAGTCCATGCATAGCACCCTCAGCAATACCCTTGAGAAGGTAATCCTTGAGTGCTACGCTGACAGCGAGGACAAGGACGATCCATTTTGATAGAATGGGATCGTCGACGAGTATCGTCCAACCAGTCATGAAGTTCTCGATCGCATCTGTAGATCTGAATAGTGCGCGGGGACGAACCGGACCTGGTGGCGTGACGCGGATATACAGGGGCGGGGCGATCTTGACAGACAGATCAGTAGACGTGGACACGTTGGCTTTGACCTCGATTTCTACTTGAAGTGTGGTGTTGATAGCAGCAAGGTTGGCGAGGACACTAGCAATGGCAGGAGAGGCTATGTCAACTCTGTGTGACACCGAATAGGCGGTTCTTGCAGAGCCAATCAAGGTCTGAGTCTGGTATCTCGAAATGGTTACGGGAGTGAGCGTGGTTGCAAAGTTGAGAATGTGCAGAGTCAGGAAGGATGCGATCTATGCAATTGGACATCAATGTGACAAGAAAGGAGGTCAGGTGTGGCAGTGACGTATGAGAAGAAGTTTCAGACGTGCGAGGGTATTTTTTTCCTTAAATTCTGGCACTGGGCTGTTCTTCTATCTGAGTATAGAACCCTTGACACCAATAGAGTTTCTGATGGCTGATGGCTAAGACTGGCGTCCTGGACTTGAGGTGGACGGACGAGGGCACTTAGCTTGCATTCACTAAGACTGTTGGAGCTCCAGTATCTTGTCATATCACGAGCAGCTTTGATCCTTTGGACCTAAAACAATCAGGCCATGAGCATTGTTCTGGAGAACAATCAGAGAAAAAACTATGTTGACCCTAACCCAGTTAATCCAAAAAAGGAAATCACATGATCACTAACCTTGACCATAATTGCCAACATCGCGGCATAGAAGGTGCCAAACAAAACACAATCCAATGTCAGTGTCAGTGATGCAAGCACACAGAACTCCTTCAGACCACCAACTTTACTCTTCGCTCCCATGGAGAGAACTACGATCTCGAGCGTGTAATCACGTAAGATGGCATTACCGCTGCTTTGAATGGCTTCCATAACTACTTCACCAGCAGGTTTCATCTGGCCACACCACCTGTCCTCCTTGACAACAGATGAGGATGGTCGAACACTGCAGCTGCAAGACGGAGGGGCTTATCGAAACTAACCGTGCACACAAAGAAAGGTAGAGCTTCAGTGAGGCTGATTGGATCCAAAGGAATCTCGAGGTAATGTGAGATGGGGAGAGCGAGTATGAATGCGAGGATGGATGACAACAAGATTGAAAGGCTGAGCTTCAAGTTGGAACCAAGTGTGCCAGCTGAGAAAATGGTGGTACCTTTTGGTCATAGCTAGCAGCTTGAGTTCTGGAGTGGCAAACAGTTTCTTCCAGATGCAAGAAAAACACGACACTTACCAGGGTTTTGAGCAGCTGGAACTGTGAATGCAGGTGGGCCGTCCAAATTGGCACCATCGGGAGCAGCAATTCAGCGGCGCTTGGAGGTGGTCTGCGCAGGCAGATCGTCAGGCATCAAGAGAGAGGGTGCTTGCTTGCCATCGAGGCAGGCATTCTGAATGAACATACAGAAGTTGCAAGAGTGTGAGCACTGCAAGAGAAGGGGGGGAGGGCGAATGACTCACCTGTTCGCCATTGTATTGGGGGAAGGCAGCCCGTCAAGAAGAAAAACTCGCCTGCAACTTCAAGTGTCTTCAAGAACGCAGCTTCCTGGCTTTGTAAGGCTGGTTGGTGTAGCTAGTGGTGCACATGGGGTATTTCAGGATTCACGGAGATTGCAGAATCAATAAGAGGATACTACACGGCGATCTCATGAGAGAGATGGAATGTGCGCAGTCTAGCCAACTGGGTGAGAGGGCCCTTCATCCAGTCAGTTGTCATCCATGGGGCGTTCAAGTTGGTGTCCGGTGCAGCACGTTGCAAGCATTGAGCATGCTGGTTGTCAGCGCGAAAAATTGAGCATCAGTCTGAGCCAGGCATCAAATCGGGGATTACATCTGGCAGTTCACTTGTACTTGCCTGATCAGGCTTCCCTGGTTTGGTGGACGTGACAACCGACATAACCAGGCTGGCCTGGTTCACGTTGGTATACTATATATGCAGACTCAGTCAAGTCAATAGGTTATGATAATAATACTGTACTACTTACCACGACCTCGAGGCAGGCCTTTCCAGGTGCGACTTCCTGAGGAGTCCATCGTCTTTCGATATAAGCTAGCTTGTAGTTTGGGTCGAGAACTTCAACTGTGTGAGAAACAACAATGCAAAGCAGGAAACACAAAAACTCACCGAGACAGATGAGGTAAAGGTCCAATTCACTCGCCTTCTTGCAATATTTTTCGACATTCTTGAGTCCCTGTTGGATGGGCATCAGTAACTGACGCGTACCCTTCATCACTTGCCATCAATCTCCAACGACCGTCAAGACATTGGAGTGTAGGGATCATACCTAGGCTGATGGGTGTTTCGCAGATGAGAATGATTGTTGTGCAGTAGCAAGCTCCTACAGTAGGACATCAGCAAACAAGCAATGTGTTATTCCATGGCGACATACCTTGAGAACATTATGGACTTTCCAGTCTGCATGTTCGAGTTTGAAGCCTTGATAAGACTTGTTTCAAAACGTTGATACCTCAGGACTCTCCGTCCGGGAGAGTTGTGAAGCGGGTAATAGCCTAAAAATGAATGAAAATATCAAAGGTAGCATTTCATGGTTCACTCACAGGACAAAGAGCAATGAGACACTCGAACTTGTCTCCGCATCCGATGAGAATGTCGCATTAAATAATGGAAGAAAATCTTCTGGAACTGACTTGGAAAAGAATACTGAGCATCGTGAGGTTCGGAACTGTTCAAGAACCCATGAAGAACCAACCTATACAAAGCAGACAAAGAACCATACATACTTCGGTTCGGTCATGTTCGATGGTGTCGCAGTGGACCAGACTGTCCTGGAACTAAACCATTGATTAGGTTCAAACCACAGCACCTATAGTTTGACTGCCTGAAACGTAGACACTGTGCAGATAGAAATCGATAACCAAAGTGATAATGATAGGGATAACACAATATAAATAAAGATCCAGTCAAACGTACAGACGGCATAATATGGCATATCAATACAATAGTTATGCATGTTCCGCACTGCGCTTCAAGGCAAGGTACAACTACAGGCGAGAGTGTCACATGAGCGCAGAGCCATTGGAGGATACAGAGTCGTCAAACCAATTGTCAAACCAATCGTTAGACCAATCATCGTCAGAGGCGTTGCTGGGTAGATGTGATTCATAAGTCATAGCACTTCCAGAGGATGTGCACGTGCCTACAGTCACATTAGTAAGACAACAAAAGTAAAAACTGCAAACCCACCATCATTGGTACATTGAATCCCAGCAGTGTGTGCAATAGCTTCAGAAAAAATGTCCACCTCAGACTGTGCACGTCATCTCATCAGCTGCAGAATATGAAAATCAGACTTGAGTACATCCAGCGGTTTGTCCTCCCTTGTTTTGAAGCTGTCGGGTTTGTCGAGGTGGAAGGGGTTCATGTCTACACAGGATGCGCTGACATAGTCACCATATGTGACGTTACTAACTAACCCAGGCCTTTATCAAATAAGGCAGGGGAAGAAATGTATTGTTGGTCTGCATAGTGTCAGAACACCGAGTCCCTCAAAGTAGAATAATACTGACCTTTGAGACGTGTTCGTAAACTTCTCGAGTTTGCGGGAAATCTGTCTGAAACTGCCATGACGTGGAAAGCCATGCCTCGCATTTCTCTCGAGTAGCTTTTGATGGTCGAGAGCGATCAAAATCGACCGACAAGACGTCATCATGAACAGAGAGGGGCGTTCCTACATGCACGACAGGGTGCTCTCTGAGAATTTTTTTTTGACATGTAGCTAGGGGAAGAAGATTGGTGTCAAAAATCATGTAATGAGAGAATGCCTTACGTGGGTGGTATTGGGTGTTTAGCTCTTCATACACATTCGCAATAGCTTTACTAAATAATGAAACTTCCATCTGAGCTCGATACATCCTCTGCTCCATCAAGCAACACCCTCCTTGCACAAGGAAGGTGATGCTAGTGTACTCTTCCTGCTGGAGCTGTCTCTCCACTGCAGAGACCCTGAGGCTTATATGAAGGATGGCGATGAGATCAAGGGGGTCAACCCATCCAAACAGCACAGATGCTGTAATCAAGAGGGAGTCTGGAAGCTGGAGTTCATGTTATGAGAAAACAATATGCAAAACATGTGAGTGTACTAACAATTTCACGTCCCTGTTTCTGCAGCCAAGATTTCAGGGCATTCTCGGTGTGTTCACCAAGCAAGTGTCTTGTCGCAGGAGTGTTACATGTAGGAAGAAAAGCTGAACTGATATTTAACATATTGAAGTGGGGGGGGCAACAAGAGGCTCGCATGCGATTGTTCAGGGCTTACAAGGGAGTTTAGAGGCCGTGGCTGTGCAACAGCGGTTCTGGCAGCAGTGGCTGTACGTTGGCGGTCTATAAAAAAACACAGCATGAATAAGTAATTAAAAGAATTACCAATTATCTATGTATAACGTGGAAAGTCCATCAGATAACATGCAAGTCCCTGTGTGATGATTTTTTGAGTGTACGATCAGTGGGCTTAGGTATCGTTGCTTACCGGAGGGTTGTAGACGTGCTTGCTCATTCACACGAACCATGCCTGTGGATCGTAGCTGCCACAATTTGACTTGCATTGCTGTAGTTACCATGACGAGCCTCTTAATCCTCACATATCTCAAGAAGATTCACAACACAACGCAGGGCCATGTACATTCAAACCCAACTGATGACTTGACAACATATAGAAAAAGAATTATGTTTCAGCTCGACTTATTTGCGGCAGGCGATCTTGACAATGTCAGTTTTCCTGCATGTTGCATTCCATTAATCAGTAGCAATGAAATGAATCTCATGTCAACTCACCTCAGGTTACAAAACTCTGCGAGCTAAACCCAGAGTACCGGGAGGTCTGGGTCATCTTCCTGTGCGAAGAGAACAGTAGCCGTCCCGAGAAGTCCGTCATAAACCTCGCTAACAGAAGGGAACTGTGACAAGTCAATGGTGACTCCCCCTGTCTTAACCATATCTATCAGATATGACAATAGGGCACTGTAACACTGACACAATGGGGCACATTTAGATGAATAAGAGCCCGTAACGCAGAAGCGACTTACGCAGGTCCCTGCAAATGCTAACGTCGCTGGGGGCAGGTGTGAGGCGTCCCTGAAGACAGGGCGGTTGATATCAGCCATAATCCTTGTCACATTGGCTGATTTAGAAGGCCAGTATACCAGATAGTAAACGAGTGATTTCGCAATGCCCATGCCAAGGAACCACACAAAATCGTTAGTCTATGCGGAAAATAAGATATTAACACTAGAGTCAACGAAGAAAACTGACAGCAATCGGGAAATGGGTCGAGTTGGGAGAGATGAACATGTTCATCAATTGTACACACATGGAACATATTTCACTCTGTAGGGCGAAGGGGCATGGGTTTTGAAGGGTAAAATTAGTCATCAGTCCGCCATCTGCGATTGCAATGCTAGCTGCCCGTTTCATGAGAGAAAGAAGGGCAGACAACCATTTTCCGACCTATTTTAGGTGAGAAACGTAAATGAAATCAATGAAGGAAACATACCATCCCCAATATAGTGTCTTCTGAAATATGGGTATGGCCATCGAGTGATATGACTAGAAAAGAGTCAGAATGTACTGAGAATATTATATGAATGAGCTCCTGACCGCAATCCAGAGCTGTGCGACTTATCCCGACCACAGCGAGGCTTCATTGGAAGAGCTCGCAGACAAATTGTGCCCTTTCCTTGGCGTAATTCGCTTGTGTGAATAAGAACAGATTGATGGGTTTTCCAAGGGCAACATCGGATGTCATCTCGACCCTCAAGTGAACAAGGACTGTTTTCCACTGGGCATACTGCTCTTGAATGACACTTAGAGTGTCTGGACCGTCTGCTTGCTGCGCTTCAGGTTGCGTGACATCGTCAAGATTCGTCGTGCAACCAGTCATGTTCACAGAAGGATCACGGGAATCTACCACTGGGAGTACCTCAGGGACAATCAGGGTTCGTCCAAATGGGAGTATGTCAAACACAGGAGGCTCTGGCTCCGGGACAATGAGAGGTGGCTGGAACGGCTGATAGTCATTGAACTCCGGGGAAATCATGGAGGTTTGAAAGGGCTGAAAGAGCTGTGATAGAGCGACAGCAATGTCAATGGGGCTGCGTCCCTGGGGAAACTCAGCGAGAAAGGCCGTTGTTTTCTGAATGTCCAGGGTGGGCTGTAATTTTATGATGCGACATAACTTTAAGATTTTAAGGCGGACTTACCCAATCATATTTGACGTAAAGAATGTGGTCAGTCGTCATGTAGGCCTGGGGAGCCAAATCCAACTTCCTAGATGGCTCGGCATGCTACAAAACCAATCAATGAGAGAGCAAGGTGCAGTCTAGTGCACGGTACCTGAGTGTATATGGGCATGGACCCAGGTTCGTACACAGAATGGTGCACGATTTCTATCCCGTTGTGCATAATTGGTGTCGCAATATAGCCAATCAAGCAGATCTGTTGCTTGAGCTATAGAGACAGTTAGTGCGTAACACCGGACAAATGAACCACCTACAGCATCGAGGGACGTGGATAAACACTGGTGCACAGTGAGACACTCCCACAAGTCTCAAGAAAAGAAAACTTACATATAGCGGGAACAATGTTGATTTTTGTTCCCCAATAGAAACATAACCAACAAAATCGAACGCTGTGTCTAAGCTGAGGAGGCCCTGGAGGAAGTAAGTTAGTGACGTTGAAATGGCAAGATCAGGAAAAACAACGCACAGAAATAGGCATCATGCTGGGTGAAAGGTCGCTGAATAGATAACATTCACGAAGTTGAGGTTCCATAATATCTGCAGATGTTAAGGTGAAAGGGAGAAAATACATTTATTTGAATATAATTACATACTTCGACCGCAGCTGACCGCATTTGACCTGCCTCTGACCGCCATCACAACGCAGTCAATGCTTTACATGAAAATTGCCCAATTACAGCTCAAATGGTTGACCGCGAAAGCGGTGCCATTAAATTTAAGGTTTTTTTACAGTCGTGGAATAATTGAGCTAGATTTGCAGCGAAAGATCAAGGGCATCTAGTTTTCGTAATCTAATTCTACCTCGCCATCATACATCTCATCAAATTGGTTTAGTAGTGATTTATTGGAACTGAACGGCTGCTCAATGTTTAATCCGCTGTCGGTACCATCGCTTTCATTACTACCATAATCTATTTCCACGTCGTCTGCGGGGTCTTCCATATCATCATTAAATGATGCATGTAAGGCAATGTCTTCTCGTTGAAGTTCAACTTGCGTGGCGCGATGGTGAGAATACACATGTCCAATGCCAAGCCCGAAGTGAAAACATATAAGCATATCACGGTCAACAAACCTAACATGGCAAACTTGAACTCAATACTGCTGATCCTTGTTGCATTACGACCAACTCACCGATTAACATAGTATTTGCGCCAGTCATCTTTATCCCCCGCACATGCCGACACACCCGATCCATCAACACGTCTCTTGCCTCTGGCGAAACGAGGAATGATGTGACAGCCCCGAAGAACATCTGCGGGATCAAGAAAGTCAAATGAGTGTTCATTCGTCAGGGGCGGGAAGTTGACTCGATCTAAGGTTGAAGTCTCCCAGGCAGACACTTCATTCATGGGCTCGTACCAGTGAATCCACAGGAACTCCATTCGGATTGGAGTGTAGTCGATCATACCATGTCCGATGAATATGACATCGACGTGATATATGCCTAGTACCTTGCCGTAGATGTACCTGTGACCCTGGCACCCCATATCATCGTCGGAGTGGAGCACCATAATGTTACAATGTGAAGTCCTTGGGTTGATAATGTCCTGGGCTCTTCGGACATCATAGGTTGTGTAGTTGAATCTAGCGATATTATGTTGATACATGCAATCGTCCTTCAGGATAATTGTATTTATATCATGTTCGTCTTCGACTCCTGGAGGGCCTTTGGAGGTATTTATTCGACGTAAGAGGTGTTCCTTCAGTTTCGGAACAAAGTTCTGAAAGAACGTGTTAAAAGGAAGGCTCTCGATATAGCAGTATATGACCCACTTCTATGGCTGGATCACCGGGGTGGCTAATTAAGTATGATCCTATATGTACAGGGTACTTTTGTGTGAGGCCAATATGATGATGAGCTTGAGGACTTCTTGCTACCTCGGAAATTTCGACATAGGGGCGATGAACAACAGTGTCACCAATACGACGAATGTGATTCTGACGGCGCTCAATCCGAGTCAGCTGTTTAACAAAAGATTTGCGATCAGTACGACGGTATCTTGCCTTGGGAGAACGGTGTTTGAGTTTGCCCTGGAGAAGTCATGTGAGGGAAGTTCATATAGTTGGAGATTATAGGACAGACCGGTTCAGTGCTATAGGAATCAGATGTTCCATACCGGCGAATAGTAGACACATAGTCTCCCAACGCGTGAAATTTGTATGTTTGAAATTTGAATGCCTTGGTGCGTTTCACATTCTTGGCTGACACCTTCGAGTCATCCACCTCCGGTTGCCCTACGACACAAGTAGGTCTTGTGCCTTTATGCCCTTCCTGGTTCGCCTCCTTCTTCGCACGGCGTCGGGCACGAGACCTGACTTCCTGGCCGAGCTCGTGGGTCTCGTAAGCATCACAAACTGTGGCCTTGAATTGGCAAAACTGTTGGCCGAGCGCTGACGTCACGTGGTCCATGATCTCGAGGGTGAGATCAGAATGCATTCTGAGCTTAGCTAGCCCATGCCAATGAGCCATGGTGAATAGTAGCTTAAGAATAGTCTGATTATGCGGCTCCAGAAGAAGGCTATCAAACACAGGGATGGAGCACTGTACATTGTGTTAGCCTATCCCGGTTGAATGACGGTAATAACATGCCTGAAGGAGATCTTCAAAGTTTCTAGCCGCCAAACGTTTCATCTCGGATGAATTGGCTGAAAATCTTCGAATGGTGGCTGAGCCAAATGTCAGAGTCTCTTTGTATCTGACGACAGAAATCAGCTGAATCAGGCAAGTGACATGTATCATACATCATACCTCTGATCCAATCAATGAATGAGGACCGGGTCCTGTGCCGTAATGATCTGCAATAAGTGAATAAACAACATCTTCCATACGCCAATCTCAAACTCGTGTAGTAGATCCACCACAAGGGCATGAAATATATTGAAACCCATATGTCCAAGGCAGTCTGAGAATGCATTCTAAGATATAGTTGGTCATTGATGGCAAATGCAAACCAAGTGGAAGTCTTACTGAGGTAGGCACCCACGACTGAGGCTTCAAAATGTGTTCCACCGCTGCGCTGCCGACTGCAAAGTTGTGCTCATAAATCAGTGAGTGGGCGTCATTTACGAGCATTCTCCTTTTCTCATCACTGCGAGAAAGGGTCTGACGTTGTTGTCTGTCTTGAGGCATGCCCATGTTCTGGATATGATTCTTAGGTATAAGGCAGTGGGGACATGGGCACCCTCCCAAGTTTCGAACAGTAGCTATAAGTACTCTGGTGAAATTATAATCAATACTATTTGAGATACAAATTGAGTATACGTACTTTTCTGGATAGTCTGCAGAATAAGTAAAGATCCTCAGGTAGAATCTGTGCATGATACTGTCACAGCAAGACACCACAATGCCATGCTCGTATGCCTCGAGGAACTCATCGTCCAGTAAAATCTTCCATTGCTCGTGAAAGAAGGCTCTGTGACAATGTGTTGCACACTTGCTGTTCATGCCTTTCCCATCTGTAAAGGCTTTGAACGAATCGGGGAGCTGGTAACAATGTTAAGTATACAGCAGATCAAACAATGTAGCAAGACGAACCATTTCAAAGTAGGCAACATGATTGCTCAAATTGAGCGATGGCTTGCAACAACGATACTTGGACTCGTTGCCAAAGTACATGTAGGTAGGCCACAGTTTGGCAGTGCCAAATGAAGTGAGTTGCATGGCATCAGACCAAAACATGAGGCCAGCCACCACTCGAGGTAAATCGCAGCCAGGCTCCCCCGGCAATTCTTGCAGATCATTGTGGGCTTCGTGAAAAGCGGTAGACGTGTACAAGTCCCCATAGACGGTGACTTTGGTATCCAGGTGAGGAGGATTCCAACGCAGCTGGTACAGCTCGTAATGGAAGAGCTTATCATCCTGGGCATTAGCCAGCTTCTCTCGCAAAACACCCACGAGAGAACGATGGTATAATTCTGCAGCATGATAACGCCGTGGACCTGGTGTTTCAGTGGTGATACCGGTGTCCTCTTCCATCCGGCATCTGCATCCTCCCATTCCTCTCCATCTGCTTCGTCATAGTCGTTGGTGCCAAGCTGGGAGTTGATTTTTTTCCAATGGGTAGAACGTACGTCGGTAATCTTGAAGGTACCATGACCAATGATTTTCATCAGCTTCATATAGTCTCCTTGCGATTTTTGCACCCCTTGATTCCAATACCAATTACCAAGTTCAAATGAAGAACAATTAGGATATGGATGATACTGAGAGTCGCCACTCACAGCAAGAGGTGCATGTTCTTCATCATCGATTTGAGGGTTGCCCGGTATAAATGACAGGTCTGCGATAGCAATGAACTGTTTTGGATCGTGGAATGGTACTTCAAGGGAGAAGTATTGACACACAAGCCCAAAGATATTTGGAGGGGTGCGCAATACCATGCGTACTGGTGAGACAGGTCGATGATCTGCAGCGGCAATAGATACTGCAGGTGCAAGATGACGGTCGCGAGTTTCCAATGGAACAGCAGGCGGAGGCTGCAGAAGCACATCTCTGAATCTTAGTGGCATCCGGCGGTTCTGATGTCTTGGCCGGCGCTGTGCCAGGGACATGTGCTCTACGTCATTTTCCACTCCCTCACATGCAGGAGGGACACCTGCTCCTTCAGAAGCTAGGGACAAGTGAGGCAGAGATGGCACTGTCACTTCGAGATGTGATGCTGTCGAAGGACTGGCTTGCCCAGAGGCCAGTGGGCTGGCAGATGGTACATTGAGTGATCCAGCAACCCCCACGGGCCCAGCCTCATTGTGTGAGCTGTGCGGCTTCTTCCTACAGATTAAGAATTCCTTGACGGACGATATGGCCGACGAAAGACACTTTTTGGTCTGAGAGCATGACCGCTGGTGGTAGTTGAAGTAGTTTTGCGCTGTGAAGGTGCACTTACATCTAGCTATCATTCCTGTAAGTGCACCTTCACAGCACAAAACTACTTCAACTACCACCAGCGGTCATGCTCTCAGACCAAAAAGTGTCTTTCGTCAGCCATATCGTCTGTCAAGGAACTCTTAATCCATAGGAAGAAGCCGCGCAGCTCACACGATGAGGCTGGGCCCATGGGGGTTGCTGGATCGCTCAATGTACCATCTGCCAGTGATAAGGAATGATAGCTAGATGAGAAGGGGTGAAAGGGGGAGAAAGGATGAAGTGGGGTAAAACTCAAATAGACCTCTGGACGCGAGTATAGATTCGGCCCAAGGGGATTGCTACTGAGAACGATTCCTCTAAGTAAAAAATATGGAGGGGAAACTTTGAACTGGTAAGAGTAACTGAAAATGGAAGAGCACGCGACGTTGCGCTTGAAGCGATGCGAGCGCGAGCGAGCCGCCAAAGGTGCGATACAATGTGCGACCAAACGGCCGAAAGTTTGACGGAGCGCGGAGACGCGGAGAAAAGCCGACGGTTTATATGAACGTGCGACTAGCAGGTATGCGAAGGAGATGCGACGCAACAATAGTGAGGGAAGAGAGCTCTGACTATAGATGCGATGAGCGATGTGGGGACAATAGCGCGACCGTTAATACAGCACGCGACGTAGTTGGCCAAAGGTTTCTGACTTAGAGTCTGAGTGATGCATGCAAACGGATGATAATTTCAATAGCGGGAAAAAGAAGATACATCAAAAATCCTAAGTCTAAGGTATATATGATAGCGCACGTAGCGCTGTTCAGAACCAAGAAGATAACAGTAATACATATTAAGGGTCTATAACACAAGTAACGAGACATACGTGATATCACCTTCAGAAATATAATTGGTCTAACGCAAATGAGATAAAATACGCACCAATGGACCAGCGGAGGACATGGATAGGACGGAGGAAGGACATGCGACAGAACCAATGAAAAGCGGATGCAAACCGAAGCACGCGTGTGAGCCACAGCCATTGGCCGACAATAGGAAGGATGCGTGCCAGTGGTAGTGATAGCGCGCGCTGCGCTAGGACCTGAGGGACACTGCAAAAATAGCCTCTACAAGGACTACAAGTCCTACACCACGCTAGCTGAGTGGCCGAAAATAGTGATCGCGGAATGGTAGCATGTCTTGCAGAGATGCTTAAATGCTCCAAGTATGAGAGTAAGACGTCTTCCATCCCCCATGAATGTCTACACACTCTTCTTTACATCCTGAAACGCTGGAACGTCCGGTATTTAAAGCTGACCCTAAGATCGTCAAGATGCTGGTGAATATCTTGATTTGCCGCCATGGGATACTGCATTATCACGGCCCAATGGGAGAACTAGCCATGTATCAATGGTCAATCAATTGATTTTATGGAACGCTCACTGCACTCACCCGAATGACAGGCCAACCGATGGATATGGACACAAGATTCATCCATCACAGTTTATGACGTATCGTGAGATGCATGTCTTCCGTTACCCATCTTGCCTTTGCTCCAAGGTTGATAGTTATGTCGAAGCTGTAGTTTTTAAGTGAACCGCAGGGATATGTAGAGGAGAATACGTCGCTGAATGCGCCACCAGTACTTGCGGCTACATGTGTAAGTTGGTTTCCTCAAAATCAAGGAGAGGGTGGCTGACGCTTAACTCAGTGAATGTAGAAAAGTTCTTCAAGAAAGCCTACATACCGGCTATGCATTATCCATGCAAAGGTATACTTGTTGTATATCCATGTCTTCACACGCTCATACTCTCAAGAGTATTGCCTGCCCTGCATGCTCCCACTATGTGATGACGACCAGCAAGAATCACTGCGTTCTTGGCCAAGATCCACAACGGTGTACCCCACATCAAGATCCCAGTAAAATTACCTGTTGTAGCTATCAGTACCTAATTCTAAGATTCAAGTTTAGCACCAACAAGATTTATGATGTGACGTATCCAAGATCAGAGACAATGCCCTCCCAGGATATTGCACGAGCCTGATGGGGCCCATCAGGACATTCATTAATCCTATATAGATGCATTAAAGACTTGATCATACTGGGCGATGGATATCTCACCACCTTGTAGTGCCGTATGCGATGTCCCAGCATAGTTGACACTGCTGGATGACTTAACCCTCAATACGTCGTCGGACAAAAGTTATATCAATAATGTGACATGTATGGCGCCCGACTTCATGACTACAATGATTCTAAGTGCTTGTAAATCAAGTAACTATGAGTATAGTAACAAGTAACAGGTGGTTAAGCGAAAAAGGGAACAGATGCGAAAGAGTGTGTTGATATACGGCTTGACTCAGAATAAAACTCCACCAGCACCACCCGAAATACCACACCACTTGAGCAGACACAAGCGTAGGGCAAATTCACAACCAACTGTATATGTATGTAGATCCTGTAACTTTTCAGGAATTCATATATTACATGAATTCGTCACTATACATGTTTTAAAGTATACGAACGATACCTGGTGGAACGGAAAGTCAATATCCAAAATAATAAATAAAATAGAGCAAAAGCGGTTTCGAACCCTCGAACGCCACCACATACCAATACTTAATACGAGGCTGAGACCACTTAGCCATCAAAGACAAAAACAAAGCTACCGACCACACGTTTGGCAACAATTATTCTACAATATGAACACCATAGATATTATTGTTGAAGAGCAAACAGAAGGCATGTCCTTGTCCATACTATACTTACTACTCTATACCACTTTATGTGTATAGCAGAGTGGTAATGATAGTTCATTCATTGAAGGAAGAATTTCCTAGTAGAGTTTGGCTCAATGTTTCAACATCAATCGGGCAATTCCGAGTCCCCACTACTACTAGTACATCTCAACAAGCATGCAGTTGTGGTGCTATTCATCGTCTGAGCTCAAGCATCTCAACCATAGTGTTCTTGACAACCTCAGGCTGAATTAATAGCCACCGGCTGCCATCAACTCTACCGGATAGTCAATGTGAACTTTAGCATCATAGATTATATTTATCTTGACGTCCTTGGTAATGATCATTGTACTGCCAGTAGTTCAAAAGAAACACGATTAAAACACAAAGTCCAGTATTCCATAGATGGATCTCGAAAGACTGTTGATCACTATGCCATAGGTAATGTACAGATGTGTGTAAGTATTCAACTAAATCTAGCTTTGTCAAATATGAAGAGTTTATGACACCACAAAACATTCCACGAGACATATCTGGTCAAAACGCAAGCTAATACTAGGAGCATCCGAGCCCTCAATCACAAGCTCAGCAGTACTGAGCTTAACATTACACTTTGAGACAGTTCGTATCTGACCTCGAAAATCCCCATCCAGAATGAGGCACAGTTGATTCTTTCTGCGTGGAGGCACTGGACACAGATCACCGGCAGGGATATGATAGTGTTGAAGTGTAGCGCCCTTATTGCTTGATGCGCAAAACACTGCGACAAAGCCCTTGGGTGCGGGTCCGTTTGCACCGCAGAACGGGTCAGGACAGGCCGTTGATACGAATCGTCTGTGAAGCTTGCCTCCACCTCCATTGAACCTTAATGAGACTTTCAACAGTGCGTGATATGTCAGGAGCTGCGAAGCAAATTCCTTGGACATCAACCAAGGTAAAGGGCCTATAATCAAATTAGCAATGTATTGTGATACCTCCATCGAGGACCCACCATTATCTTGAACTTTTTCAGCTCTGGCGTCGATACTGTCCTGGATGTCTTGTGCATCCACAGTCCAGGGGTCGAGTGTCAACGAACTGGGGTCAACGCTTAATGAAGGACCCTCCACAGTATTGGTATCAGTAGTATTGGTATCCTCAGGGTTGACATCCCAGGATGTCCACAGGCTGTTTGAATCTGTGCGAATAGAAGTAGACGAAGCGGAGGGAACTCGGTCTGGAGGAGGGGTAGTACATCTTCGCTGTGGCGACGTCAAGTACGACCGTCTTCGCAAATCACATAGTGATATCAAGTCTGATGTTGCTAGCATCACACCGTTTAATCTCATTCCATACCTTAGTAACACATGAATAATTTAATCACCAAGAAGATTTAAGCGCTGCTCACCTTGTGGCAACATCCTGGCATTTGACCATGATACGTGCCTGCCCATGCACTGTGACGACACAATTCTCCATCCCAATACTGTATAACATAGCTCGGAAGCCCTTTCAGTCGCCTCCAATCAAGAAAACTTCCTCGTTTATGACCTTGCAAAACGATTCCAAAGGTGCATTATGTAACTTCACCACAAATCTGATTGGAACATTGATCTGCGACAGGTCAGAGATGTTTGGGTTGCGTTGAAAGGTACATATGAGCGACTGGTCACTTTCTGATAGTAGTGTCAAGCGCGCCTTTGGGAAGTCAACGCTCTGCACAACGCCCTTGGCCTGGTATTCCGGCCTGCGAGCGACACTAACAACATCCCCAGGCCTGACGTCATAGCCCCTTTCTTTCGTATAGGCGATTGTTTGGGAGATGTGTGTCCATCGAACAAATGCGGCGGCAACTTGGATAATTGGAGGTCCTAAACTGTACTCGGCTTCGTCCTCAATGAAGATTGGGTTCGCATCTCAGAACCACAGCTGCACCGCTCCCACAGGAAACCATGACACGATCCCGCATTTTCCCATGTGCTCCCCTATGAGTACTTCTATACGGTCTCTGACTTGGATAGATTCGTCAGGGGGAGGCTCATAATGTTGCTGCATTGTTGGGAGTTATGGTTGAAACATATGATTTATGGGACGACAATCCAAGTAGTACTTTGATACTTGGACCTATAGTATATCAAGGATTAGTAGACAGTGATGCGTGCATACTAGATACCCACCTCTTCCTTGGAGATATCTTGACAAAGGTGGAATATATCACCCGATATTTGAATGACATGCCCTTCTAAGCCCAAGTATGCACCCGCTACAACCCATACTGTGTCCCCAACACAGAAGACCCGCTCCAGATCCTGCAGTTGAACTTCCGTTTCGACTTGATCTCCGTCAAAGGTGAGCTCTAAGCATGCGGAACCAAGTGCATGGTCTATCGACAAGACCGTGCCGATTTCTGAATGAACTTCTCCTTTGACGACCCTGATTGCATCTCCTGCATGCAGGAACTGCATCGAAAATGCCATAATCGATCTCTTCATGAATGGTGTGTCCCACCCAGACTGCAGATGCAGTCAAATATCGTCAACGTGCGGGGAGGCCACATATTCTAAGAGATAATGGTGAAAGTCCTTTAGTAGAAGTCCCTTGTAGTACTTTGCTCCTTTGTATGAGCATCCTACAACTTCCTCGCCGTGAATGATGTCGGTCACTGTGTTGTCCTTCGGAAGGCGAGAAGAGTCCAGCAGTGTGACAGATCCCTCAGGCATGGGATAAGGAAAATCTCGTGGAGGGACCAGGACCTTGACAAAGAGGTTGGATTGCTCGGAATCGAACACGTACACTATGGCGTCCTTGTACTTGCCATGCTTGATCCTGACCCACGACGGGTTAGGAAGTTTGATATTCGAATGTTCCACCGCTTCGTGTTCCTCCTCTGAGATGCAGAGATATTCTCTCACCGAGAGATTATGTGAGGGCGGAAGCGAGGCTGAAATCATTTTGGGGCTATCCGAGACCACGTGAAGTTGGCCTGGCACCCAAAGCGACACAGTAACAGAGAATCCTTTGCTTTGAAGGTGTTCGGCGATATATCGAGTAGCAGTTCCTGTAATGCAATGAGTGACATGATACAGGATTAAAAATAGGTGTACTATGAACTGGAAGGAGATACATCCTTTTTTCAACTGTGCCGGGGGACCAGGCAGCTTTGTAAGGCATCCCCTTGAAGAATGCCTCAGTCTCTCTTGGTACTTGCCTACGATATCATTGATCGCAGCGGCCAACCTATTCTTGGCAGATAAACCTAGTATAGACGTAACATTGGACGCTTGCACAGGGGAGCCATGTATATCCTCCTCATCGTCATCCTCGTCGGAATCCCTTGCCTGGTCATCAATGAAGCGCTACGATTGTTAAGTAGAGTCATCAGTAATCATTATTTCATGTATGTTAGATAGTCTATCCTCCTCCTCCTCCTCCTCCTCCTCCTCCTCATCGTTGTCATCGTCTACTTCTGCTCTATCATTGATGTAGGGCTATACTTGTTGCTTAGTATAAGCATCATGAGTCAAAAATGCACCTACATTAAATGGCCTACACGATCGACGATTCCTCTTCGGCATGGATGTAGTTACAGGTGAGGCTTTAGCTGCCTTCGTCATATTCAATGACACAGTAGAGGCCTGGCATATGTAAATGGCCTTAAGGGCGTGAAGATTTGCTAATGCGATTATATCATCGCCATCACCAGAGAATAACGCGGCTAGCGCATCCTTCCAGTCCTCTGCTGAGTACCGATCACCCAGGTATGATACAAATGCCTCTTCTGTCTAAGGGTATGTGATGTCGGTCATAAGGAACATTTCTAGAATGCGCCAGGCACCTTCATCCACCTTGGGTGACCGCGCTGCCAGACAAGTCCCTGTATTATAGGGACAAGCTCGTGAATAATATCATTAATATTGTCAAGGTATTGAGACTCACCTTCATTACTAATTCTGACGTGCTTTGGGGCACGTTGATTATCGGTGGATGCAGCACGCTTCGCCATACTATGTATATCTGCATTGTGCATGATCAATATTATTTCGGTAGTCAAGCTTTCAAGATGTACATACTTCAATACTAGTTGTGTGTTTCCTATCCTAACTATCACTAAGTGTATTGTATTGAGGTAGTGATAGCGGAAAGAAGACCTGGCAAGATGCATGATCAGAATTTATACGGTTCTGCAATATTGTGGCGCTTACTCATGATCACAGTGAAATGGTGGACATTGAATTAATGGAGATCCACTACTACTAGTACCAGTCTGGCCTGACCGCATTCTGACTATTGAACTTTGTTGTATGGATTAAGTGGGGTAAATATTATTATTGCAGCTGGCAGCCGCCCATCCGCCACAGAACGACGGGTTGCAAAAGACTCAAGGTACTACACTGAAATTAGCCTCACACTACATACATATATACTAAACGTACAAAACAGTCAGGAAAGGAGTTTCATTTCATGAAGACAGACGGTTGATATACGGCCTTACATTTTCAAACTCAGCCGGAGTTCAGCGTGCCACACGCTGAACTCCAGCTGAGTTTGAAAATGTAAGGCCGTATATCAACCCATCATGCTTCGTGATCTGATTTTTCTTTTCTGACACTATGACCATATTATTTTCCTATTTACAAGCCTAATGTCACCTGGCCTTATGGCCTCAAGCCTACTGAGGATCCTACACTGTGAGTGCGATTATTCGCTTACGCTGCTAAGTTCTACCTCTACTAAGTAACTTAACTTCATTCATTCAGGTGCCCAGTGATATCGCACTGGAATTGACAAGTCCCAGTAGTGAGACTCAGTCTGGTCGAGCCTGAAGCAGGTCAACTACCCTCTCAATCCCGTTGGTTCATAACTTTGCTCCATCCCACTACGCGATACTAAATTGATTTTATCCAGAATTTATTGCCCAGAATTTCAACAGCCAGGGACACTGCCCTAACCTTTGGGCGCAGCAAGATCCTCTTTTGCTTGCTTCTCGGCCATATAATAAACAACAATTACACCATTTGGACTGGCAGTCTCGTTAAGTACCATCAGCATATCTAGTGAAATGGATTTCTATCTTCCAGGATATTCATACGTAGCAAACAGCACTATCCAATTTACCTTTGGTTCACTGATTGAACCATAACAGTGGAATAGCCTATCTGAACGTGATCAAGACAACTCAATCTATCATATCATTGTGCATCTTAGTCAGGCCAGCGACGTGGCTATCAGCAGCCAGCAGCATCAGACCTTTCGGCATGTGAATGAGACTAGGTCAAGCCATTTGAAGGGTATGAATGTCACTCTTTAGATATAGAACACAACTAATGGACTTTCCGTCTTTGTAGCCACTTTCATATTGATGGACCATATTTTTTCGTGTTACTGTTCGGGTGGAACACCGCCCAGGGTGGCGGAGGATTTGGAAGTTCGCTGCTTCCGACAACCTCCCTCAGCTCGCAAATATCGCACATTTTAGTATACAGTATATAGTTTTGTGTTTATTTATGAACGCGTACCAACACAGCATGACATGTGGATACAATAGTAGCAGAACTATACGTTAGAATTAACCTGAATTGATTCATGAATAGCTAGTCCTTTTCAACTCCTTCACGAAAGATATTCTGCCTCGCTGCACTCTGCCTGTTCTGAGCCTCCACCCGCTTCATCCCACTTCAAAAAATTGAAAGAGGTACTGGGAGAGGGGACACCATCTGCAATCTGAGCAAGGCCAGGCATATAGGTGCCAGGAGGCATATGGTGCTCCAGATTCTCGGCGCAGTAGTATTCCTCAAGCCATCTATACCTGTACGTCGCCATCCTATCTGAAAGGTGCGCAACACTATTTTCGGCATTTCTTAATTGTTCCTTAACTTGACGCAGCTCAGATTCTATTTTGCTTATTGATTGTCTGTCCTCGCCTAAGTGAAGATTTTTTCAGACTTGTCGTACAGTTTCCTGTATATGAATGTTAAGCCTCACCAGTAGTCTGCGTCCCTTTATGGAGTAATTGAATGTTTTGACGGAATTGCCTGCATGGTAAGCATTATCTGAGTTGCTCCAGAGTCTAACACACTGCTCACATGTGATCAGTGTCCATATCTGAACTTTCTACATCAGAGCTCCCCAGCGCACATGCTGAGGAAAGTTGGAAGCTTAAGGTGCAAGCATTATTTATCGACTTGATACTTCATATTGAACAATGCTTACTTTAGTGTGACGTTGCTTCTAACATGGATGCATTGTCGTACACGTTTTCGAGAGGGTGAGCCAGACGTCTGAGGTCCAATCCCTGCCTTGCTGTACATGGTGGAACTGATACTTGTTGTTACAGTGCCAGTGACTTATGTACTATCATACGATGAAACCCATTTGACCGCACTTTCAGCTGTGGTAATAATACTCTATCAAATATTGATGGCGCTGTGATAGCAGTTTTTTTTTTTGCAAATGCGCAGTCCATGTTGTCCTTATGACATCAATCGTGGTTTTTGACCCTTACGATATCAATAGCGGTCTGAGAGTGAATGTCTCATAGGACTGGGTATATAAAGTGTCTTTTTTGCTGCTTGAATTTTATCTGTCTAATTCCCTTAACGTAGTATGAGTGACAATGAAAATCGTGCGCCTGTTGCTGGTGATCCTTCGCGCAAGCGTATGGGTTCGGCGCTTCATTCGGGCCCACGTAAAAAGTCGTAGGTTGTCTTTAACGTCGTGTAACCTCGACTTACTGACTTGTCCAACAGGGCGTCATCAAATCCCCTGGTTCTTCATGGTCGACATTTTGGTCGGACAGTCTTCGCATTATGCAACTACCCTGCTCTTCTGACTTCCGGCATACTGCGCCTTGAAGAATTACAAGACACTCCCATTGAGGATTATCCTGCAGAGTGAGTGTTGCTGGGACATTGAAATTCCTACAACCCTTACAACACTTTTATTGTTAGCGTCCGACAGGAACATAGGGTATTCATAGAACTTGTTAATTCATATCCTGGTCTTCTAGATCATCTAATGAATGGCGAGGATGAGGATATCGTTCATGTGGGGGAATTGGTAGGCTCCTTATACTCTAATACTATTATAGTCACCATTCTACCAGATGGGTAAAGGAGCCTCTGGTGCACGAGGCAACAACACGAAGACCCTTAAATCTGCAGTCCTTGAGTGGCTTGTCCCAAGAGGACAGGCAGTCATACCGCCCCTGGCCCGAAATATCAAGTCTGACCGTGGATTTAATCACAAGGTCACTGGCACATTGCTCTGCCCTGCAGGGCTCGATTGGTCGAATGCAGAGTAAGTCTCCCGATCTTCCGATAACCTAATAACCTAACTGTAATAACTATCCAGAACCAAGCAGAGCCTCAAAAGTGGTGAAACCGCAGTTCGGGGTGATCAATGGCCCATGTTCTTGTATGCTGGGTATGTCTATGATTCCGAGGATCCGTGGAAGGGTTTACTGAGGAGCCTATTTGTAAGTTCACTGTCAGCGATAACGGCGTGACTACAATTTCCCTTCGTAGGGCTTCAAACATGTCTTCACATCTCCGAGCTCTGTGGATAAGGAGCCAAAAACTATGCGCTCCGGTAATGCATATCTCCATGGTATGAAGATGGTGACGAAAGGGTCTCTGGCATATATTGCTATGCAGGTATGGTATGAAGATGGTGACGAAAGGGTCTCTGGCATATATTGCTATGCAGGTATGGTTGAAATTTGATGATGTATTTCTCTCACTGATCTTCTTTCAGGTTCGATTTTCATTAAGCTCATCGTCTGTATTTTCACGTACCGATACGGTCACCAACTCCGAAAACTTCTATCACAGCATTCTTGATCTATTGGAAGATCCTGAGGAAAGCCAGGAAGTAGTGGACTTAATGATTTGGTGGACACGGTTTGTAACACATCTCACTAACTACCTCGTGCTAATATCTGTCACAGTCGTGTTTTCCCTAATTCCTCCTCTTCACAGCGGGGTGTCAGCAAAAATAGTGCTTTAGCCAAAATCCGGGAGAAACAGGCTGCTCTCCGAGATCGGGTCCCCACTACTAGCACCACTTAATTATTTTTAATGTTGACATTGTTGTATGAGTTGTAAACCCTAATGCAATTTATGAATGTCCTATCCATATTTGTAACATTTAAGATGCTCTATGTAAGGCTATGTATGTTTTGCCAGATGATAGCAACATGCTTTAGTGTGATGACACCTGGGCTCACTGTCAGTAGTGGTAGATTCTGCCATTGCAAAATGCCAGCAACTTGATATGACAAGATAACTTATTGTCACTCTGGGACACAGTGTGAATGATTATGAATTCTGCCACCCCAATATTGTCATGTAAGGCTAGGTATGTTTGACAGAGCATCAACAAGAAGTTATTCTGAGACAACTCAGTGACACACTGTTGGTGGTGGTGGATTCCACCACTAGAAGCAGTCCATGTATGAGTATGTAAGTCTGACAACACATCAGCAACTTGCCATTGCACAATAGCCTGTTGTACCACCTGGGAATTCTGTTAGTGATGGCCCACGCTGCCATCGGAACCTGCCTATATAATGCCAGCCAGCATTATTTGCCAACTGTCACTCCAAGCCACTTTTCCAGTGATGGCCCACACTGCCATCAGAACCTGCCCATATAAAGCCTGTCAACATTATTTAAATATCATCAACTTGCTAGTATATTATAACTTGCTACTATAGGTCTGCCAGTATTCTAGCTTTGGTAGATCCCACCAGTGTAACCTGCCTATCTATTGCTTTATCATATGGTCTACAATTATGATGTAAATTTTCATTATTATCCATTAGATAAAGCTAGCTAAATCCTTGTCATTCTGCAGTCAAATGCCTGATGAAGCAACAACTAGTGTACGTCAGTGTGAGTCTGTATGAATGAATGTACTACATACCTCAGTTATGTTGGGGAACAAAACTGAGGTGTCAACGGAGTCAAGACGACGATGTAAATACTGGCAAGGAAAGCTTAGGTAACAACAGCGGAGGATTAACGTGCGGATGCGCCATAAGGTGCAAGAAGACAAGAAGACGTTGAACAGTGTGGTACTGAAGGTGAACAAGATAACGAGATAGCATGAAAAGGCAATACAATGTCAACAGTCTTTGCTGGACCGATCTGCATTGGTTGAAGGTTGGGATCATCATTGATGGTCGTTACAGCGGAAGTGTAGACCTGTGGCTTGAAGTTGCCAGAGCCTTCACTGTCCGTGCAATGGTCATACATATGGTTGATGAGGACAGTGATCTCCTCATTTATCCAGTGCGCAGGCTGGGACTTCATAGTATTGTTGTGAGCTTCTGGTTGAGCCATGATCAGGGTGGTGTATTGTGCACAGATCGCAGTGATCGCAATGGCACTAGCAATGAGTCGATTGCATTGTTGTATATCAACAGGGTAGGTGTAGAAATCCATTGTATGTACAGTATGAGTCAAGGAAGGTTAAAACTCCGACGGGACATTCTGGACGATGCCGAGGGAATACATTCAATATTGCCAAATGTCAGCCAAATATTTGTTTCCGAACAGGCTCTAAGTGTGAAACATACATATTGACATTCGGCCGAATGACAACGCACAAGCGCGTTTGTACCTGGTCCGATGACATTCACCTCTCCCTCTTTTCTGGCTCATCTTCAAACTTCAACAGTTAGTACTCGGGAGATACAGGTTGTGTTAGAAACTTACAGGTAGCATAGAGATTGAGAGAACACATACCAGGCGGACATGCAAAGGTGTGGTAGTGGCAGTGGTTGGTTGAAAGCAAGAGATAAAGCATAAAGATAACCAACAGCACATCATGTCATGCCAGTGGAATCCAGGCTGGACTGATAGTAGATACATTGGAAGGATGCCATCGTCTAACGGTGATTGGGATAACTTATCAATAGAAGTACGTTCAAGTCGGTGCCCAACGATACAGTAATGCGAGGGAATTTGCGTGTCTAAGCGGTAGTGCTACTAGTATGAAGTGTCAGGATCGTAGAGTAATTCTAGTGAGGCTCAAAAGAACCCGCTTTCATGTAGCATCCTTGCAAGTTTCTCTTCTTCCTTTTCGCGCGGCTCCCTTTCTAGACTCAGCTGCCAGAAGACATCGCTGACATCTTTGTCGCCAAACTGTCCAAGTGCGTCATCCAAGTAAACAAGAACAGTTGGGAGGGGATGGAAGTTGTGCGGCTGAGTCTGCCAGCGTTGAAGGTCTTGGATTACCTCTGAAGCCTTCTGGCGTTTTCGGAAATTCACCAGGTTGTTTGGAAGGTAATCCTTACTGCCGTCTTGAATATGTGTCAGGGCAGTAAGAAACACACCTGTTTGGGGATCAAATTTCGTGTTTACAGATATGGCGTCGACTACATACCAACGAACGGAACACACGGCGGGGAAACTTTTGCAAGGGCGTATCGATAGATGTTAAACGTCTTGTAAGAATTGATTGTTGTCTCGCATGTTTCCAATTGGGACATGTATCTGGTGCCTACTTGCTCCCAAGAGCGCTTAAGCCGACGGATAGGTGATGAGTTTAGGCCAGACACGATGGCTAACATGGTCGAAAAATTCTGAATGTGCCTGCAGCGCTATAGGAAAGACGTTAGTAGAGCACTGAAGTTTAGCGAAATAAACAAACATCAGCGACACTGATGAAATGTTTCATGATGGAAGCACGTCTGCGAGGTTCGTCTTTACACAGGATGGCATATGCAACCCAGTTGGCTACCTAAATAGGGGTATCTGTGAACCCGCGAACCAAGTGCAGGTAAGAAACTTACTCTGTTGCTACGGCGAATGAAGTTTGCGATGTTGTCGTGGTGGTCAGTTTTCGATTCCTTGGACCGCAGAAGGCATTCAGAAGGTCGAATCTTCTGATATAACTGACTTTCTGTGATCGTCAATTGCCTTGCCAGTTCCAAGGCATCGATGTCAAGTAGCTCCATCCGTTTAGGGACTATTGGTGGAGGTGGCGGATCCAGAGCCGTGCTAATCGTCACTTTGTTCGGATCACGCCCTCGCTGCTATTCCATAATTCAGATAGTACAACCCCGACGTTGATCCAGCACGCACAGCACGTTTAATAATCACCATAAGCTGCTTTGCTGCGGGTAGATTGATGACTTCATCATGCGAAACAAATTCCATCATACGGTCGAGGATGTATGCGTCATCTCTCTCTAATACATCGTCATCTTGAACCATTGACTTGATCGTATTAATGACCCTAAAATAGTTCAGCTACAAGGTCTGAAACAATGACGTGACTCACCTGATACGAATAATCTGCCGCTTGAGCTTCCGCCACTCCACCAGCTCCGGGGAGTTTAGTCCTTCTGGAGGCTGTATCCAGAAGCGTTCCACCAACAACCTGAACAATTCATCAAGAGTAGTGAAGGTCTTATAAGTCATTAGGAAAGCCTTGCTAAACTTGGGATCTATAATCTGGATTCAAGAGAAATTGTGATATACTGGCGGAATCTCACATACCAGCATACTCGTGAGCAGTTAGCCGCTCGACTAGGCCTGTAATAGTTCCGCCTCGCGTAGTTCCATCGGGGTCAACTAGCACATCATTAGGATCGTACGTCGGTCTCAGATACCAAGGTTTTGTTTCGGCATTGAGGGTAATGAGATAGTGAGAAGGCGCATCGTCACCAAAAAACGCCCTGATCTTATCCTGTCGAGGGGGTGTTCTTATTATGCGAAGATCTGTGCTTCAAGTCAAGTTATGCCAATAGTTATGAAGCAGAATGATACCCGCCTTCATGGTCAGCCCATGGTACTGTATCGGATATTAGGGGTAGTTGTTCGTTTATTACAGGCGGAGCCGGTATTTCCGCTGTGGGCGTGGTATTATCGCTACTTGCAATATTCCTGAGGATATCATCTGCTTCGTCATTGTTATTGTAGAGGTCGTTATTCGAGCCGTTAAGTGCCTCTTCGGCCAACATTGCTGTGATGAGGCTACGTTGTGACATACGCCACTCAATGGGGCTCTTGTTGCTCCGTTCAAGAATATCTGTCTGTTCCTGCACGATGACAAGAAGACTTTCTAGAGTCTGTCGCAGAACCTGAAGATTAAAGTCTAATGAGGAATTCAGCGCCTCGAGGGTATCATAATGTTCATCCCGACCACGCCATGTTTCGGATTCTTCTACATGCCGGATCCTCTGTGTAGTAGTGAGTAGTGCAGCGCCGTCGTCGTATACAGCCTGAGTAGTGGCTTCGAACGACCGTACGAGGACCCTGGCTTTCTCAACGGTCCGGAGATATCGAGCACCATCATTGAGTTCCGCCTGATCCACCGGTTCGATGTCGACATGCCGAGCGACATGCAGGTCTCCAATGTGGAGGAGGAGGGATGACAATTGATTCATCATTCGTAAGCCTGCTGGCGTTACCACGCCGGCTGCGGAAGCTGATTTTCAACCGAAAAACGCAAACTTGCAGCTTTACTCACCAGGTGCAGAAGCGCGTAAGCTTTCAAGGAATTCATTTGATTTGTCTTGTACCTGCAATACAAGCCCCACGATGTCGTTTAAGACTGCGCTGTCCAAGCTCCGCCGGGGAGCCTCCTCATTGCCATCGATGGTGACCCAACCAAATCCTTTCCAAGCTCCAGCAGCCCCAGCCCCAGCCTTCCCAAGTCCTGCATGTGGTGCTAGGAAGTAACCCTGCAAGTGTCTCGGAGCCTTGTCGCAATCCAACTCATCACAACGACAACTTTGCGTGATGGACACGAAATCGACAACAGAGCGCTCAAGTTCTGTAGCATCAGTTGCAAGGCTGCCGATGCTGTCACCTGGGCTCCAAGGACCATCATTCAAGATCGCTCTCGCAGAGAGTAGAAACTTCGAGAGTGTCGCAATAGCTCGACGCTGTGCAGGAACAAGTAACGTATGCGACGCAGTGCTCGTGCTCTGTTGATCTTGTGATCCTTCCGGAACAAGATGACTTGGTATTTGACCGAAAGAAGGGCCAGAGACATAGAGTTGATCACGAACTGAAGCGATGGTGGTGTTGATGAGGCGATCGACAATGACTTCATCATCTGCAATGCGAGGGATTCCAAACTGCTGCAGGTGAGTGATCACAGAGCGAATAGCATGTTGAGACCGATCTAGTAATTCAGAAATGAGCTCTGGTGGACGAGGAGAAAGTATTTCCTCCAGAGATGGTATTGCAGTCAAGAGGTGAGAAGGATCTTCGTCTGGTGGAAGTTCATGGACTTGGGGGAGTATGGATAATGCGGCAGCTTCCTTTAATCGAGAGCCCTTTCTGGCCATATGCGGACGGTGAGAGTACGAGAAGAGACGAGGATCTTGATCCATAGACAAAAACGTCTGATGACTAGTATATGAGTTCTCCCGCATAGTAAAACTCCTCTTTAGTACTTGGTCATTCGGCGGATTAGAGAGACCACTGGGAACGCGGTACGTGTGACGATTCAAAGAAAGCGCAGAAGAATCTGTCTGGGCACGGTTGCGGCCTGGTGGAAGGTCTGTGAGAAGGGATGGCGAAGATGGTTTTACGGGAGCCGTCAGAGCACCAGCTAGGTTATTTGGGTAATGAGATAATGACGTGTAGGGTGGCCGGGCGGGCTCCACTGGAATCGACTGGTATTGAGAAGGATTGTTCACGATGGATAGAGCGTTAACATCCCCATAAGAAAAACCGAGACCAGCGCCGGTGCCAGCACGAGAGCTCGATTGTGATGAAGTTAAGCCCGCAAGATCACAATCAAACGTCTCATCCTCCGCGTCGAACGGTAGATCACGAGATAGTTGCCCGGTGACTGTGTTGGCATAGTAAATCTACATGCAAAAAGAGTAGTCACCTGAAACTGAGCACTGAAGACAAGAAAAGCCATACCTGACCATCTCCGGAGACTTGGGGTATCCAGAAGTCTCTTGCAATTGAAGGGGGAGTGTCCGGCCTGAGTGGACTTGTTGGGATTGCGGGAAGTCCCCTTATGCTCATCCGTGCTGCCTTGGAGACTTCGGGAAGGCGCCAAATTGATGAACTCTCCATGATAGAAGCCAGAAAAGATCGATCACGGATAATATCAAAGGTGAATTGTGTTGACTGACGAGGTATTCACATCTAACTTAAATGTTGGCATTGCCCTTACCATCTGTGAGCAAGATGATCATCCATGTTGCACGATGCCGCGGTATGAATTATTGAGCCCCCGGATCAGCAGTGCCTTCATCAGGAAGGCAGTTACAGCACATGCGCACGCTGCATCGCAACGATCGGCCTTTCAAGCTCAGTGCAAATCAAATATCCTTGCTTGCAACTCAGTCTACATCCATGACAGTGGTCATTGCTCGAGGTCCATCAACATCAACAGTTAACAGCTATTCAGAAAACAAAAAAATCTTGACCCGGGGTATCAGTAAAAACGAATCGTAAAAAGCATGTCCAGACGGTATACAAAGGATATATGCTGTATACTGCCATCAGAAGGTGCAGGCCAGCCCGTGACGAGAAGTAATTACTTGTGAAAAGGATCGTGGGCTTAACAAATGGCGGGCTCCGCGATCACGAACTCACCACAGCCAAAACTATACAAACAACTTCAAACCGAACGGGTGTTCAAAATTGCGTATTGCTGTGACCACAACACCCTGAGTAGCTGGGAGAATGCTTCATCTTCACCAGTTCATACTGCTCTCTTGCAGAATGGGAGCGGAAATAGTTCCAGGGTTGAGGTGACGGCGTTCCCTCATGATGGGAGGAGAGACACGGCGCTCATAGCCATCATCATCACCACCCCGGACACCTTGGTATCCACGTAAGCTGTCTTCTGCGTAGTAAAAGCTCCGCCTCCGCTGGCCGCCGATACTGTCCCGATCAAAATCCTGACCATCAGGGCGTACACCTGCAGGATCACCGACGCTTTCAGAGAGACGGCGATGTGCGACCTCTTTTCGGCGCTTGAAGTACCGATAAGCGACGATTGCAAGGATGATGAGCGCGATGGCACCAAGCGACGTTACGACACCGATAATCGCGTCCTCACGGACTTGGGAAGAACTTGAACTACTGCTAGTGCTGCTGCCGCCTGGAGTGGGACCTGATATGGACGACAGTGCAAGAGTGGGGTCAACACATTGGGCAAGCGATGCGGGTATACTGCCTTCTTGTCCGGTATAGAACGAGGACTTTTTATTGGAGATAAGCGAAGCGAGTGTGGAGACTTGGTCATTAGGGATATAACCCTGCCAGAGGGTACTTAGCAGTTCGACGTCTTGAATGCCGGTGTACGACGAGGGTTCGTAGACAAGCAGCTCGTAGCTTTGTACCTGGGAAGCTGGAATACAGTTTTAGTACGAATGCACTTTGCGATGTTGGGAGCACGTACAATCAATTCCAAGTGCTGTCGCAATTATCGAGGGGAAGTACTCAAATATCTGTCCTTGGGTATCCGAATTCGTTGCAACCCACTTCCAGTTCAGGGACTGATTGAACAACACGCTGATTAGAGTGTCAGTAGTTGGCACATTTTGGACATTGAGCGTAGGCTGTGGCTCAATCGCCGATGGGAGATACGTCGGAATCGGTGCTGCAGAAGGCTGACTGGCCGGCGGAGCGGATGCAAGCGAGACCGTCGTCGTTGGGATGTCAGGATTTGAATTGGTTGGGGAGGCTGTCGGTGTGGGCGTGACGGTATTGACCAGCAGAGATGAGACCGTAGACAGGTACTGGTAGTTGGTATTCGTGGTGGGAAGTGTATAGGTACTTGACAACGATAACGTGGATGTCTCATTAAGGGTGCCAGTGCTGCTCATGGTCGTACTATTTGGAAAGTTGATGATAGTCGATGAAGCAGATGCTGTGGACATGCCATTGCTCGAACTCGTGCCAATCGTGATAGCAGTAGTAGTAGTAGTCCTGCAACGGAGTATGATCAAACAGCCTCAAGCACGATAGGATTGAAATTTACACTGTACCAGACGTGGATGATGGAGTGCAACCAATTCCGAGACCCAGGGCCCCAGTGCAATCAACGGTCGTCGACGAAGATGATGATACTGAGGTAGAAGCAACCGAAGTGGTGATAGGAGGACCAGAAGTTACAGGCGAAGTCAAAGGTAGCTGGCTTGAAGTAGTAGATGATGAGGTAGGAAGGGGACAACCAATACCAATGCCAAGTAACCCATCACACGACGACGACGGCGTGGTGGAAGCAACCGAACTAGTGGTAGGATAAGCAGGAGTCACGGGCGGGCTTGAAGCTGGCTGGCTTAAAGCGGTAGATGTCGAAGTGGGAGGTGGGCAACCAAGGCCAAGGCCAAGTAGCCCATCACACGACGACGACGGCGTGGTGGAAGCGACCGGACCAGTGGTAGGATAAGTAGGTGTTACGGACGGGCTTGAAGCTGGCTGGCTTGAAGTGGGAGGTGGACAACCAAGGCCAAGGCCAAGTAGCCCATCACACGACGACGACAGCGTGGTGGAAGCGACGCCAGAACTTACAGGCATGCTTGAAGTTGGTTGGCTCGAAGCGGGAAATGATGAGGGAGCTGAACAACCAATCCCCAAACCAAGTAATCCATCACAAGACGTTGTGGCGGGAGCTGCCGAACTCAAGACAGCAGAACTTACAGGCGCGCTTGAGACTGGTTGGGTCGAAGTAGGAGATGAAGAGGGAGGTGGGCAACCAATCCCAAGACCAAGAAGTCCATTACAAGACGACGTTGTGGCGGGAGCTGCCGAGCTCAAGACAGCAGAACCAGTACTTACAGGCTCGCTTGAGACTGGTTGGGTCGAAGTGGGAGATGAAGAGGGAGGTGAGCAACCAATCCCCAGACCAAGAAGTCCATCGCAAGATGACGTTGTAGCGGGAGCCGCCGAACTGGTGGCAACTGAACCAGAACTTGCAAGCGTGCTCAAAGCTGGTTGGCTCGAAGTAGGAGATGACGAGGGAGGTGAGCAACCAATCCCCAAACCAAGCAGTCCATTACAAGATGATGTTGTAGCGGGAGCCGCCGAACTGGTGGCAATTGAACCAGAACTTGCAAGTGTGCTCAAAGCTGGTTGGCTTGACGTGGGAGATGACGAGGGAGGTGAGCAACCAATCCCCAAACCAAGCAGTCCATTACAAGATGATGTTGTAGCAGGTGCCGCCGAACTGGTGGCAACAGAACCAGAACTTGCAGGCGTGCTCGAAGCTGGTTGGCTCGAAGTGGGAGATGACGAGGGAGGTGAGCAACCAACCCCCAAACCAAGGAGTCCGTCGCAGGATGACGTTGTGGTAGATGATGGGTTGGGGTTGGATAATGCAGCAGTCCCAGTAGAAATTGATGTTGGCGAGCTAGACAGGGTAGTCATGGGCGGATCACAACCTAGCCCCAAGAGCCCAATACATGATGAGCTGGTCGGTGACGCAAATGCTGAGGGGCTAGAGCTTGTAGTAAGCGTGTCAGTGCCTGGGGACGAGACTGTCGGACTGCTGGACGCAGAGGGCGTTGGGGTATTGATAGCAAGTCCACTTCCAATTCCACTCAATATGCCATCTGAGAACCAGCTCATTAGAACATCACCCAAACCAAATAACGACATAAAATGCGCACCAAGACCACCTAAAATGTCATCAGGAGCTCTTTTCTTGAATGCCAAAGATCGCCTTGCGTGAGAGTTGGAGGATGATGAGTGTCGTGCATCGACCTGGGGAACGACAAGGGAGGAAACCACAGTTGCAAGGAAAAAATAGATAACAGAATACATAGAGGTGATAGAATATTGCTGGATAGCAAGGACAGCGCGACTTTGGGTCCGCTAGGGATAGAACGAGTGTGCGTTTCTGCTCTCTCTAAGAGAGTGAAAAGTAGGTTCTAAGATATTTTGAAACACGAAGATTCTTGAATCCTGGAAGCCAGTTGACCGATGATTGACAAGACGTCGCCGGCAGCGTCACAGGAGCAGCAAAATTTGAAACCAAAAACGAGGGGAGGAACAAGACAGAAACGTTCTAATAGCGCGCACGGGCGCAGGTTTCCTACCAAATCGCGATCACACGGTAACTAACAACAAATGATCTCAGTTACAGAAACGTTTTTAGCTTTCCAAAAAGGCAGTCCACGGTCATCTACGTAGCACTGGCAACTTAATGGATTTTGTGACTACAATTCGGAACGACATCACAACTAGGGGAAAATTCATCAAGGTGCATATAATTGAGTAGTATGACAATACACAACGAAATGGTAGAAAATGCAACAACAGACTTAGATGAATCCGATCTAAAGTATAGTTAATAACAACATCAACAGCATGTTAGCAGTGAATCACCTTGTTTGCAACATCCAATGCGTCGTGGTCAGACGTGAGCCGAACGTATGCCTTCTTCTTGCCATCAGGTCTAAGGGTAATCAGGTTGTATGTAATCTTAAAGCTCATTGCACGGAGACGAACCGAATCAGGGTGTTGATTTTAGCAGCCTGGACATCGTAAAGCTTTTTCACGGCGTCCTTGATTTGTCGCTTATTCGACTTTATGTCAACAATAAAGACGAGGGTGTTGTGCTCCTCGATCTTCTTCATCGCCGATTCCGTGTTCAGTGGACTGTCATTAAACGATCAAAAATTAATTGGTGTTATGTAGCATAAAACGCACGAGACGATGGTTCGGAACTGGTCCATTCGTGGCGCATGGGGGATAGATTTGCGAGGGTACTTGGGATTCCTGGGTAGGCGGAGTGTCTTGGGACGGTGGAATGTTACAGAGTATCGCTGCTTCCGTGTTGAATGCGAGTGCACGCCCTGCAAAGCAGCCTTTTTGGCAGCCTTCGCCTTGACATTAGTAGGGGCCATATTGATTTTGGAGTTATTCTGCCCGTCGCCTGTATTACTAGGAGGCCGATGATCAGGTAGATCGCTAATCCCCGAACTACTATACAGTTGAAATCGGAATATCCCGAAACATATTACCTAGTCACATGTGTCACAGCATCATGTGATATGTGACAAGCAATTGTACCACGTGTCACACGCGCCACTACGGGTCTACCAGATACTTATTACTATACAGCACGCGTTGAATACGCGCCAGCTTTGATGTATATTAAGACCTTGACAATTCAGGGATTCAAGTCTTGTAAGTTTGACCATTCTTTATCCCGCAATATCTCACTTTGCACACTGTTTATACCAGACCGTGATCAGACACAGATAGAGCCCTTCTCTCCTCGTCATAATGTCGTCGTAGGTAGGAATGGCTCAGGCAAGAGCAATTTCTTTGCAGGTGCCCGTTGTACCTCTGAACTATTTCTCTCGATCTTACTCCTACACCCCCCTTAGCCATTCGCTTTGTATTGTCCGATGCATACACCTCTATGTCCAGAGAGGAGCGGCAGGCTCTCCTGCATGAAGGTGTTTCTGTCACGACTACACTATCTGCATACGGTACAATTTTTTTTTTTACTTTTAACTCTATCACCCTTTCTCATACTTGCAACCCAGTTGAAATTATTTTTGACAACTCTGATAATCGATTTCCAACTGGTCGTGAAGAAGTCATTTTAAGACGTACCATCGGTCTCAAGAAGGATGAATACAGTCTCGACAAGAAAAGCGCTAGCAAAGCTGATGTCATGAATCTCCTCGAGAGTGCAGGATTCTCAAAGTCCAATCCATATTACATCGTTCCGCAAGGACGAGTACGTGCTACCTAACTCTCCCATACTCTTCTAACAGAATCTTTCAGATCACTGCCCTTACAAATGCAAAGGACCACGAGCGCCTTGCCCTACTGAAAGAAGTTGCTGGCACCAAAGTCTACGAACAACGTCGTACCGAATCTCTTCGTATCATGGCCGAGACCGATGCCAAACGCACAAAGATCAATGAACTTATTGACTACATCGACTCTCGCCTTACAGAGCTGGAGGAGGAGAAGGAAGAGTTGCGCGAGTTTCAGGACAAAGACAAAGAGCGTCGGTGTCTCGAGTATGCACTGTATCAGAGAGAGTTGGAGGAGGTTGGAGAAGCTTTGGAGGAGATCGATGAAGAGAGGCGAGGAGAAGTGCACGGTGCCAACGTAAGGAGAGAGCAGTTTGATACCAGGGAGAAGGAGATACAGGTCTGTCCAACCTTCTCTCTCATTGAGTCTACTATTGACACAGCCATAGCGCCTAGAGCAACAAATCTCGCAAGCGAAACATTCTCTCCGGTCTCTCCAAATATCACGGAAAGACGCACACTCCGAGCTCAATGAATTCATCCGTGCTCGTACAGAACTCGAATGCATTGTTGCCGATCTCCGTGCAACAGGCGATCGTGACGATAGTGCACTCAAACAAGAGCTTGCGTCCGTACAAGAAGTCACGCAGGGCAAAGAGCGCGAACTACGTGAATTGATTCCACAATGGGAGAAAGCCCGCACAAATGAAAGTGCAGAAAAGCGTAAGATGGAAGAGGCTCGTACCCAGCTTAACGCGCTCTTTGCAAAGCAAGGTCGTGTCAACCGCTTCCGCACAAAGGCAGAGCGCGATACATACCTCAAGCAGGAAATTGCGAGTATGGAGGTATATCAACGGGCTCGTTCTGCAGCGCTCGATTCCACTCGCAAAGATGCCACACAGAAAATGCAGAACGTTGCTGAGATGGAGCGGAGAATCGATAACATTCAGGGGAGCTTGGAAGATGGTAGAACGCGTGTGAAAGACATTGGAGAGCAGGTCACAACACTCAAAGAGCAGCAGACCGAACTTATTGAGCGCAGGAAGGAGTTGTGGCGTGAGGACACCAAGTTGGATGGGCTACTTGCGCATGCCGGTGACGAGTTGAGGGCCGCTGAGCGCAACCTTGCGGGTATGATGGACAAAGTGAGTATGCGCGCCCTCGATTGATGAATATTCGTTTATTGTTTTAGGACACTGGCTCTGGTCTCCGCGCCGTTGACAGGATCGCAGAGCGACACAACCTGGAGGGTGTATATGGTCCATTGTACCGTCTTTTCGAGATACCAGACTCGACATTTAGCACCGCTATCGAACTTACCGCTGGGAACAGGTACACCGCCCCATTTGCATCGATCTCTACTTATGCTTACGCCTGACAGTCTCTTCCACGTCGTAGTCGATACCGATGCGACTGCACAGAAGGTCCTCGACATCATGCTACGAGAAAAGAACGGCCGTGTGACCTTCATGCCTCTCAATCGCCTCAAACCAAAACAGCCCACTATCCCTCCAAATCAAGACGCCCTTCCTCTCCTCGAGAAGCTCTCGTATGATTCTGCGCATGGCAAGGCATTCCAGCAGGTGTTTGGAAAGACTTGGGTATGCCGCGACCTTACGGTTGCTGCTGCGTATGTCAAGAGTCACGGCGTTAACACCATCACACTGGACGGTGATAAGGTTGATCGTAAGGGTGCTCTTACAGGTGGTTACCACGACGTGCGCCGCTCGCGCATTGAAGCCGTTAAGAATGTAGCGACATGGCGCTCCAAGTTTGAGGCGGAAGATAAGCGTGCCAAAGAAGTTAAAGCTGCCATCACCACGCTTGAGCAGGAGATCACGAAGGTGACAGGGAAGATTCAAGTCCTTAGCGTTCAGCAGGCGCAAGCAAAGGAAGCACGCGAGGTCCTCCTTTCGGACTCGCTATCGTTCTCGAGGGAGCGCGAGAGATTGAGCGAGGGTGTTGTAGCTCTGGAAAATGAAGCGGATGAATTAGAGACGGAACTGAGCGGCATTGTACAGCGGCTGCAGGGGTACCGCACTGAGCTTGCGAGCCCCCTTACACGGGCACTGACTGATGACGAAGCCAATCTGATCGATACTCTTGGTCAACAAGTGGATGAAAGGCGCAAGCGAGTGCTCGAGCTCAGCAAATCGAGAATGGAAGTAGGTGCACTAGCAAACTCCATTCTGGACCACATAACTAATATCACGCATAGCTTGATAGCAGTAAAAACCTCTTGGAAATCGAGCTTAATGAAAGCCTCCGGCGGAAAGAGAACGAGCTGCAGGCAACATTGCAGTCATTGGGTGACTCGGCGAATGGAGAAGTGTCATCCGCCGATAATCTGGATGCGCGATTGCGTGAACTCAAGTCCCTCGATGCTTCTATATCCACTTCGACAAAGCGCGCACAAGGTTCGCTCCTGACTAGTTCATTGTGTCTGCGTATACCAAATGTATTCTCACAGAGGCAGAAAAGGATTTCGATAAATTGACGGCTGACCTACAGGATCTTCGATCCAACTTGGAGAAGGCCCAGAATCAACAATCGGAGGATAGTCGCAGTGTCACGAAACTGCAGAAGAATACTGAGCGGTACCTAGCTAAGAAACAGATGCTTGTCGGTCGTAAGGAGGAGTGCAACCGCAATATCCGAGATCTAGGCGTACTTCCAGAGGAAGCTTTTGAGAAGTATACCAACGAAAAACTTGATCGAGTACGGGTTTACCAGCTGTTCATCTCCGAACTTTGTATGCTAATAATCCAACCACTTAGCTGGTGAAGAAACTACACACTGTCAACGAAGGGTTGAAGAAGTTCGCGCATGTGAACAAAAAGGCTTTCGAACAGTATAATTCTTTCACAAAACAGCGAGACCAACTCCTGCAGCGCAGGGAAGATCTAGACAAGTCGGCCACGTCGATCGAGGAGCTAGTACAAGTACTGGACCAGCG